CCTGAGTGGGTTGGGATCCACCAGCTTCATCACTCTACATTTTACCTCAGTCAACTCCATCCTGTCATGGGTGCATAGACCACAACCACATTGGACATCCTAACAATAAAGCCCCATTTTGTTTTTCTCTTGATGAAAGAACATTCCATCCTGTGGATACTGAGAGCAGCTCCCAATGCGGACAGCGAAAGACAATAATAAGTTGCTAAACCAAATTTTTCCTACACCAAAATCCTAAAGACATTGATAACTCCTACATGTTTAGTAGTTTTTCCCTTGAGCCCCTGCCCCTGAAATGTACGAGCATGAATTGTCAATCTGTCATTGTAAGTTTGCTTCAATTTAATCTTGTCCACTTGTTCCAGATTGCCCGATTTAGTGACAAAACAAATTCACAACTGCAAGACTTTCGGAGGACGCTGAACTTGTTGAATCATTTACTACAAAGTCAGCAATTTAAAAATCCTTGTGGGAAGACAAGTTTTGTTTGGGGGATTTTGGAAATGTTTCAGCACCACACATATAATTTCAGTTGTGTCAAAAAAACAAATGTGAACTAGAGCACTGTAATTTCCCACAAGTGCAGATAACGCAGTGGGCAAAGAACTTTCCCCATGGCTATAATCAAAGACAGTTCAGCACCCTACTTTGGTCTTCTACACATCATACTTCCAGGCATATGTACAGTCATTTCGGGGGGATGGGGGCTCAAGAGAGAAAAAAAGGGCAATATGAAGTTAACCTAAATTAATCCACAGTCTATTGCAGACACTCTTGTTGGGACAGAAGAAAACATTGTATCAAGAGCTTTCTCAAGGCAGTCAAAAATACTTACACTACTGCCTGAGCAGGTATTTAAACCTCCAGTGTACAAGGCTAATAGTACCATCTATGCGATCTAAATACTACAAACTCACGAGTTTTAACTCTCTTTAAGAGCTTCACAGAACCCATCTCTGTCTTTTAGAATGAGAACAACTTGGTTTAGCAATTTACTAGAATATTTACTGCTGACATTCTGTTTAAATGCTGATTATGCATTGCTGTGCAATGTGACGCTTTCTGAAAGAGATTTAGAGAGAATTTCCAGTGCTGTTGTGATGAGTGCATCCTTTACTGGGGTGGAATTTTCCCAGTGGTCGGTACTGCACCAGTAGGGATGCCCAAGAGCAATGAAGCTCATGGAAGCTAAGCAGATCCACAAGGTTCCCAAGGCAAAGCTGAGCTGAGCTTCACTGAAACAGATTCTGAAGAAATCCACAGCACTATGTATGGTGTAAAAAGGGCTAATCATCCCAACACTGAAGTATGGTAGAGAGAGCTCATGATTTGAGGCTGATTTGCTGCCTCTGGGCCATCATCGAGGGAAAAATGAATTTCCAAGTTTATCAAAGTGTCCTACAGGATCGTGTAGGGGTTGCTGTCTGGCACCTGATGGTCAGCAGAAGTTGGCTGTTGCAGCAAGAGAAAGACCCTAAACACTGAAGTAAATCTACACCAGAATGTCTTCAAAAAATAAAACCCAATGGCTCAGTCAGAGCCCAGACCCCAATGAAGATGCCATGGAATGACCTCAAGAGAGATATTTACTCCAGATCTCCAAAGATTATGGCTAAGCCAAAGTGGTTCTGTTAGAAAGAATGGTCCAGTATTCCTCTTAAACATTGTGCAGGTCTAAATCACAGCTACTGGCAGCATTTCCTTCGCGTTACTGATGCCAAAGGAAGTTTGAACAATTACTAAATCCACAATGGACTGTATACACTATACCTGTGGAGTTCAGTTCTCAATATAATACACTTTAGAGTATGGGCCAGACCTGTATCATCCTATCTAACAAGATAATGTTCTAATAAGCCCATCACCCAACTATAAAGATTGCCTCCAACCCCATGAATATCCAGTTTGATTAGCAGTCCCTCTTTTCACAACAACTTGCACACCTTTTCAATATCAAAGAAAACTACAACTGCCTCTTTATGAGTTTGTGCTCTCCTAATATCAGATTCTAGACATAATACTGAACCCACTGTCGTTCTATCCTTATGACAACCACTTTGATAGGGGTGGGGGGTGGGGCTAGTCTGGTTCTAGTCATTAAAGAAAATTCAGGATCTAAAATGCTAACAAAAACCCTCCTCCTAAGTAACCCTGCATTCACACTGGCAGTGAGACAACGCGACAAGGCAGCCAGAAGTCATTCATTTTCAACAAGACCTGGCGATTTCCAGTGACAGGAGGAGGCGTGAGGCATGTGGCGATTACCAATAGGAATTGAGCATTGGACACCATAGCACATGCTCTATCTCCGCCACTCTGAAACAGTACGGTCCTTTTTTTCCTAGATTATTGTTCCTAATAGAGGTGGTATAATAGTGACAGTGCTTTTGCCGCAAATAGACAGTAATCACAAAGACCAAATAGCGTTTTCCTCACAAACTGACTACATAGATACAGGGATTAAATAAAAAAACAAGCACACAAGCGATTTCTCACAAGGATTTTTATTTTTAGCTGGAATGCATCTGATTTGTGCTTGACATCAGTGAAACGATGGCAACCACCAGTCGATGAGCGACCACGTGACAAAAAGTTGCTGCCAATGTGAACGCAGGGTAGTGCCCCAGGATATTGTGATAAAACCTAATCCCTGCAAACACTCATCACATTGGTTAGACATGCTGAGCTATGGACTGAAAAGTTTGTGTTAATAGTTCCGCCTTTTCTTTATCAAACACTGCTTGTGTATCCTCATACTGCAACACAGGTATTTCACTACCTTTTCTTACACCACTAATTTTCTTGATCATTCCCCAAACTTCGCTTACTGTCCCAATATTGTCAATTTTTTTCTCCAGTACTTTTTTTTGCCATTTTCTAAGTTTTCTACTACCACTTGTGCCTGATTGTTTTTAATTAAAACACAGGGTGGGAGAGTTTTCCTCACTTTATATAAAGCTTTACTGTGATCCCACATCACTACAGAACTTCCCACTGTCCACCAACGTACAGCTTTCTTCTGTCTAGGATATTTTTTGAGGTATGGCCTCCTTTGCAGGCTTGTACAAAATAGAGCAAAGCTCCTGATTATATTTATCAATATCCCCATTAATCGACTATTCTTGTAGCCCCAAGTCACAGATATAAGCAAACTTTATCCAGGCAGCTTTGTTAAAATTCAATTTGGGCAAGAACTGCCTTGTTACTCTACTAACCTCCATTCCCAGTTTAAGTCTGGGGCCACTGCCATCATTAAGGAGGAACTCTTCCATTGCTATCCATGACTGAACTACCTCACAATGTACTGTGTGCATTAAAATTTCCAACATATCTAAGTAAGTTTATTGCTTGGATTGTACAGATGAATCACCCTAAGCTTCCCAGAGCTATCCCGTATCTCTAGCACAATTGACTTAAACACATCTCTTATGTTAAGAACTTTAAATCCTGTCACTTATAAAAGTCATTACACCTCCACCGTTACCCTGATCTCTATCTCTGCAAAAGCTCACATATCTGCACAGGTTTCAACCATGTTTCTTGTACACAGATAACATCTGGCATGTAGTTTCTACTGGCCACAATTATTTTAAAATCTTGACCATTTGCAATAAGACCCAGGCATATACTGTAATATTCGAAAGGACCATTACAGGCTGTCACTGGACTGTGTCTGAACAGCCCTTTCTGTTAGCCCAGTGCTAATCGAGGCCCAGGTTATTCTTTTCATATCTGCAGATCATACAATTATCTTAATCCTCTCTGTTCTACCACCCATCTAGGCTGTGCAGGTAACTACATCAGCCATGAACATCACAAACCCAACTTTCTCCACAACTAGAGGGTCTTTAGTAATAGGACACTGAAAGTTGAGGCCAACATCAGGCCTACCTGTGACATTCAGTGTCAGAGCCACCCCTGAGGTGCTGGTCTTTCATTAGTGCTTCTGCATAAGAGACCTTTTTTAACTCTAACACTTTGGACCTTTTTTTGCACACCTCACATCCTATATATGTTGCTCTATGATCTCCCCCACAGTTAAAGCATTTATGCACTCCCCTCCACATACACCACATTTTTTCTTTCCCCTGCAAACTGTAGCTTTTGGCTGTTTATATTTAATTAAAACACAGGGTGGGAGAGTTTTCCTCACTTTATAGAAAGCTTTATTGTGATCCTACATCACTACAGAACAGAAGTGGAACATACGTTCTGACTGCATAGCTCACATAGCCCAGACTAAGCCTGTCTGGCAGTGCTTCCCTATTGAATTGCATGATATGGGGCAATTCATGGTTCACCCAGAATGATAAAAATGAAGAGGAAAGAGAAAATATAAAAGTACAAAAAATTCTAAAACTTTTTTTTTGAGAGAACTGAAAAAGTACTTCTTCTGAGTTTTTAATACAAGCAACATCTCCAACAGTACAGATACTGTGTGTGAAATTTAATTAAAATAAAACTATAATTTCCTTTTGCTGCATTCGTAGCCTGAATCCATGGCATAATAGTGGGTGGTTGGTTCTCTGTTGTGTAAAAGAGGGCAACTACCTTCCAAATGTTGTCACTCACAATTGTGACAGTAGGTGGTTTTCCAAAAACCTGGACCTCTTGAATCTTCAGCTGCAGTTTCAGGGGCTGAATATTCTAGTGTGGCTAGAAGCTCAAATTGATATGGTCCAGGGCTTCTGTGGTCTTCCCCATTCCAAAACCACTGAGAGTCATCACTGTCCACTGTTTGGGGACAATCGGGGCTTTTGTGAAGTATGCTAATTTGGGGCTATTTCACTAAATCTATGGAGCTGATTTGTTGACACTGTTATATATCCTGTCCCTCTCCTCCCATCACACAATACACCCTGCCACCAAACACATTTTTGATACAACCCCCTTACAAACATGCAATTGGCAAGTATGCTTAGAGGGTGGAGACCAGCAGAAATCAAGAGTGGATCTAGTCTTTCTAACAATTCTAACATTGAAGTTCATTCTGGGCTCTAACCTGCAAATTGTTCCAACCACAAATCAAACAGCAAGTATGGTTCATCTAATTGAATTGCTTTTAGTCATCTCCATGACTTCTACAGCTTTGGGTAAGTTACATATCTTAAAGTATCAGTTCAACATAACACAAATTCTAAATGATAATGAATGATAACATTTTATGATCACATCTTCTCTTCTTTAAGCTCTGGTTGTGACACCTGCACCAGGTAATGATGGACATTAAGCACTTCTTGACACAGTTAATCACCGCAGTCATGTTCTGAAGAGCACTAACACTGTTTTTCTGTCTCGTTTTAGTATCAGACTGGGATGAATTAGTGAAAGGTAAAGAGAAGAGCTGTGCGTTTCAGTGCTGTGATTCAAAAAATCACCAAAAATCTCCAGTAAAGTCAGCATCTAAACAGTTTCTTGTACTTTGTAGAGACTTATTGGTGTTTCTTTTTTTCCTTTTAGAGTCCATGCAAGACAGACACCCTGAAACAGAGTATTTTTCTGTGCAGAACCCTTCATGCTCACCTTGTCCATCAGGATGGGTGACCTACGCCAGGCGCTGCTTCAAGTATTTTGACCAAGGCATAACCTGGGTCTCTGCTGAGGTAAGCCTCATTTTATTCACTTAGTCCAAAAAGACTTGAGACTTAATAGTCTTCGAAAGAAAATACATTAAAGGCAAGACAAGTACAATGATGAAATATAAATTAATTCAAATTATAATTTAAAAGGTAATAAATTAATGAAGAATAGAAATTAGAAACATTATTAAAACAACAGATTTGAAAACAGAAGAATTATTCAAATGAAAATCAAAATAAAAATGAAATTAGAATAATAAAGCACCATTACAGTAAAGAAGTGCAGTAGAGCTAACAGTGTTTTAAACGCTGCTTCTCCATATTTAGTCTTTATGTTCAGCAGGACTAACTGACTAGTTCATAATGATCTGAGAGTTCTGCTCAGCTCATATTGCTGCGGCATGTCGGATAAATACGCTGCTCCTGAACCATTTTTAGATTTATACACCTGTAATAGTACCTTAAACTCTATTCTGTAACAGACTGGCAGCCACTGTAAGAATTTAAGAACGGGGGGTGATGTGTTCCCTTCTTTTACTCCTAGTGAGACTCTGGCAGCTGCATTTTGAATCCTGGTCTGTTTTAGTCTGATCTTGTTGATGTTCCTAAGGTGATAAAAAGCTGATTTAGTAACTGCTTTGATATGACTGTCAGTCAGCCAGTCTGTGCCTCTCATTGCTATTCCCGAATAAAATAATGTCTTATTGTTGTTTTATTTTTATTCAACTGCAGGAAGTTTTGTTCCATCCAGTTAGTGATGTGCTCAAGGCACTTACAAAGTGAGTCAAGTGTTCCATAGCGCCAAGTAGATCTGAGTATCATCTGCATAGATGTGGTAAGATATCCCACAGTCTTGCAGTATTTGGCCAAGAGGAAGCCTGTACAAATTAAATAAGAGCAGCCCAAGAACTGAGCCCTGGAGGACACCACAGGTCACTGGCACTGTCTCAGAAACACTGTTTTCTATTTTGAGGAAGTAATCCATTCTTTGCAGGTATGAACTGAACTATATTAGGACAGTTTTTGAGATACCAACCGAGTTCTCAAGTCTATCCTTAAGATTTTTATGGTCAATGGTATCGAAGACAGCGCTAAGATCAAGCAGTAGTAGAACAGATACTTTTCCAAAGTCTGTATTTAAGTGAATTTCATTAAGAACCTTAATTAGAGCTCTTTCAGTACCATGATTAGGTCGATATCCTGACTGAATTTGTCTAGATACGTATTTAAGGACAGAAAGCCAGTAAGTTGCTTGAAGATAATTTTCTCAATGATTTTTCCAGTGAAAGGTAAATTCAAAATCCACCTGTAATTACTCAGTTGGTAAGTCTAGGTAAGAGAGGCTTCACAACTGCAGTTTTAAATGTGACAGGAAAAACACCGACATGAGTGAGGTGTTTACTATCTGAAGTAGTTGGTTGGTAACGTGTCAAGACTACAAGTGGGTGATTTGAGATGACTCACCGTATCAATCAGAATGTCATTATTAATAGCACTAAACTGGGACATTTTAACCATGACATCTTTACATGGTAATGGAGAGAACACGGCCCTTTGGTGGATACAGATGTATCAATAGCTTGCCTCGTTTTATGGATTTTATGGTTTAAAAAATTCTGCAAACTCATTACATCTCTCAGTTGATACTAGTTCAGGGGCCATGATAGTCTAGCTTTGCCCATTATTTTGATGTAATCAAGCAGCCTATCTTTGAAGATTTCTTTGTGGATCTGAAGCTTGGTTTTAAGCCATCTGCATTCAGCCATCCTGCATTCTCTCTTTTGGAGTTGAACTGTAGTAGCATTCTGTTGGCATGACATGGTTTTAACTTTAACTGGTGCAATCTCATCCATGACACTGGCAATTTTTGCGTTGAAGCTATCCAGCAAAGCATCGACAGAATCAGATAATTTGCATGGTGCTGAGCACATTCTGGAGAAGGCTCTGTTAATGGTGCTTGTTTGATGATTTGATGAACTAGTAAACAGAGCATGGCATTCATTGGCATTTAGCTGTTTTAATCTCTCTTTTTTTGCTTCCTTTCAGAGAATAGATTAAAATGTAATAACAGTGTATTAATAATCTCCACTATAAACTGCAGCAGTAAAAAGATGTAATCACATTCTGTGTTGTACAGGAAAGCTGATAGTCAGGAGTGGAAAAAAATGAAAAAGTGTTTCACAACCAAAGCCAAGAGTAAAATTACACAATCTCTGATTCCCCTCACACCTTCAGTGGAAAAGATGTGATCTCTAATGCAGCAGCTGTGAAAACCACAACCGTTTAACAGGACATGAAATCTGCTGATCTTCAGACGTCTTGGCCTCTACCATTTAATCTTATCTATATCTTAGAGGGGAATGCCACCATTTTTTTAGATGTCAGCATAATTTGATTGCTGATATGTGAGCAAAGTCATCCAGAGTGGTTTGATAGGAAATCATTCTTAGTACAAAACTCTGATTTCTTCACTGAGGTGCTGATGGGAACCAGAGGTCACAATGTCTACAACACAAATATAGCCATTTTATTTTACTTGTATTGTTGTTTATGTTAAAAAATAGTGGTAGAAAAAGTTTTGTGTGCTACTTTAGAGGTATAGGGGTACCCTGTGTATACCTCTACACATGAATGGATTAAAGAATTTAAAATTAAACCGTAACTTTATCTTAAAACCATGGTAAAACAATGTATCTGGCACCAGTGGTGCATATACACATGTCTGAGGAGACTGATTTACCGTATACATGTCTGAACATTACTAGAGATGCGTTTGTGTCTGTGTATTTCGTGTTGGACTTTGAGTTGACCAGCAAAGACTTTACATTCATCCACAAGTCATATCCTGTCATAGCCAGTGTGCACCTTTATGTCTTGCAATGTTTTCTAGTGTTCTTCTTTTTCCCACCTTCATGATACGGTCATAACATTAATATAAAACCAGCTATCAGATAGCTGATATGTAGCACGAGTGTAAATTTAACATGTCAAAGCACGTTATTTGAATTTATGAAATAATGATGACAACAGTAACACCAACACCCACAATCCAACCCAACAAATCATGATTTAATTCTCCCATCTTTAGTCAATTTTCATGAGTTTTTAACTTTCACATTTGACATAACAAATGAATAAACTTACGTAAAATAAGCAATTTTAAGCACTACATGCAAAAGTTTATACACCCCTTGATGAATTACATATTTTTGTCAATTGAAAATATTTTTTGATGAGAAGAACTTCTACAGAGAACAAACTTTGCATTTTTCTGGGAATTTTAGTGAACAATTTCTGTTTATTTGCTAAATTTCACATATTGGAAAACATAAAATATATGGACATAAATATTGTGGACACTTTTGCACAGGCCATTCAATTTTTTTCTCAGTATGTTATATGTATATGACTGTATATCCACATATTCAGATATCACTACACTACTGGTTTTAGGCATCAGGCAGCTCATCTGTGACCATTTCATTTATTAACTTTCTGTGAAGGAGCTTTTAGAGGCATTAAGTTTTTCATCTTCCGACGTCTGGTTCCTATCACCACCACGGTGAACAATTCAGACTGTAAGTTTCTCTACAACAGAGTGTTTCACACCAAACCACTCTGAATGACTTTGTTTACATCTTAAGGATTGATGTTTTAATGGCTGATTCATCTTAAAGGGGAATTCCACCAGTTTTTCAAAATGTCTGAATAATTTCTTGAGATGTAAACAAAGTCATTCAGAGTGGTTTGGTGTGAAATGGTTCATTGTAGAGAAACCTGCGGACTCAGATTTCCTGACAGTGGTGCTGATAGGAACCAGGGATCAACACAAATATAGCCATTTTACTATCCAAACCAACCATTGAACCTACACATGTCTTCTGAGTTTTTATATGCAATGATGATGATGGTAAAATAGTCATAAATATGGAAAAATAACTTCTTTTGGGGCTATTTTGCTTCACAATGCACTGCATGTACCTCTCTGTCGTGACTGGATTAAAATAAATGAACTGAAATACATTTTAAGTCTAAGATTGATCATAAAACAATGCATCAGGAAGCGTAGATCTAACCTTTTCATTTAATAACTTTCTGTAAGGGAGCTTAAACTCTTCAGACATCTGGTTCCTTTCGCCACCACTGTGAACAATTCTGACTTGGCGAGTTTCTCTAGAATGGAGCATTTCATACCAAACCACTTTGAATTACATTGTTTACATCTTAAGCATTTAATTATGCAGAATTTGTGAGGAATCTGTGGAATTCCACTTTAAGAATTGATTTAATTGTGTGGAAAATAAGCAGAAATCCCCCTTTGGAACTCCCCTTTAAAAGATAATGCTATTCATGATCACTAGAAAATAAGGTAACACATCCTCTGCAGAGAACACACTTCTGCATGTTTAATGCACAATTATTGTTTATTTATTTTTATCAACGTTGGGGAAAAAAACTCTCTGTAGAGTTTCTGTTAACTTAAATTCAACAAAACAAACTTTTTCATACAACTGTAGTATTGGATCAGTAGTATTTGATCTGTAAAACAAACATATATTGTGTTTTTGGTATACAGTAAGACATTGGGGAGGGCACAATGAATGCAGTGAGTAAGTGCTCTTTCATTCATGCCAGCAGAAAGACACACAACACAACACAACAGCAAACCTAAGGAGAGGTCACCAGCAGCCATAGGCTACCAACCAATGGTGACCCCCTCCCCAAAACAAAATACCCACTCCCAGACACGTAAACAACAACATAAACACTTACATATACCTCATAACAAAACAAACAGCAACATAACAACAAAATACAACAGTAAGCAGTCCGGGGGTGCGCACCTACCCATAAGCCTCCTCACCTCCCAATGGAGTACGGCCAGTAGTGGGGTGCTACATAGCCTCCCAGCCACATTGACCATCCTGGCGATGAAACAGCTCTAGCCAAGTCCCTGGATGGTTGCTGTGCAGCGATTGGAGGGCTGAGAGCATAATGATGTGATTGACCATACACTCACAGAAAACAAATGAAATTTCATCAATCCTACCAAATTTGGTTTATTAAAATATTCTTTCCCTGTTCAATTATGTAAACCTATGGTCAATCTGGGTAGGCCCTGATGGTGAAGGGGAATAAATAAATCTCATCAAAAAAAAGAAAAAATAGGCCAATAAGTTGCCCTGAATTACTTGGGCCCCCAGGCAAGCCAATAACGGTATAAGTGGGGAATTTTTGGTAAAATAAAAAAATACATCTAAAATTTTTAGTTCGATTTTATTGAATAGACCCATTAAGCTTATTGTATTTAAACTCTGCAAATATTGTAGCAATTTCCGTGTTACTATTTGTTTGAAAACAAAAAGCTTCAAATCTTGAAACATCAAATGGAAATTTGTCCAGTCAGTGTTTTTGTCTCTGTGGTATTTATGTAGATACAGCCAAGTGAGCTCTCCCATTGGTTAGAACTTCAAGAGCTGAACAGAAAATCTAACATGATATATTAACCATTGCCATGAACAGGAACTGACAGTGGAATCAACTATTGTCAGTTCCCAAATATTTAGGATTTATAATAGGTGGGACCTTTGAGTTTAAAATGTCACTCTGGGCCTTGTGGACGTCTTAGATATGTGCAACTTACAAAGTAAAATATATGCAAATCTCTGTGAAAAGCTTCAAATAAATGATGGAACGTCTTTAAAAGCTTCAGCTGTTTAATCTAGAACCACAAAAAAGTTAATGTAAATCACTGTTAGCTTGATGCCAACATAGGAATCCCATAGGGGTGCTAGCAGGATTCAGCATTATCACAGAGGTATGAATACATTCATATACCTAAAGGATTTAACACCTGACCTCATATGACTCTTCTTTGTATTGATGTCAATGTTTTAATGAACAATGACCAAATGAAAATGCACAGCTAACATATTTATTCTCTTTCTAGACTCACTGTTTAAGTCTGGGTGCCAATTTGGTCTCAATACACAATGAAAATGAAAACCAGCTGGTCAAAGCCCTGATCCGCGCTTATGACCCTAAAGAGAAACCTACGTGGATCGGACTCTCAAATTGTCACAAGGTACAGCAATGTTCAAACATGATTGATGATTTTGAAAAACAAGCAGAGATATTTTACTATTGTGATAAAATGTAAAGTAATTTCAAATGATCACTTTATTATATGCATCATGTACAGTTATTTTACACATATACTGTAACACTGTACTGCTCAGAGCTGGACAGCACGGCACTAGAAAATCTTTTTACAACAGTGCATTTTGTGCAGTACATATTTTTTCGAAGAAATCGGTTTCTTCAAGATGAAAAATGAAGAAGACCTGTTTTCTGTTATGATTTTCTAATACTATTTTCCATGGCAGAGTTTTTGCAATCCCAACCACCTTCCAATCTCTTTCCAATTCCTCAGTCTTACCACAGTTATTAAACATTGGCTGGGGGGGGTCCGACCTTCTGGCTCCAGGCAGAAGTCATCCAGTACTCAAGCTAAAGTCCTCAGAATTCTCTCTCCTCCCTCAATCAATCTTCCCTCACATGACCATCATATGTTGAAGACATGGTCCAAAACTTGCAAACTGAATTTTCATCATTGTACTGCGTTTTTAACCCTACAGAAAAAGTGTTCATTCTCTATAATACTGATCAATGCTAATGTTAACATCTTTCTGATATATTTTCTGGTTCTAGCCAGAAAATAAGTGCATTTAAGCATACATCAACAATTCAGTATATACATACATACATACATACATACATACATCAAGTTTTCCTTAATATCTCAACAGTAACAATTATAATAAACTAAATGTAGATGTTTCACATGCTATCAATCCCAATATTTTAGCAAAGAGGCATGTGGATATAACTTCACTATAGAAATGTCCAGCCTTTTAATTAAAAAAAATCTTAAAATGTAAAACCTCTTTATCTACACCATGAATGTGTGTTTGTCTTTGCAGAAGAACAGCTGGATCTGGTCTGATGGAACCAGATTTGTGTACAGCAGGTGGAATAAAAAAGAGCCAAATCATAGCTATGGAGAGTGTTGTGTGCACATGAACTGGGGGAGTAAGTTTCAATCAAAACTTAAACAGAAGATTTTTGCTTAAGTTCTGCTTATTCTCCTAATCCTGAACATCTTTCAGTGAGTGACCTTGTTCCTCTTTGCCTACAGTGGAGAAGAACTGGAATGATATTCCATGCAATGAGGCGCATCCATTTGTCTGCGTCAAGAGACGGTGGTAAAACTGTAAGGGCCAGGAAACACATGGCAGAATTAAAATGTTTTAAAATTGCAGAAGCTGTTAATCTAAAATTTGTATTGTAATTAAATAAAAAAAAAATCATTCTGAAAATAAAGGATGCATATGAAGAATGAGCAGTATTTAGAGTTTTTGGTGATTTAATGCTCATTTTTACACACTGAGACAGTGTTGAACATCTGAGTTGATCTTCTGAGGTTCACAAGCAGAGATCTAACTTGGTCTAGGATGACCAGCTCAGCAGCCAGCTAACCGGCTAACAGGCTAGTTAGGTTTTTAGTTGAATTATTAACTGAAGGATTCAGTGTAAAACTGCAACATATAAAGTGTGCACAGGATTCTCTGCATAGTTAATGGTTAAGATGTAAACAAAAGTGGTCAGAATGATTTGGTGTGAAATGCTCTGTTGTAGAGAAACTTGCTGAGTCAGAATTGTTCACAGTGATGGTGATAGGAACCAGACGTCTGAAGAGGTTAATGCCTCAAAAAGCTCCCTCACAGAAAGGTATTACATGAAATGGTTTCAAATGTGCTATCTGATGCCTGAGACTTTCTTTATATAATAGTTTTGAGGAAACTTTTGACTTAAATTATGCCTTAAAATCCATTCAAAGTGGAGTGATATATGCTTGGTGTTGTGAGGTAAAACAGTCCCCAAAGGAAAAGTGTTTTGTCAAATTACCTCGATTTCCCCATCATTATTATATATAAAAACTACATAACTATAAAAACTGGTTTTCCATAGTAAATAAAAAGGCTATTTTTGCCATGGCTATTGTAGATGATGTGACCTCTGGTTTTTATAAACCACCACTGTAAAGAAATCAGTCAAGTTTCTCTACAATGAAACATTCTCTTTTACACCTGATTGATATCTGATTGCTGTGTGGGAGGAAATATGCAAATCCAGTCATTACGTGGTGACCGACTACTAATTGTTTATCCGTTTAGCCTCTTCTTGTGCTATGCTAACGATGCTGCCTCGAAATTCGTAATTTTACAACCCCAATTCCAAAAAAGTTGGGACGCTATGTAAAATGTAAATAAATGTAAATAAAAACAGAATGTAATGATTTGCAAATCTCATAGACCCATATTTTATTCACAATAGAACATAGAACATATATCAGATGTTGAAAGTGAGACATTTTACCATTTCATGAAAAACATTAACTCATTTAGAACTTGATAGCAGCAACGCATCTCAAAGAAGTTGGGACAGGGCCACCTCTAGAATTGTGTAGCATCCTCTCTTCTTTTAACAACAGCCTATGAACATCTGGGAAGTGAGGAGACCAATTGCTGGAGTTCTGGGAGAGGAATGTTGTCCCATTCTTGTCTGATGTAGGATTCTAGCTGCTCAACAGTCCTGGGTCCTCTTTGCCGGATTTTTCGTTTCATGATGCACCAAATGTTTTCTATTGGTGAAAGGTCTAGACTACAGGCAGGTTTGTTCAGCACCTGGACTCTTCTTCTGCAAAGCCATGCTGTTGTGGTGGATGCTATGCATGGCCTTCCCTGAAAGAGATGTTGTCTGGACGGCAGCATATTTTGCCAAAACCTGTATATTTTGTTCAGCATTAATGGTGCCTTCACAGATGTGCAAGTTACTTATGCCGTGTGCACTAATGCTCCACCATATCATGGATGCTGGCTTTTGAACTGTGTGATAATTACAAGCAGGGAGGTCTTTAGCGTGGAGGATGCAGTGTCCATGGTTTTCAAAAAGAATTTAAAATTTTGATTCATTGGACCACAGGACACTTTTCAACTTTGCCTCAGTCCATCTTAAATGAGCTTGGGCCCAGAGAAGTTGGAAGCGTTTCTGGATACTGTTTATATATGATTTCTTCTTTGCATGGTACAGCTTTAATTTGCGTTTGTGGATTGCACGGCGAACTGTGTTTACAGATTTCTGGAAGTGTTCCTGAGCCCATGCAGTGATTTCTAGTACAGAATCATGCATGTTTTTTATGCAGTGCCATCTGAGGGCCCAGTGATCACAAGCATCCAATATTGACCGTGGGCCTTTGTCCTTTGTGTACAGGGATTTCTCCAGATTCTCTAAATCTTTTATGTACTGTACATAGTGGGATATCCAAAGTCTTTGCAATTTTACATTGAGGAACATTTTTCTGAAATTGTTTCATAATTTTTAGATGCAGTTTTTCACAGGTTGGTGAACCTCTGCCCATCTTTGCTTCTGAGAGACTCTGGCTCTCTAAAATGCTCTTTTTCAGTCATGTGAGTTAGTTGCAATTTATTCCTTCAGCTGTTTTTTTATTAGCAGCACTTACTTTTCCAGCCTTTTGTTGCCCCATCCCAACTTTTTTGAGATGCGTTGTCGCCATCAAGTTCTAAATGAGTTAATGTTTTTCATGAAATGGTAAAATGTCTCACTTTCAACATCTGATATGTGTTATATGTTCTATTGTGAAAAAAATATGGGTCTATGAGATTTGCAAATCATTACATTCTGATATATATATATATATATATATATATATATATATATATATATGCATATATATATATATATAATATATATATATATATATATATATATATATATATATATATATATATATATATATATTTATATATACATACACATATATGCAAAGTTTTGTGGTTCTAGATGAAAAAGAATAATAATAATAATATGAGGAATGTCTCATTATTACTGTAAGGGAGACTCTCCAGACAGATTGGAATATGATACCCGTTTACTCAAAACACATAAAAACCAAAAGCAGAGCCAGAAACAGTCCAAAAGTAAAAAAAAAAACAGAACACAGAGTCCAAGAGTTCAGAAAAGGGTCTAGGTAATCCAAAATATCCAACAGTCAAGAGGAAACAAGGCTTGGCATGCAGATTAACTGGCAATACCTCACAGAGAGCCAGTGTTATCGAAGGTCCTTATATAGGGAGGTAAATGAGCTGCAGGTGAGAGAGGTCAGGGTGTAACTAGGAAGTAAGTCAGTACTCAGGTGAGGCTGGTGGCGAAGGCGGGTATTACACCTAACAATTACAATCTTGACATTGTAACAATAGAAGAAAGCTTTTTGGTGCTGTATAAAACGCTTCTCAAAAAAGTTCTATATAGAACCATCTACAGCACATTCTCCATCAATCTGAAGAACGTTTTCAGAATGCAAAGAACCCTTTAATCATACAAAGAGCTGTTTGAGTGTGCATGATTCTATATAGAACCATTTTCTTCACTAAAGAACCCTTGAAGAGCTATAATTTTTAAGAGTGCAGCAGAGCTGAACTGTCATCTTAGAACAATATCCATTTTAATGCAGTGAATTGCCTCAAGTATGTATGTTATATGGTATGTTTTTGGAAATATTCATCACGTTTCCTCTCTCTTAATCCTCTTGGACAGATATCATTCCAGTCTAACACCAAAGCCTGCTGTACAGACACCTTGTTGCACCCCAGGATAGCACAGCTAATTCGTTTGGACATTTGAACGGGACCTTAAAACAAAATTCTGCAGGGAATAGAAGAGAAACTCATAAGAGATTCAAAGCTGCATCAGGTCTGAGTTAAGGTAAGTTTTTTTTTGTTTGTTTGTCTGCAATAATTATGCAGGGAGAAGCAGTCAAGTCACGTTTAAAAAGCGGACAAAAAGCAGTACAAAGCAGCAGCGCTGTGTAAGAGTGGCGATTCGCATCAGCAGCACTGTGTGTCCTTTCTGTTGGTTCTGGCAGAGCTGGGTAAAGTGCAGTTTATAGTTTTATTTGATTTCCAGTAAGTGTGGCTAGTGTTGGTACACCACTGTTTATTAAAGTTAATAATTAATTAATTTTACCGTAAAGAGTCATGGGTCATTGTTTAAGGGGAGTCGTGCCCTCTCAGTCATTTCTTTCACCCCCTTGCCTAATAAATCCTGCCACCAGGCCTGTAATAGATTCACACAGCTCTTTTAAAGCACCTTATTATGCAGACAACATAATAAGGAAATGATTTAAGGGCTTTTTCTAGAATGCTTTCTTTGTAATGCATTCATAGTTGTACCCATATAAAATATCACACTAGTTCAGAATGTCTCCTTTTCTCTTTTAAAAAGGTGCCACAAGTGCTTAATCACATATCCAGAAATTTGACTGGAATGCACAAGATGGAAAACATGCAGCATGAAGGAATCAGAACAGTTTCCAAGAAAGCTCATTTTCAATCAATTTTTCTTCCAACATGAAGAGTTGGGTGGGATCTGGAGTTTGTGGGGGTGTTCACCACTTTCTGAAGAGTATAAAACTACAGCACTTTCCCCACAGCAGTACATCTAATCACTGAATCACAAGAGATTCCTCATCAAGACCTGCATCAAGAACTATCTGCAGGTATGAAAATGTTTATTCTACTTTACTTTTATTGTTATTTTCAGATTATATTTGCATTTACTCACATCAGATCTTCTTTTAGAACCTGAAGAAGAGCCATTATGGGTAGCGTGACTCAAATGTCATTGCTTTTTGTTCTCTTCTTGGCTTCGTCAGCTGGTAAGAGTTTCATCTCTTTTAGCATCACTGTAACACTGACAATACTGATGGAAATACCAAATATAATAAATATAATTACTATTTACAGACAGCATAATATGTAAAATATACTGTACAGTGTTCACTGTAGAGGAGACCACTTTGAATGATTCTTTTTCTTGTTTCAGATCTGGTGATTAAACCTGTATCAGGTAATGATGACAGTTCAGCTCTTCTATTATACTTGTTCTTCGTTAATAAAGCCATTACAGTAAAGACCAGCTTATTAATATTATTCTCTATCTGCTTTTTCAGAGACTGATTTCAGCACATTAGTTAAAGGTAAAGAGATTCACAGGTTAACTGCATGAATCAAAGAAAATCAGAGAAAACTGCAATTATCATTATCATATTGATAGTTGTTAGTCATTACAGTACTGTCCTGACATTTCTCCATTTCCTTGAACAGAACAAACTGAAATGAGACCTGAAATGCCTACTGAGCAGTGTGGGCCCAGCTGTCCGTTCGGCTGGGTGAAGTTTGATGGACGTTGCTTCAACTACTTTTCTCAAGCTGTGGACTGGGCCACTGCTGAGGTAAAGTCCGGTCTCTTGTATTGAATTTGAATGAAGGCTTTAAGGGCTGTTTAGAGGGCCCCCACCCCAGGACTGCTGGAACCGCAGTGGTGAGCAGGCATTCGACCCACCACTTTTCAGAGTGCTGTGGCGATGCCCTGCTACTTTTTGAGATCAGGCGTACACATAAAAACCTCCGCTTTCCTTAAACTGCACCGGAACGCTGACCAGCATGAACAGACAGAGTAAAACTGAGCAGCAGAGCCAATCGGAGCCTCCATTTCAGCTGGGAGGAGACCTGCCTTGGTTGATGCGGACCTGTCCAACTTTTTTTTTTAGACTCCACCCGAATTCAGGCAGCACCACACACCTGAACTGCGCTAATTCATGAGAGAATTCAATACCAGAGCACATTTTTCCACTGCACATTTTCGCTGTACTGTCTGCACAACCTGCTGCTTTAACATTTCACTCTTTACAGACTCATATCAGTCCTGCACTGCGAGCTGCTGTAAACAATGAGATACAAGCAATACAATAATGAAATGCTTTAGATTTTGGTATATGGACCATGGAGCATAATTTTGGCCAAGTATCAGCGACCTGACCGGTTAAATTTAAACTGGTGTACACACAGTCTCTATTTTTTGTTTTTCTGTTTCCATGGTGGTGAGTGTAAGAGTAACATAGCGCTTGCAAAACTTCTGATCAGTAAACAAACACCCACGTGTGTAATTTAGTCCACTTTGGCCGTTGCAGTCCACCATCCAAACCAATGGAAAGAGATACAATATCACAAAAAAACACCCCCAAAAATACTGTGGTGCATCTTTAGAAAATGAACTGGGTAGGAAAACAGCCTGATGGTCTTCAGAGATATTAGCTAACAAATACTGCTATCTGAGGCTGCAGCTATTGAAGCAGCATCAAAACAAACACTGACACTGTTCATGATCATGTTCAGAGGTGGGTAGAGGAGCCTAAATGAAGTAAGTAAAAGTAAAGTAAAACTATCTTCCCCAAAACAACCTAAGCAGAAATTCAAAAGGAGCAGGTTGAAAATCTACTTAAGTACTGAGCCAGCATTTGTCAGCATAGGAACTGAAGAGTGTGCAGTTTTGTTATTCTCTTTTGGGAATCTTGAGTTTTGGTACAAATCTCTGAAGTCAGATCACAAATCAATTACAGTACAGTCTAAATATTGCCACCATCGAAAACAAACTTGAAATCCATCAGTATTTTAATTAAGTACATGTTCTGAATAGATTAATAAGATGTCATTAGCATGATATGAAAGGCAATTTTAGGCAGTGGCCTAAGTGATTTAGTCACTTAGCCAGCCACTTTTTTTCCTTTTTTTTTAACAGTATGTTTTGCCCCACCACTTTCGGAGGTGCGGCACCACCCCTGCCCCACTCCCGGGTCTGCACTCTGATGTAATGGGATTCTGTCATTGGTGACCTTGAAATTTGGATGTGTTATGGGTATCCAGCATTTGCCTTGCATCAAGAATTCAGTGATTTTGCTCTCTTTTTCTCTCTGTTTTTCTAGGCTCATTGTTTGAATCAGGGCGCTAACCTGGTCTCGATACACAATGAAAACGAAAATCAACTGGTGAAGGCTCTCATCCGTGTTCACGACCCCAAGGAGAATCCCACATGGCTCGGTCTCAACAACTGTCAGAAGGTAAAAGAAACCGCAGCTCTAACATTAGATAATGAAGACACAGTAAAGTCAGTTACTCGGGTAGCAGGTGGTTTATTGTGTACTTTCTTTAGCACAACTGATAAAAAGATCACAGTAGTGCTAAAATGTGATAAAACAAAAAGGAAATGGCAAAAAAGCTCTTTAACTTTACTAGATTGCCTTTACTTGTATTCAGACCTATTTCTGACCCTAACTAAATCATTTATATGTAAGTACAAAAAGGAAGTCTGTTTAAAATCTTATTTATCACTGCTGTCAGAAGAAAACCTCATATATCCAATTTTAGTCGTTTTTCAGTTTTTGACATAATCTAAAAATGCCTGTTGCCCTTGTACATAGTGTTTAAATTTCATGATGAACAGCCCAAAATGAGTTGTAAAAACATCTGGTTCCATTGAATTACATTAAAATGAATGTAGGTTTTTTCCTTCTCCTGTAAAGTTAGCATTTTGGAGATAAATGCCATGGCTTAGCAAACAGGCCTGTGTCTTGCAGTAACAAAAAACTCTTGTCTTAAATCAGAATTTAGAGCCAGTTTTCAAAGCCTGTGTAACACATGAGCCTGTCTTTATGTTTTCAGAGGGATAGCTGGTTCTGGTCTGATGGGACCAAATACGACTACAGCAAGTGGAATAAAGATGAACCCAATCATTTGAATGACGAGTGCTGTGTGCACTTGAACTGGGGTGGTAAGTTCTAGTTAATCCAATTTGTTTGTGTTTATAAGTTTCCTAATCTTGGAAAATCTTCTCGTGAGTCTTTATTCTTGTTTCTGTTTGTCTACAGATGAAAAGAACTGGAATGATATTCCATGTAATCAACCGTATCCCTATGTCTGTGTCAAGAGGCCGGCGTGAAACTCTGAATGCCAAGAAAAATATTGTTAAAATGTCAGACGCTGTTAATAAAGAAAAAAACAGATCAGACATCGGACGCAGACATGCAGAGATGCATCACAGATACTGTCCAAAATAAAGCCTTTTGAAATAAAAATGTTTCTACAAGACTCCCTTTTGCCATGAGCAATAACAGGTGGTTTCAGGCAGTACTCCTCCATTGCTGAGGTCTGAATCACTATACAGGTGTAATAGTGATGAAATATGTTTTGTGAGTTTGGAGACTTTTGCAGTAAGAAGTAATCGTAATAAGTTGGAATTATGTTGTCTTAAAACAGTAACAATGAAAGCCAAGCAGTCTTGAAAGTAGTCAACATAAGACCTTACCTAATAAGTCTTCTCTCTGTGGCTGTAGTTAAATAGTAGGGTTTCAAATGAAACGCATTTAGGCACCAGACTGTAACTACTGCAGTGTTTGAGGCGAGATGGAAAAGACGTTAATCGCTTTACAGTGGAGCTTGTGACAGACATATTAGTGTGTTAGCTGTCGCTCTTTTCCATTTTTAACAGCCCATTCATTAGGCTGACTTATGCAGAAGAGTGATTGTTTTTCTCAAGAAATTGGTGCCGCCTATTGAAAATCAAACCATGATTGGTTTATTTGTTTGTCACTGTGTAATTATGCTAAGAGTTAATTTAATGCAGGGGTGCACACCTCTGGTCCTGGAGGGCTGGTGTCCAGCACAGTTTAGAGGTTTCCCTGCTCAAATACACCCATTTAACCTGTGTTAGAGCAGGCAAATCACCAAACTGTGCTGGACACCGGCTCTCCAGGACCGGACTTGTGCACCCATGATCTAATGCTTTAGGACTTCTCTTCAGCTCTTGAGGTCCTACCCAATAGGAGAGTCTAGAAGTTTTAATAATAAAAGGGAAAGGCCAAAACAAGTGCAGTGATAGGCTAAGGTCAAAACTGAGAGAGCAAACTGACAAAACATCGGGCTGAGCAAAACAGTAGTCAAGGTCAAAAGCCAAAAAGAGATTCCAAAAAGCAGCAAACAAAATGAATCCAAAGACAAAGAATGATTGTTAGGAGACAGAACTGGCCAGACGCTTGCGATTAAAATCAGGAAATGAGACTTTAGTTAGAACATGATCAATACCCATCGTGAAAAACATGCAAAGGCCAAATGCAGAACAAGACACATACAAGAAGGGACGAACATAATAAAGAGAAATATGGGCAAACATGATCCAAGGGCAAAAAAGTCAAGAAATACAAAGTGGAAGTCCGTTACACAGGAAACAATAAACACAGGATAAACACTCAGCAGCTCTAATGAAAGAAGCAATATATCGCTGTTGTTGGAAGAAAACCTCAAAAAAATCTCCAAAATGGTAACTTTACAGGAGAAGGAAATGTAAGTCGATGGAACCAGACAGTACTGGAACACTATATCAACTCACATGCAGTGTTCACAGGGGAACAAATAAAAATGCTAGAGTAAAATGTATTTTTCATAACTATTTTGTTTGTCTATTAAATTATGTGTTTAACAAGGTTCTCATATTTGTCAGAAACTTTCACAATAAGTAGATAATGCCTTAGCAACAAAGTCCAATTTGTCCACACACTCATCTGGCATGCTATGTTCACAGGGCCAAAATAAAAACGTCTTCAGTAAAATTTCTTTTGCGGTAATTTAAGAGTGTGTTATATTATTTTTTATACAACAGTTAGTCCCAGCCACGCAAGCTGATTGGTTGAGAAGCGTTCTAACTGTGCTGTTATTTCGCCATAACATCACAGGTTTTTCACAAACACTGTATCATTCCGCTGAGACGCCGTTGCTAAGCAACTAGTTTGACAGCTGTAGGTGACGCTCAAGCCATTTGAACACTTTTACTTACTACTTTGCCACAAACAGAAAATGAACACTTTTACGATCACGTTTGACCGACAGCCGATTTGGTCAGACTCTGAAGATGAGACTATAGATAATCTGACGTAGCAACAAGCTGCTTGTTGAAGAAACTATAATTTGGCAGAAGGAACTGCTGACATTAAAACATATTAAACACCACGTTCACAGCCCAGTTCATTCATTTCTTACTTTATTTACTTAACCGTTGTATAAAAGCAATAGAACACTTGAGGTCATGTGTTATCATGAATAACATAATGATGCCTTACTCAAAAGTACATTTTGCCTTAACTCTATAGTCTTAGATGCCATGTTCACAGTGTCATTATAAAAAAGTCTACTGAAAAATTTCTTTTTCTTCAGGATTTTGACAGTTGGTTGAATTCTGTATTAATCCTGATTATGAGAATCAGGAGATAATACCTTAGTACTTAGGCCCTAAAGTACATTTTCCCCTTCACTCTAGTTTTATACACTGAGGGTCATAAAAAAGTACTTTAATATTTTTTACATTCTTCTTCAGGATTTTGATTTTTTTTTAATCTTATTTCCGATTTCATGAGGTGTTTAGATATTCAGGAGAGTTCTCTGTAAAAAATCTTGATTGATAAGTGTCATTCAGATGTTTTGAGAATCTCAAGATAAAATAAGTGCCTTAAACTACATATATATATATATATATATATATATATATATATATATATATATATATATATATATATATATTAATGTCACAGATCATCTTCAGAAGATAAATACAATCACGATATGGTTCGCTAAATTTTGTAAGTAGGCTTCAAACAGTAAAATAACAAGATATTAAGGGCAGCCAAACAGACAATGCAATACCTACTCCCTATGTATTAAAACAGTAGTTTTAAGAAAATGTGGCATTGCAAAATGTCTCATAATTCAGCATAATTCAGCTTTTAATAATTGGACAATAAGTCCATAGCAAATTAGCACAACTTTACACTTTCTCTTATTTACTTACTGTGTTTTACACAATGCTGAGTTATAAAATATGGGGACTGTGAGATTCCGTTCAAAATTAAACTTGGACAGTCACTGAGTGTGTTTTTGATTTTTATTCAGGGTTATTACACAGCGTTTGATTTATATATGTGTATATATATATATATATATATATATATATATATATGCCATTCTCAGTGTTAAGGCACGCCATCTACAGGTGTCAGACTGTAACTGCGGCACAATTTAAGGTAAATTCAATTAAGAAGCTATCAAATACAAAACTGGCTGTTGAGGCAGGTTAGATTTATTGAGTTTGACCTAAAATGTCATTACTTTCCAACTTACCTTTTTCAGTGACCGCCGCTGAGACCAATTTCCCGCTCAGACTGGGTGAGGACGTTGCAGCGTCTCTCCCACTCAAATTATCATATTATAAGTTTTTCAGAAGCGATTAATTTAATTTAATTATGTATATATATATATATATATATATATATATATATATAGAGAGAGAGAGAGAGAGAGAGAGAGAGAGAGAGAGAGAGATAGATAGATAGATATTTCACAGCTGTTGGAGCAAAACCTGGCATCTCCAAAATCGTGACTTTACAGGAGAAGGAAAAACATACTCTACTTTTAATGTAAGTCAATGGAACCAGACTTTTTTCCAAGTCATTTTGGGTCATTTTTTTGAATCCATTCATCATGAAACTGACATACAATGTAAAGAGAAACAGGCATTTTTAAAATATGTCAAAAAGTGAAAAAAGTGAAAAAAGTGAAAAAAATGGAGATGACAACAGCGTTTAATATGTATATATATATATATATATATATATATATATATATATATATAGAGAGAGAGAGAGAGAGAGAGAGAGAGAGAGAGAGAATGAACATAATCAGTACTCAGTACTCAGGTGACTAGGATCTGCTGACTGAACGCTGATTGGCTGGCTGAGTTTGTATTGAAGTGTGAGTCCAACTGAGAACTGGGAAGCGTGACAATGTTACTACTAATGTTTCCATAACGTTAGTTTTTGTCTAACAGAGAATATTGTGGTAGCAATATATAATAATAAATTAAATAAATAAATTAGAATAATATTGTGACACAAACCATTATTACAGCACACGTTTCAGAACGTTCCACAAACGTTATTTCTGTAACATTACAGTCAGACGCAGCTCACATTAAATAATGTGACAGATTGATATTTCACACTTTATGATCACAAAAGATATTGCAACATGATTTATGAGAAATACAGCATTATGATGAAATTTTAGCGGAAGCTGTGCTTTCTGCGTAGTCTTCGAGGAGCTGCCACTGTGCTAAAGTAACGCTAGCTAGCACAGTGTTTCTCAACCTGTGGGCCACGGACCACCAGTGGGCCATGAAGCACTCTCTAGTGGTCCATGGGCCTGAACTCGGTGGGAGGCAGTAGTTCGTAGTGGGCCGGTAGAGACGTGTAAACAAAAACACCACAGTCGCAGGCTAATTAAAAGTCACCAGTTTGAGACAATGGATAGGTTCCTTATGGTGTTTCTCCTATGTTGTTCGGTGCAGACCTATCAAACCTTTTTCTTTAGCTCGCTCCATTCTGACTCCATCCGTATTCGGGTCTGAAACAAACAGCTGAAACCCGCGGGTCTCGATCTGCTTCCAACCAAACCCTGTTCAGTTCACTGCTGGTGGGAACGCGTTTTATGGTCAAACGAGGGAATTCATCAGTAGGACCAGCTTTCCTTCTCTTCTAGCAGCACGTCAGCGCTGTCCTGTCAGCATAATCTGCCTGTTTTAACGTCTGACTTATTGGTCTCATATCATTCCTACAGCTCGAGTTGCAGCTGATAAAAATGACAGACGAGCCATAAAATAACAGCTGTGATCCGTGTTTGATGTCTGGCTGAGCATCAGCGACCTGAGTAGTTAAACTCAGCTTGATAAACTACTGACAAGGAAGCAGATATCAAGTAAAATGTATTATTATTGTTGATTGTAGCAACGCTGATCCAAAAGCATGAGTGGAGTGAGGTTTATTTCAAATGAGGCACTAAAAGCCTCAAAACTAAAGGGACTCTCCAGACCAAACAGTGACTCCTGTGGAAAGGACACAAGAGTATTTTCAGTGAAATCGTGATGGACTGCAGCTCCAAATCACAGTCCACATCTACATCTACCTGTTTTTCTTTTTCTTCTTTTTTGATCTCTGCAAACACACACACACACACACACACACACACACACACACACACACATAAGAAACACACGCAAATAAGAAAAACAAGAAAACCATTTGAAAAAAAACAGCACCAAAAAGTGTTCGTTTATTATTTCAAGCTTGACATCGTAACAATAGAAGAACCCTTTTTGGTGCTGTATAGAGCCCTTCAGAAAAAGGTTCTAAATAGAACCATCTACAGCACATTTCACATAATACAAATTTCACACATAGTAAGGTGGTTTCTATTTTCAGAAACAACAGATCACGTATACAGCAATTTCAGTGAAACACAAGAGCAAAACAGAGTCATAATATAATAAACACCTGCAATACACAGCTGTACAGCAACAGCCTTTCCTTTAATCACTCTAATCAGGGACTTTTTAGCACATCACTAAAGGAAATGTCAAACTTCCTTGAAAAGCGGTGCCTGGCTGACACGTGTAGTGCTTTAGGAGCAGTTATGAAATGAAAACAAAGCAGTTTCAATCGAATTTCATAACAGTCATCAGACAGCTATGAAAAGCTTTCTAGCACCCAGGGATGGATCGTGGTCTTGAGAGGCCCCTGGACACAAGAGTCATTTGAAGCCCCTTTCTGGTAACGTAACAGTGGCAGGGGCAGGATTATATTTCAAGAACCGTCCTTCAGCTTGTAGGCTACCTTTATTGTCCAGGTTCTGTTATCTCTTAGGATGTATTATGTAATGTTGTTTGATCTTGGAACATCTATCTTCCTTATAAAAGAAGAATCCAAATCCGTAATCTGCTGTTGTCACAAAGTAGAATGTCAGAAAATGAACAAAACCCTAAAAAAAAAAAAAGTATGTATGGGGCATACAGGATTACGGCTGCTGGCGCTAGTTATCTAATACACACACACACACACGGACACACACACACATCCTTCTGGGTCACGGGGGGTGCTGGAGCCTATCCCAGCAGTCATTGGGCAGAAGGCAGGATACACCCTGGATAGGTCACCAGTCCATCGCAGGGCAGACAGACATATACATTCATACACACACTCACACACACACTCACTCCAAGGGGCAATTTAGCATCTCCAAGTAACCTGACTGCATGTCTTTAGACTGAGGGAGGAAACCCAAACAGACATAGGGAGAACATGCAAACTCCACACAGAAAGGACCCTGGTCGAACCCAGGCCCCTTTTTGCTGTGAGGCGATAGGGCTACCCACTGCGCCACCGTGCTGCCCAATAACTAAGTAAGTAAGTAAGTAAGTAAGCAAGTAAGTAAGGAAGTAACTAACTAACTAACTAACTAAGTGAGTAACTAAGTAACTAACTAAGTAACTAAGTAAGTAACTAAGTAACTAACTAAGTAAGTAAGTAACTAAGTAAGTAACTAAGTAAGTAACTAACTAACTAACTTACTAACTAACTAACTACCTAACTAACTAAACAAACAAACAAACAAACAAATGAACCCTGAAAAGTGATATTTCATGTTCATGTCCACTTTGAGCAATAATGGCAATTTGGTTATATTTTGTTACAGAAATATACAAAGTTAGCTGTATTGTGTATAATAACCTAGAGTGTCTACATCATAACAATTCTCATGCAATATTTGGATCAAGGTTTCATCTCTTTTTTGCAAACAAACACACATCTTACACACATTACAATCCGATTTCAATGGCAATGAAAACAATATTCCCATTAATAATAAGTGAAAACAGAAAGGGGGCCTGAAAACAGGTAACACTTCTTAAATGATATGATTTTCTTGGTTATATTCACATCGTGAGGGCTATTCTCAACCTAATGTTTGCATCTGCAGTATATGCCTCAAGTATTTGTGCCCTGTCAGTTAGAGACCCCTGGGCACTCACTCCAGTGGCCAAAAATATGGTGTGTGTGCGCAGAGGTGGCAACATGACTCTTAAAGTGGAGGGACAAACATTACTTCAAAAACTTGTAATAATAATAATAATAATAAATCATTTTCAAAAATAAAGTTAAAAAAGAACTGTGGCTGAATGATTGACAAAAGACTAGGACAACTAGACCACTGAGAGTCTAACTAAAACTCTTTCAGCACAACATACAACATATGTCTTTGGTTTTTGTTTTGTTTAGTTCTGTGGATGAAACATCGCAATACATGATTCTACAGAGAAGAGTTAAAAACTGAACCTGTGCAAGTGCAAAAGAGACTCAGAGAGGTCTCCAAATCCCCAAAACTTACACTCTGCAGCTTTTTGTAACGATGAGCTAAAAATGACAGACATTCATTTTTCTATTTCTAAGGAATCATTAGGCCTAGAAGGCCCTTATTAGTACCATGTTTATTGAACAAACATATAAACATCACAAAACCATCAATGGAACAAATTATGTGAATCTTTGGATTCAATAACTACAAGCATCTTAAACATGCCTTAAAGTGGGCCTTGCTGGGTATCATAGTTTTAGCACTCTGCATGAATCCAAGAGGACAGAGAAAAAATGGCTACCTTATGCTAATTGTTTATTTTTCCTCAATAATGGCCAAAAGATTGAATCATCATCAAAATTCTTGCAATTTTAGCTCACGGACACTCCAGACAAACAATTACTGTAAAGGTGTCTAAAGTGCCACTTGTTTTCAAGATCTCTAAAAGCAAAAATGTACAAAATTTTTCAGGTGATGGGTAAATTTTTGATCAAAAAAGGAGCCAAATTCATAAAGTTATCAAATTTCTGTTAGAATTTGCCTGTCAAATAATGGCATATCTGAGTAATCTGCGTAGCCCAGGGTCTCCTGAAAATAACAACATATACTTTATAACTGCAATTGTAATTGTAATTGACCCAAAATAGCAAAAAAATTCCCCCCAAAATTCGAGGGTCCTAAGGGTTAATAGGCAACAACTGAATTTCTCTTTCTGTAGCTGCTACAGCATGGGCTTCAGGCCCATTTCTTTATAAATTAGATGTATTACCACTTTTGAGTCTTCACAATATACAAGAAAACTGTATCACTTTAGATTCATTTTAGAATCTAGATTCATTGCTAGATTCATACAGCTCTGTTACAGCACCTTATTATGCAGAGAATCTAATAAGGAAATATAATAAGTTTAAGGTTCTGATATTGATCTTGCTACACACATATAAAAGCCATAGATCAGACAATATAGTAATAAATTAGAGCCTCTTCTTTTCTCTTTTAAAAAGGTGTGTCCCAGGTTTGCATGATTATCAGAGAATTATGCCTATAAACCTGACAGGAAAGCACAAGATGGAAAACGTGCAGCATGTAGGAAGCAGAATGTTTGCCAAGAATGATCAAGTTTCAATCAACATGCACTCCAACAAGAAGAGTTGGGTGGGATCTGGAGTTTGTGGGGGTGTTCACCACTTTCTGAAGAGTATAAAACTACAGCACTTTCCCCACAGCAGTACATCTAATCACTGAATCACAAGAGGTTCCTCATCAAGAACTATCTGCAGGTATGAAAACATTTATTGTTTTACTGTTATTTAACAGATTATATTTGCATTTTCTCACCTCAGATTTTTCATTTAGAACCTAAAGAAGAGCCATTATGGTTGGAGTGACTGAAATGTCATTGCTTTTTGTTCTTTTCATGGCTACATCAGCTTCTGGTAAGAGTTTAATCTCTATTGACATCACTGTAACACTGACGCTGCTAAAGCAAATACCAAATATAATAAATTTACTATGTGCCCCGTAGAAGAGACCACTTTATAATTTTTCTTCTTGTTTCAGGTCTGGTGATTAAACCTGTATCAGGTAATGATGACAGTTCAGCTCTTTTATTATACTTATTCTTCATTAATAAAGCCATTACAGTAAAGACAGCTTATTAATATTATTCTCTGTCTGCTTTTCCAGAGACTGATTTCAATGCATTAGTTAAAGGTGAAGAGATTCACTGCTTAACTAACTGAAATGATCATCATTGATAGTTTTGATCTGTCCTAAAATTTCTTAATTCCCTTGAACAGAACAAATCAGTGAGCCACAAAAGAGAGTGGATGCTGTGCAGCCATGTGTGCCCAGCTGTCCGTTCGGCTGGGTGAAGTTTGATGGACGCTGCTTCAACTACGTTTCCTGGTCTGTGGACTGGGCCTCTGCTGAGGTAAAGTCTGGTCTCTTGTTGAATCTATAATGAAGGTTTTAGGGGCTGTTCAGAGGGCCCCCCACCCACCGGTCAACACTCTGATGTAATGTGATTGTGCCAATGGTGTCCAGTGAGCTTGAACTTCATTCTATTAGATTTTATAATGTGTTATGGGTATCCAGCGTTTGCCTTGCATCAAGAATTCAGTGATTTTGCTCTCTTTTTCTCTCTGTTTTTCTAGGCTCATTGTTTAAATCAGGGCGCTAACCTGGTCTCGATACACAATGAAAATGAATATCAGACAGTGAAGGCTCTCATCCGTGCTTATGACCCCAAGGAGAATCCCACATGGCTCGGCCTCAACAACTGTCAGAAGGTAAAAGAAACCGCAGCTCTAACATTAGATAATGAAGACACAGTAAAGTCAGTTACTCGGGTAGCAGATGGTTTATTGTATACTTTCTTTAGCACAGCTCATAAAAAGATCACAGTAGTGCTAAAATGTGATAAAACAAAAAGGAAATGGCAAAAAAAGCTCTTTAACTTTACTAGATTGCCTTTACTTGTATTCAGACCTATTTCTGACCCTAACTAAATCATTTATATGCAAGAACAAAAAGTACTCCAATTTTTGTCATTTTGCACTTTTTGATGTAATTTGAAAATGCCTGTTGCCCTTTACATTGTGTTTAAATTTCATGATGAACGGACTGAAAGAAATGGATCAAAATGACTTGTAAAAACATCTGGTTCCATTGACTTACATTAGAAGTAAAGTATGATTTGCTTCTCCTGAAAAAGTTACCATTTTGGAGATACAAAGGTTTTTTGTCTGACAACAGCAATATAAGACAATATAGTAAATTACTATAAAATGTTTCATTTATTTCAGATAAATGCCACGGCTTACCAAACAGGTGTAACACTCCAGAACTGATTAGATACTCCCAGATGAAATTAGAAAAAGAGGCTTTACTGATTGAAACAGTTTCCAAACTCGTCGTCAAAACACCGGCAATGGTCAGATCCAAAACAGTCCAAAAACACAAAAAGACAAACATAACCAGAAGGCAGACAAAATCCAAAAGGGCAGAGACAAAAAGCAGAGTCAAATATCCAGGAAACCAAGTAGGCACCGCAAGAGAAAACACTCAGTAGCTCACAAGAAAGCAATACCTCACAAAAATCTAACTAAAGCCTGGGCTTTAAATGCTAACTATCATTGGTCACATGAACAAGGAAGATGTGAAAGATATCAGCATTCTGGTGAAGCAGAACGATGATAGGTTGTGGAATGAAAGTCATCAGTCACGTGATCCCAAGGGAGTTCTGGGAGTTGAAGTTCTCAGATAGAGCTGATCTGGATGGATCTGTGTCTTGCAGTAACAAAAAACTCTTGTCTTGAATCAGAATTTAAAAACTGTTTTTAAAGCCTGTGTAACACATGAACATGTCTTTATGTTTTCAGAGGGATAGCTGGTTCTGGTCTGATGGGACCAAATTTGGGTACAGAAAGTGGAATAAAGAGGAACCCAATCATTTGAATAACGAGTGCTGTGTGCACATGAACTGGGGTGGTAAGTTCCAGTTAATCCAGTCTGTTTGTGTTTATAAGTTTCCTAATCTTGGAAAATCTTCTCATGAGTCTTTATTCTTTTTCCTGTTTCCTGTCTGCAGTTCAGAAGGACTGGAATGATATTCCATGTAATCAACCGTATCCCTTTGTCTGTGTCAAGAGGCTGAGATGAAACACTGAACGTCAAGAAAAGTGTTCTCATAACGACCGACACTGTTGATCTGCCGTTTGTAAACTAGTAGAAAATGACATTCGTATGATCATAATGTAAATTAAGACTATTTTTATTTGGAGTATGTTTATTAGAGCACAGCTGAGTGCATTTTTTATTTTTTCTCTCTTTGACAATGTTAAAAACAGATGTGCAGAGCTACATCAGAGATACTATTCAAAATAAAGCGTTTTAAATAAAAACGTTTCTACAAGATTCCCTTTTTTCATGAGCAAGACCAGCTGGTTTCACACAGCACTTTTCCATTGCTGAGATCTAAATCACTGAACAGGTGTAAGACGGTGTTGTGTATGTTTGGATACATAATCACACGAAGTTAATATTGGGTTGTCTTAAATCATTTTATTTCATGCATTTATTAACCACAAGTGCAGCAGGTTAATAGTGCCATTAGTTTGCTAATTAGCCAGGCAGGCAGGGTTTGCTAAAAAGCTACCCACAGTGGAATCAGTGGAATACACCAGTAATGGAGATTGAGATGGTCATTGGGATCCTCTCTGGTTGAATCTACTGGTGGGTGAGTGAAATCCAGAGTGAAAGATGTGAGTAAGTTAGCTAAACAATTAAAATTGAGATGATTTTCATGTATAAAAAGCACTTGTGGTAGCATCATAGACTCCTGGCATCCATGCAGAACCCAAAATGACTGTACTGTGGCTTTCAGCATCATAAGATCTAACCATTTGTCTTGTCTTACAACCCCATTTCTAAAAAAAGTTGGGATGCTGTGCAAAATGTAAATAAAAACAGAATTCAATGATGAGCAAATTATTTAAACCCTATATTTACTTGAAATAGTACCAAGACTACATATCAAATGTTGAAAGTGGAAAAAAAAATGTTGTTTTGAGTTTTGATGCCAGCAACATGTTTCAAAAAAGGACAGGGCAACAAAAGACTGTCAAAGTTGTGAAATCCTAAAAAAAAACACCTGTTGAAATATTTCACAACTAATTAGGATAGTTGGCAACAGGTCAGTAACATGATTGGGTATAAAAGCATCCCAGAGATGCTGAGTCTTTGAGAAGTAAAGATGGAGAGGGGCTCACCACCCTGTGAAAAACTGCATGGGCAAGTAGTGCAACAATTCAAGAATAATGTTTCTCAATGTAACATAGCAGACCTTGGGGATTTAATCATCTACGGTACATAATATCATTAAAGGTTTCAGAGAATCTGGAGAAATCTCTGTACGCAAGGGACAAGGAAAAACAATACTGACTGGTTGTGATCTTCAGGCCCTCAGACGGCACTGCATTAAAAACTGACATGATTCTGTAGTGCAAATCACTGCATGTACTCAGTAACACTTACAAAAACCACTGTCTGTGAACACAGTTTGCTGCTGCATCCACAAATGCAAGTTAAAACTCAATTGTGCAAAGAAGAAACCATGTATAAACAGGATCCTGAAACACCGCCACCTTCTCTGGGCCCGAGCTCATTTAAGATGGACTGAAGAGAAGTGGAAAAGTCCTGCGGTCTGATGAATCAAAATTTATTTTTTTTTTAATCGTGGATGCTGCATCCTCCGGGCTGAAGAGGAGAGAGACCACCTGGCTTCTTTAAAAGCCAACACTGGTGATGGTATTGTGGTGTAATAGTGCACATGGCATGAGTGACTTGCACATCTGTGAAGGCATAATTAATGCTGAACGATATATATAAAGGTTTTGGAAACATATGCTGCCATCCAGATGACGTCTTTTTCATGGAAGGCCTTGCATATTTCAGCAAGACAACGTCCACATTCTGCATGTATTACAACAGCATGGCTCCATATTAAAAGAGGCCGGGTGCTAAAGTGACTTGTCTGCAGTCCAGATCTGTCACCCACTGATAACATTTGGTGCATTATGAAGCAAAAAAATATGACAAAGCAGACCCTGAACTGTTGAACAGCTGAAATTCTATATCAAGCAAGAATGGGAAACATTTCACTTTCAAAACTACAGCAATTGCTCTCCTCAGTTTCCAAACCATTGCAGAGTGTTGTTGAAAGAGGTGATGCAGCACAGTGGTAAACATGCCCCCGTCCCAACTTTTTCGAAAATATGTTGCCGGCATTAATTCAAAATGGGCATTTACTTTTCAGAAAACAATAACATTTCTCAGTTTAAACCTTCTACTTGTTGATTTTGACCAGTTAATTACAGGTTTAAAAGATTTGTACATTTAATAATTTAACATTTTGCACAGCATCCCAACCTTTTTTGGAAACGATTGTAACGATTGTAATTTACCACGAAAAAGGCTCTTCAATGCTAGTCGGCTCAAAAGACCTGACTTGTTCACAAATGTAGCAAAACTGATGGTCTTCAGACAGTTGGGGCTTCACATTAGAGCAGATACAAGCAATAACTGTACAAATACAGTAATCAGCTGCATTTAGAAATACAGTAAACTACTGTATGTACTGGAACTACAGTACATTTTTTGCAGTGTAATTCTTTACTCCTCCAGGGGGCAGCAGCACCAGCTGTGTGTAAGTTCAAACATAGGCTATTTGAAAACCTTTTTTGCTTGAGCGTACTAGCTCCTAACTATTTACACCTCTCCCTGAGCAGGTGTAAGTAAGTGTTGGGGAAAACAACAGAAGCCTGCTGTCTAATAACACTGCCTCGTCTGTCTCGACTGCATCTATGGTATAGCATGGCTTCACAGCCATCCTTGAAGCATATTAATACCAGAGCAGGGGTATGAGGAGCCTGGCCACTTCTTATTCCCCCTATTATATCAAAAACAGGACTGCTAAACAACAGAGGGCCCCCATGAGCGAGTCCTCAATGAATGGGAGTAAATGGAGCTCAGCAGCTAAAAACAGAAAGTTAAAATAGTTTCTAACCACTTACCCAGAACTTTCCTTTAATTTTAGAAAGTAGAAGGATGTATTTCACTAAAAAAACAATATATGTCCTTTTTGAACGTACACGAAGCGCCATTTTAAACTCCTGTAACTCAAGCTTAAAAGCTCTTAAAATACAACAGCAGTGTTAAAATGTTTTATGCTATTCAGTGTTCAAGAAATAACTGTATTCTTTTACATTAAAAATATAGGGCAGCACTGTGGTGCAGTGGGTAGCGCTGTTGCCTCACAGCAAGAATGGCTTGGGTTCGATTTCCGGCTGGGTGACCAGGGTTGTTTCTGTGTGGAGTTTGCATGTTCTCCCCGTGTCTGCGTGGGTTTCCTCCCACGGTCCAAAAACATGCAGTCAGGCCAATTGGACATGCTAAAATTGCCCCTAGGTGTGAATGTGTATGTCTGTCTGTCTGCCCTGCGATGGACTGGCGACCTGTCCAGGGTGTATCCTGCCCTCTGCCCAATGACAGCTGGGATAGGCTCCAGCACCCCACTGCGACCCAGAAAGATAAGCGGTTTAGATGATGTACGTATGTACATTGAAAATATTTAAGCATTTATAAACTATGATTTTGCTCAAATGCTCCATCTTCACCCATTCATTTTGGACTCACTCGGGAGTGCCCTCTAGTGTTTGAGAAACGTGGAAGACATTATGGAGTAGTAATTCTCCTCTCTACAAGTTCTCTGTTAATACACATTGTAAGGTAGTTTCTATTTTCAGAAACAACAGATCACGTATACAGCAATTTCAGTGAAACACAAGTACAAAACAGAGTCATAATATAACAGAGTCATAAAACTATAAACACCTGAAATATACAGCTGTACAGTAATAGCCTTTCCTTTAATCAGTCTAATCAGGGACTTATCAGCAAATCACTAAAGGTGAAGTCATACTTCCTTGAAAAGCTGTGTCTGGCTGACACGTGTAGTGCTTTTAAAGCGTTTATGAAAAAGAAAACAAAGCAATTTTAATTGAATTTCATAACAGTCATCAGACAGATATAAAAAAAGATTCTTGCCTCAAGTATTTGAGAGGCCCTTGGGCACAGGAGTCTTTGGCGGTCCTCCTGTAGGAATGTGTAACACATTAAAATAGTAATATTAATAATATGATTTTCTCATATCAGTCATATTCACATATTCAAGGCTTATTTGTTCACCTAATGTTTGCATCTGCAGTGGATTGCCTCAAGCATTTGAGCCCCTTTGGACTTTGATGTCTGAGGTCCCCTGAGGCCCCTTCTTTACAGTGGTGCTGATAGGAACCAGGGGTCACAATGTCCACAACACAAATATAGCCATTTATTTTCTATCCAGAACCACCAGTGAACCTACACACTGCAGTTTTTTTATGTAATGTTAATGATGGTAAATGATGGTTAATGATGGTAAAATAGTGAAAAAATAAGTTTTCTTTGGGGACTATTTTGTTTCACAACACTCTACATGTGCCTTTCCACCATACATGGATTTCATGTAATAACTTTCTGTGAGGGACCTTTAGAGGCATTAAACTCCTCAGACGTCTGGCTCCTATCAGCACCACTGTCAACAACCCTGTTTTTCTGTAATGATGCATTTCACGTTAAACCACTCTGAATTACTTTGATCTGAACTATGTAGAAAAATGAGAAATATCAGTGGAACTCCCCTTTATTATTAATTGACCCTTATTAGTCCCACAACAGGGAAATGTCACCTCCACAATTACACACAAGGGAACAGTGAGCACACCTGCTCAGAGCAGTGGGCAGCCCTATCCACAGCACCCAGGGAGCAGCTGGGGGTTAGGTGCTTTGCTCAGGGGCACTTCATAGTGTCAGCTTAGGGGATCGAACTGGTGACCTTCTGGTCACAGGACTGATTCCCTAACCTCCAGCCCATGACTGCCTCAGAGAAACAAAAAACAAAATTGCACTGTCCTTAGCTTCGCTGTGGATACAGAACCGAGAACACTGAAAGAACCCTTTGCATTGATTAAAGGGTTCTTTGCATCATGAAATGGTTCTTCAGATCGCTGGAGAATGTGTTTTACATGATTCTATATAGTACCATTTTGAAAAGGATTCTATATAGCACCAAAAAGGGTTCTTTTATTGTTACAGTCTTGACATCAGTAGAGTAGAAGTATCTTTTGTTTGGTTGTATATTGAACCATTTTTAGAACACACACACACACACACACACACACACACACACACACACACACATTCTACAGAACCGTCCACTTTTCTATTTACCCATAGGTGTCACTGGTGATCATCAGTGTGATTTTTATTCCAAAATAAGAGATTTTTTGTTACACAGTAACACCAGTGGCATGACTTCTGGGGAACTTTCATTATATATTTTGTAATATTTATTCAGCATTTGTTTTCTATGTCATTTAATGTATATATTTCATAGTCATGTATAGATTATTGTAGTTAAAATTGCAGAAAAAACATTTTTTTTTGTTCAAAATATGGCCTCAGTCTTTACACATGACTGTGGGGACGAGCACTTCTGTGGTGCTTGGAATTCTAGATAATTGATTTAAAAACCAATATTGCTCAAACTTATTGTTTTATTTTAAAATATTAAATGTTTTTGAAGTGTAATATATCTGTAAGGCTATATATATATATATATATATATATATATATATATATACTTTTTTTTTTCCATATGAGAAATACGCCTGAGTACAGCTAAAGAAAAGCCTCAGGTGAAAGTTTTTAAATTGTTAAACTGCATCTAAGCTGTAACATATTTCACCCCCTGCAGGGTGTAACCAGAGCCGGTTCATGACTGTAACGGCGAATCGCGAATCGCTGATCTGTAAACGATGTCCCCCATTAAAATCTCATTGCGCGGTGCTTGTAGATCGGCTGAGTGCACCGGAAGCTGCTATGCTGGTTTACTTCCTATGACAGCGGGCGAAAATGAACGCAGCGAGTCTGTTTTTGCTCTCTTTTTCAGTCTAGCTCGTTGTGTTTTTCACACACTAAAGGTAAGAAACTCGCAGAGTAATCATTTAGTGAGCCGCAGCTCGTGGAGGCTCAGTAAGAGCTACGAGGCTGAACTCGGCTTCTTGTTCGAATTTTCCCGGTCCACCTTAAATACAGCCGCGGTTTCATTCGGCGCCGGAGCCTGCTGCTGTAACTGCTGCACCACTTAAGGTGGAACGGGGAAACTCGAACAAGGAGCCGAGTTCAGCCTCGTGTAAGAGCTCATATTGACAGACTGAATCCTGCAGGTTATCAGTCTCGCCGTCTTTAACATTCCTGTAACGTTATTTTCGTTTAACGTTACAAATCTGAGCCTCGTTTAGCTTCACATTCGGGCGAATATAGACTAGGCTGGGCGCTTAGACTAGGCTGGGGTTTGGTTTAGTCAACCTTACACGCCTAAAAGATGGTTCATCAAGGGTTCTTTAGTAAAGGCAGTGAACCATGAGTTCCATATAGAACCTTATTATGCTTAAATCGTTCTTTGCATGGTGGAAACATTCTTCAGATTGATGGAGAATATGCTGCAGATGGTTCTATGTAGAACCTTTTTGAAAAGGGTTCTATGTAGCACCAAAAAGGGCTCTTCTGTTGTCACAAGCTTGACATCATAACGATAGCAGAACGCTTTTTGGTGCTATATCGAATCCTTTTCAAAAAACTTATATATGGAACCATCTACAGCACAATCCCTATCAATCTGAAGAACCCTTTCATGATGCAGAGAACCCTTTAATAATGGTAAGTGTTCTTAGAGTGGTCATGGTTCTATATATGACCATGCAGTCTTGTTCACTCTCAACAGAATAGAGTACATGCTGAAAAAAGATGGTTCTTCAAAGGTTTTTTAGTAAAGGCAGTGGTTCTATTTAGAACCATGAGTTCCATGTAGAACCATTTAATGCAGAAATGGTTCTTTGCATCTTGACACGGTTCTTCAGATGGATGGAGAATGTGTTGTATATGATTTGTTCTTCAGATTGATAGTGCTGTTGATGGTTCTATATAGAACCTTTTTGAAAAGTCTACTTCTGTTGTTACAAGCTTGACAATAGCAGAACCCTTTTGTTGCTATTTAGAACCATTATCAAAAAGATTCTATGTAGAACCATCAACAGAACAATCTTTACCAATTTGAAGAACACTTTCGTGACACAAAGAACAAGAGTCCTTTAATCATGCTAAGTGTTCTTTGAGTGGTCATAGTTCTATATAGAACCATTTTCTTTACTAAAGAACCCTTGAAGAAACATTTCTTTTTTAAAAGTGTAGCTAATCATGACCATGTCACCTCGTTCACTCTCAACAGAATAGAATACATGCTGAAAAAAATGGTTCTTCAAGAGGCCTTTAGTAAAGTCACTGCTTCTATTTAGAACCATGAGTTCCGTATAGAACCTTTTCATGCTTAAATGGTTCTTTGCATGGAGAAAAGGTTCTTCAGATTGATGGAGTATGTGTTGTATATGATTCTATGTAGAACCTTTTTGAAAATGGTTCTATATAGCAGCAAAAAGGGTTCTGCTATTATTACAATGTCAAGCTTGTAACAATAGAGGAACCCATTTTGGTGCCATATAGAACCATTTTCAAAAGGGTTTTATATAGAACCATATACAACACATTCTTTATCAATCTGAAAATAGAATAATTAAAATATTTCAATAATTGCATAAGGAGTGTTTCAGTCTGAACTGCTTTTTGAATGTGGCACAATACAGGGCAGCCAATTAGAACAGAGCTAATTTACATACATCAGTCTTAAAGACACAGTAACCAAAACAGCCTGTTTAATTCTAAGCAAAATAGAAAGAAAACGGTCATATAAAAATTGTTTTGGATACATAAACACACAAATGTAGGATGCTGACCCTTTTAAAGGAAACTCTTTGCTCACTTTACTAGTTAAATTGTAATGTCTGTCTCCCACTTTTCAAGTGCAGTGATAGTTGAACACTATGGGTCTGTTATCTGACCCGAACCGACGGAAGGCCCTCACCAGCCTCCTCACCCGCCTCAACACACCTATATGGTAAGCAGCCACACACCATTATTACTTAGCTGTCTTTACAGATTGTCTGCTGCACGGTTCCTTTTTTCCCATATCGGTTTAGGTGATGATAAGAAACCTCATCAGTCCTGTCTGGTTTAATTTTGTAAACCTGTCTGTGTCTCAATGTCTGTATTTTGGACCATAAGTGTGGTGTGCTATTTGGCTGGAATTGCCTGGTTCATGGGCCTGGCGTTTGAACCCTTCACCCTGCGGACGTACATGTCAGAGAACGCCATGGGTTCCACCATGGTGGAGGAACGGTTCCCAGCTGGAGAGAGAGCCTTGGCCACCGCAAGGGAGTTTGCAGCCCATAAAAGAAAGGTTGGGTAAGTAGAACTCTTGGCACAAGTATTTGAGAAGTATGAAGGAACACAGTATGTCCAAAAGCTTGTAGACACCTGCTCGTCCATCGCTACTTCTGAAATCAGTGGTTTAATAGGGAGTTTGTCACTCTTTACTGCAGTAATAGCATCTACTTCTCTGGTAAGGCTTTACTCTAAAGGTTGGAACAATGCTGTGAAGATTTGATTGCATTCAGCCACAAGAGCACTAGTGAGGTCGGGTACTGATGATGGATGATCAGTTCTGGACACTCCAGCTCATCCCAAAGGTACTGGATGGAGCTCCATCACTCCAGAGAACACAGTTCTACTACTCCACTGTCTAATGCTGGGGAGATTTATACCCCCTTAGCTGACTGGGCTGTATTGGACATGGTGACCTTAGGCTCATGCCCAGCTGCTCCAGAGTGACCCAATCTATTCTTCAGTGCTTTTGTATGGAAATTATTCAAGCTGTGCAGTTGAGCTTGTGTGCCAGCAATTGGTACACATTAAAGTAGCAGAATGAACTAATCAGAAAGGATGTCTGGATACTTTGGGACATAGAGAACTTCTTTATGATCCTGTTTCACTTTTGCCTAAAATGTGTCCCCAGTGTGACAACATGGATTTTGATTTTACGTTTCAATGTAAACACAGATCATTTCCGTTTTTGTTTGTATTTACTTTCCCCTCCATAACGATACGAAAACAACAAACTTGGCTTGGATGCTTTTATCCGCCTAGAGTGCATGAAGACACGTCACACATCCCTCAAAAACTCCAGCAGCACTGCTGTGTCTGATCCACTCAGACCAGTGCAACACACACTAACACACCACCATGTCAGTGTTACTGCAGTGCTGAGAGTGATCCACCACAAATAGTACCTGCTCTGTGAGGGTCTATGGTGGTCCTAACCACTGAAGAACAGGGTAAACAGGGCTAACAAAGTATGCAGAGAAACAGATGGACTACAGTCTGTAACTGTAGAACTACAAAGTGCACCTACATAGTAAGTGGAGCTGATAAAATGGACAATGAGTGTAGAAACAAGGAGGTGGTCATAATGTTATGCCTGATCAGTGAATATGAACAATTTTTAATTCAATTTCTCCAGAATGGAACATGTCACATCAAACCAGTCTTGTGCATTGTGCTTTGTCATTTGTCACTTTAACGAGTTAAGATTTGTCGATTTAACTTCTCCACCTATCAGCATTATGCTGTCTGAAGCTGTAACAAATCTTCTGGAGGTTAATGAAGGCGAGACCAGTGAAGACTATGTGGCTCTTGCTGATACTGACCTCCTACAACAAAGACAGCAGGGAGAAACAGGCGGCACTCTAGACAGCTGTGGCCTGCACTGCTCCTGCTCACACGCATACTTACTGCTTTTCTTAACATGCACACACACTGCCGTAGTCTCGCTTTAAGATCAGGGTCCAATTCCCCTTCAGCTAAAGAGATTTTACACTGCTGTCTGTCTGCTTTCTAAAGATACTGTGGATCTCTCAGCTCCTTTCATTGGCAAGTCTAAGACTTGTAGCTCAGCATAGTTGTCAGTTAAAATAGGAAGGTATGTGGTCATTCTAGTGCTGGTTACACTTTGGGCCAGTTTCCCAAACCCAGATTAAGCCTTAGTCTAGACTAAATGTGATTTTTATTGGCTCGTCATTTACTGTTTATTGTGTTAACATTATTTTATCAAATTCTTGCTGATTTCTTTTTCTTGCATAATTTTTTTTATATATATATATTTTGTTTTTATTTAATGTGTAAGTCTCTTTTTGTCTTCTGACCCTCTGTGAAGTGCTTTGAGCTGCATTATATGTATGAAAGGTGCTATACAAATATAGCTTACTAGTAAGCTTATTATAAATGTGGTTTGAGTGATATAATTGTAATCCGATCACAATGTGTCCTGCTTTACATGCAGTCAAATGAAATCCGAACAAGATCCGGTCACTGAAAAACAGCCTTGGTTGGAGAAGAGTCAAAGAGAAAACTCAGTAGTACATTTCTGCATGTTTCAAGTGCAGATTTAATCTGTGAATGTAACAGTGGCTTCATTCTTTATCATTGCCCCTCTCTCTCTCTCTCTCTCTCTCTCTCTCTCTCTCTCTCTCTCTCTCTCTCTCTCTCTCTCTCCCTCTCCCTCTCCCTCTCCCTCTCCCTCTCTCCTTCACTCCCTGCAGGGGAATGCCAGTAGACTGGCTGGTGAAGACTATGCAGGCCAGAGGGTTGGAAGTATTCACCCAAAGCTTCTCCCGCACTCTGCCCTTTCCTGATGAGAACAAGGAGCGATATGTGAGTCTGTCCACTGAGATGCAGTTTACAAAACAAAACAAAAATTTGTAAGTGAAAATGAGCTAAAACATCCTCTACAGCAGAAAACTTTATGCACATTTCTGTGCTTTGTCTCGTCTTATCACACCTGATTCAGCTCATTCATTCATTGATTCAACAAGCTCCTCGTGGGCTCGATTAGGTGTGAAGAGTCAGAAAAATGTGCATGTTTTTAATGCAAAGTTACTGTTATGGAAAATTTGGAAAAGTAATAAAACATAAAAAAATGTGCCCAGTGCAAAAACTGTGGTACATTCTATAGTTTGAGTTTTTTTTCCCCTAAAAAAATCATAATAAATTCACTGAGATGTATGCAAAGTAATTCCGAGTAGTGGTATGTGAAATGCAACGTACCTACTTGGATTTTCTTTTCAGTGGTTGCAATAGGAACCACAAAGCAGCCATTTTATTTACTGTGCAAAGCCACCAGTGAACCCACAAATATGTTCTGAGTTTATGTGTGTAATGTTGATATGTAAAATAGAGCAAAATGAAAAAATACTATTTTGCTTTACAACATTCTGCCTTCACCTCTCTGCCATGAAGGGTTTTAAACAACATTTTAGGCCAGAAATTACCTTTTAAGTTTGTTTTCTGTAGAGGAACTTATTTCACTTAGAAAGTCAACAAAGCATGTCATTTGACTGGGGGTGTTCAAACTTTTGCAAACAACTGTACATGCACACACAGCCTTGTGTATTGAGCTTTGTCATTTGTCATCAATTTAACTTCTCCACCTATCAGCATTATGCTGTCTGAAGCTGTAACAAAGCTTCTGGAGGTAATGAAGGCGAGACCAGTGAAGACTGTGTGGCTCTTGCTGATACTGACCTCCTACAACAAAGACAGCAGGGAGAAACAGGCGGTACTATAGACAGCTGTGGCCTGCACTGCTCCTGCTCACACGCATACTTACTGCTTTTCTTAACCTGCACTGCTGTAGCCTTACTGTAAGGACAGGGTCTGATACAACTTCAGCTAGAGAGATTCTACACTGCTGTCTGTCTGCAAGTTGTGAGGTATGAAAAAGCTCTCCTCATGCTGCATTTCTCACCCTTTCCCCCTCAGATGGTTCGAGGCACTAACGTTTATGGGATCTTGCGTGCTCCTCGAGCTCCACGAACAGAGGCTTTGGTGCTCAGTGCTCCCTGCAGTCCTGACAACAGCAACAATCAGGCAGTGGGCCTTCTGCTGGGTTTGGCCCAGTATTTTAGAAGTAAGATGTTTTGTAAGCTCGCTGTATACACACACTGCACACACTTAATTGTTAGGACTCAGGATTTATAGAGAGTGTGAGCCATTGTTTGTCTGAATTGTGGTGCAAATCACTTTCATTTAGATTTTCACTCTGCTCAACTGTAACTCAAATACGTACCATTGCATTCCCTGCTTGAAAATGGGAAATTTGGCTCCCGAGTGGCGCAACCGTCTAAGCGTTGGCCCTATCATCAGGAGATCGCGAGTTCGATCCCTGGTGATGCTACAGCCATCCGTACAACTAAATTGGAAACAACTAATCTCCTCTTTCAATCCCAGGTCAGATTTACTGGGCAAAAGACATCATATTCCTGGTGAACGAGCATGATCTTATTGGCATGCAGGCCTGGTTGGAGGGATACCATCACACCAACATCACCGGTGAGTACCTTTTCGCTCCAATTTGAGGCAAAACAAAAACCAGCTGGTCATGTACATCTAGATGTTCAAAGGAACAGTTTGGCCAAACATTCTTTTTAGTCATACCATAACATTATAACTAAGTGCAGTTTCCATTATTCTAAGACCTTCTTCTGTTTTTGTAGTGGACATGAGTGAATATACACCGAGCGGCTGCTTCATTAAGTACAGCTCTTTGTATCTACTCACAGCTCCACTGGGCTCTACTTACCATATCAGTGTACTTTTTTAGTTCTACAGACTGTAGTCCATCTGCTTCTGTGCATACTTTGTGTCCACTCACTGTCCACTCTATTAGACACTCCTACCTTGTCAGTCCACCTTGTAGATGTAAAGTCAGAGACGATAGCTCATCTGCTGCTGCACAGTTTGTGTTGGTCATCCTCTAGTCCTTCATCAGTGGTCACAGGACGCTGCCCACAGGACGCTGTTGACTGGATATTTTTGGTTGGTGGACTATTCTCAGTCCAGCAGTGACACTGAGGTGTTTAAAAACTCCAGCAGCCCTGCTGTGTCTGATCCACTCAGACCAGCGCAACACACACTAACACACCACCACCATGCCAGTGTCACTGCACCACCCAAATAATACCTGCTCTGTGGTGGTCCTGTGGGGGTCCTGACCATTGAAGAACAGGGTAAAAGGAGGTGTTTTTTTACACACGCACACACACACAAACACGCATATATGAAAGCCTGATGTTGCTGATATCTTGCTTTGATGCTGATCAAATATCTGAAAATGTAGGTGCTGCAATAATTAAAATATATATATATATATATATATATATATAATATTATTTTATGCTTCTATTACTTCTTCATAATGATTTACATAGTGATTCTCCACATAATTCAGTGCTTAGATATGGAGTTTGACTGGACATCTTTTCTCATGGTCACTCAGGAATGGACTACACACCTCTGCAAGGCCGCGCTGGCTCCATCCAGGCTGCACTCTCACTGGAGCTCAGCAGTGATGTCATCACCAGTCTGGACCTAGTTCTGGAAGGTCTTAATGGGCAGCTCCCCAACCTGGATTTGGCCAACCTCTTCCATGCCTTTTGCCAGAAGATAGGAGTGCTCTGCACCATTCAGGGGAAGGTAGGGCAAGAATAACATTGGTGTTGTGGTTAGCATTATCCTGCTGTTGAAAGTTAGTCTTGCACAGGATTTGTACGTGGACAGGATATGTGAAAAATAGTATGCAGGGCATCTGTAATGTAGGTACATTTCATAGTTCACTATTTAAACTAGTCAACTTGATATTTATATGAACCATTCTACCAAGTTAGTTCAAACTGCAGTCCTACTGAAGAAAAAATATTTTAATGTTGTGATCTATTTACACCCAAAACATTAGTTACGATATTAACAAGCTAATTATATAGAATCATTTATAGGGTACTTTCTATTGGGAGGTGGCTGTCTCAAACATCTTTTTGATTTCTTAAAGTAAAGTTGACATATTTAGTTTCATCAGGAGTTTCTATGATTTTTTTTTGAGGACAATTCAAAATCTGAACATTTTTTCATATAAAAGACTACTGAATATTCAGGAAGTCACCTGGTTAAATCCCAGAATTAATAATTTCTTTATTTGGCCTGTCATGCTTGCTCTTTCTTACGACTCTTGTGGCATCTTTCAGCTCCAGAGGAGTGACTGGGACACTGCAGAGGGCTACACCCACGCTGTCCAGACCATGATGCTGATGGTGCTGAAGCAGGCCAGCGGGCGTCCCTGGGGTGACCACGGTCTCTTCCTCCGCTACCACATCGAGGCTGCATCACTCCACGGCATCAACAGCTTCAGACAGTACAAGACTGACGCCACCACTATCGGCAGGCATGTGTTGTTTACATGATCATTATTTAACCTTTTTAACTCCTTGGGACCACCGCTGGTTCCAAAATGCACTTCATCATATTCTTCATAACTTTCATATTTCAAAAGCTACATTCAAAAGGTGGGGGTCATATGGGAGCTGTAACTGTCTTCTTTCCAGTCAAATAGATGGGTGATGTAATTTTAAACACTATAATAGAAGAAGCTGAACAATTTTTTTTTTTGTCTACTGAAAGTCGACCCATTTTTCCACAAATCTGGGCTATAAACTATAAACAGATGGTGCCTTTATAAAATAATAGAAAGAGTGTCTAAGATTTTTGGCTTTCAGCTGTAAATTGTAAGCATATAGCAATATGTGTATGATCATAAAACACATTTTCTGTTAATTGGAGGGGAGCTTTTAAAATAAATAAATACATAAATAAAATTAAAATTTACATTTATTTAATGCAGTTACTGAATAATTTGCCTTACAGTTTGGTCATGTAAATTCAGATGGAAAAACCAAAATATACCCTGGTCAGTAAGAGGTTAACATACACCGAAATTTCTTTAGCATTTCTTACATTTTCAGGTTAAAGGGCGGAGACGTTCCTGGTAGCCCAGGATGTTTCTTTGTGCCAAATATAGGCATGTAGTTTTTGAGAAACTTATGCAGTTGTGGTTCTGGAGTAGTGCAATGTATTTGGTAATTAACAAGAGTCGTGTCTGCTTAAGCATGACTTGTTATTTAAACAATTTTTGTTCTCTCTTCTCTCAGGTTGTTGGAGGGAATGTTCCGGAAGTTGAATAATCTCCTGGAGCGGCTTCATCAGTCCTACTTCTTCTACCTGATGCCGTCGCTCGCTCACTTCGTCTCCATTGGCTACTACATGCCTGCGTTTGGCCTGCTGGCCACCATCCTGCTGCTACGAGTATCCTCACCCTCCCTGCTCCATGCACTTTACTTACATTTCACTTTATTTCAAGTCATCTTATTTACACAGTGCATTTAAAGGACAAGTATTGGCCAAAGTGCTGCCCTATTAATTCAAGTCATTTCAGTCAGAAGTATACACTAAAATGAATAAAAAATAAAGGCAGTAAAAGACAAAAATTACAGATGACCAGACAAGAAAAAACAATACATTTATTTATTTATTTTTAATTGGTTTTAAAAATGTCTGTTGTGGGAGATGCCTTTATTCAAAAGTGAAATCTGTTCCATAATCTTGCGGCTACAACAGAAAGAGCCCAGTCGCCTTTAAATCTCATTTGATTCTTAAAATTAAAAGCAGTTGGTTAGAAGATCTCAACAGAGCATATTTAAAAACAAATAATAAAACTTTGTAATAATAATAAAACTCTAATGTGTATTTGACTGGTAACCAGTGAAGGATGGATCTGTTCAAGGGTGATGCTTTCCTTTTTGCCGGTGCTAATCAGGAATCCAGCAGCTGCATTTTGGACCAGCTGCACACAGAACAGGGGCTGAACACCTGTATCCCTTGTTTTTGCCATTGTGCAAAAACCCAGTGCAAAATATCTTTGCAGAATTTCAGAAAAGCCACCAAATGGTAGACATTAAAACAGTTTTCCCTGAAAGTATCACAAAAAAAAAATATCACAAACTTTCTGTGTTGAAATTTCCCATCTTTATCCTGGTGGGTTTACTGAGAATGTCTTTAGAGTCCCTAACTCCAGTACAGGCATTGGACCTATGGGTGCAGCTGGGGAGTCCAGCCCAAGTAACCGAGGATGGAGCTGGCGAGGTGGAACCGGTCAGTATAAACAAACCAGGGCTTGTTTAAAATGACCATTCTGTTTTAATATCTCTCAATGGCATTCAAATGAGCCGCCATGTTAAAAAAATAGTTCTAGTAAGAAAAGAATTATTTTCCCCCATTTTTCAATGTAATATCAATTGCATTTCAGATTCAGATTCATATGAAATTTAACATTAAATTCAGCTTCATTTCAAGTGATGCTACTTCATTGTACTTCTCTGGTTTCAGGACCTTTGATGTATTAAAGTGTCCCTTATTTTCAGCTAGTTTAAGTTATTTCTTTCTTTCTCTCCCTCTCTGTCCTCTTTCACTCCCTCAAGCCTGCGAGTCCAGGGGTTCTGTCCGTGCTGACCCCGGTGGTGATCAGTCACTTGACGGGCGTGGCTCTGTACACACTGCCGGTTCTGTCTCAAGAGACAGCAGTAGAGCATTTCCCCGTGTCTGAAACAGAGGCTGTAGTTCTCACTGCTATTGCCATCTACACTGCAGGCCTGGCACTGCCCCACAACACCCACAGGTACTGTATGCACACATTAATACTTAAAACTCAGACATGCTCTAGGTCTGCTATCTGAGCCAGACAGGGATTGACAGTATATCGGGTTTCAGGATGGGTCCAGGGTGATTTACAGTACAAACAACTTTGGGCTCGGCTTTGTTTAAAGTAATAATTTTTAGGTAATGATTTGTTTTTATCTATAGAAATATGCCTATGTAAATTTTGTGCATTTATATGCAATTTGTCTTGAGCTGAGCGCTCTCTCTCTCTCTCTCTCTCTCGTATAGTCTGTTCAATTCAGTACATTTACAGGACTACTTCATAAAGAAATTATTGATTTTTGCTTTCTTAGTCATGACAGCTGTATCTGGCTACACAAACACAGCTAGATAATTCTGTGACAATGTTTTAAATTACTACAGATTTAGCAAAGAAAATAATAGCAAATAATCTAGGCTACTTGTTGAAGTATAAAAAATCTAAACAAATCTAATTAGCAAGTTAAGACATCGTAAAATAACAGGAATAAAACCATAATTACTTCCATAATTGTGAAAATCAACAGAACGACCATGTTCGTACTGGGTTGTATTGCAAATCTGTAGTCACAAGGGCCCTTTGCAGAAAAGGTTGGACACCCCTGGTCTTTGTGTATGGCAGAACCTAGCTAATGGTCTTTCTAACTGTTTTATTGATGAAATAAAAAGAAGGCTTGCTAAAGGAAAACTGCTAAAACTTAAACGAGACAGGAATGTCTTCATTGTGGAAACATGATGACCTGGTTGCTACGTCACATAAAAAGCACACTGGTCACACTCAATGTAGAGCTTGCAAGTATTGTGAGCTATGATTGCAAGAGGACCAGCACATTGTCTGTTCAGTAACATAGCTGTTCTGCGCTGAGAGCAGATTTGGGTTTAAAAATTTAGCGGTACCTGTCAGGCTGGGTTGGATCAGTTCTCAGGACTGTCAGGTTCGGGCTTAAGTTTTACGCACATGTAGACTTCTGGTTACTCATGTTGGCAGCTGTACATACAGAATGAAATTAAAATGAGTTTTTCAATATTTTTCATGTTACTCTTTCTCTCTTTCACAACACCAATCTCAGGTTTATCTCCGGGGAAGGGACGGAGCAGGGCTGGAGGGTGCTGAAGCTGGTGGCTCTGCTGTACTTGGCTGTGCTGCTGGGCTGCACCGCTCTCATCAACTTCTCCCTGGGCTTCATCTTAGCCATCACGCTGGTGCCTGCGGCCGCCTGCGTCACCCCACACCTGCCCAAGTAAATTAACAAATATTTACATAAACTGCAATAAATTAAGTTGGTAATGTGATTTAAAGTTCCCACATTTATGGTTTGCTTGAATCGCTTGGGTTAGCATCTTAGAAGGGCAGAAGTCATCAGCTAGGATCATTACCACGGTCTCCTCAGTAATAGCCTAGACTTTTCTGATGGGTGGAGTGTGGGAGGTTGAATTCCAGTCAAATAGCTGATATAGCCTATAGGTGGGAAAATCCTGCCTTAGAGGTTATCCTCCTGCTGCGTTTATTGCCAGCCTTGTTTTGCCCTGTAACATGCCAAATTCAACTCAAGAATGAGATGTATAAGGGCAAGAAGAAACACTATGGCTGCGTTCCAAAGCCTAAGCTGCAGCTGAGGTAGGGCGGGTCCTCAGTATGACTGTCTTATGAAGACTCCTCCTCAGTAGCCTATCGGTCACATAAATGGAACAGTCCTAACATGGCTGCGTGGTAACGTCACCAGTAGGGTCCCACCTCTTGCAACTGCAGCGCAAAAAATTGTGAGGGAACTGGTGAGAGAAAATGGAGCCTGTTGGGTTTGTTGCTTTTTTTTTGATAAACTACATATATGCAAATATTTCTAAATAAAATACAATATATGGACGAATGTTTTAATTAGTCAGTCACTGTACACTTTATAAGGTAACAAAGACAATGACTCAAACAACTTACATTTTAAAACAAGCTCTGCTCCAACGGCTTTGTTTTCCATCATTTTCGTGGTTTCCTTCGCATTGTTTGTGCACAGAGGTAACTGAAGGCCTGGAAAGATACATCTGTTGCATCCTTGAAATCAATCAGAATGTAGGCTGCATTTCTAGGCTGTATATGACGGGTCCTTCACTTTGGAGCTTCTTTCCATGACGCAGTGGCCGAGAAATGCAGCCTAGGCTTTTGAACGCAGGTTATAATGTGCAAAGCTGTAGCCCTTTAGAACTGGAATAGCCCATCCACTGGTATTACTCACCAATAGCTTGTTTTCCATTCAAACGTTTTGTTTTAAGTAAATATTTGAAAATTTGGTAAAAAATAAATAAGGTTTCCATCAACTACAGTTATGCACAAATTCCTGAAGATGATGTTAGACAATTTCCATATCGGCCGCTGCTCACCTGAGCTTCTCTGTTTCTCAGGGCTCCGACTGCTTTGGCGATGGTGCTGCTCAGTCCTGGCTGCACCATCCTCTACTGCGTCTTCATCTTCCAGGAGCTAAAGGAAGCACCCGTCACACTGCCGGAGGGCTGGATGCTCTTCCTGTCCGTCATCTCTCAGGGCATCCTGGACCACGCCCTCTATGGTTCACTGGTCTACCCCTTGTTGGCTCTGCTAATTTACCCCTGCTGGCTGCTGCTCTGGAACATTCTATTCTGGAAGTAATCCTGGGTCAGCTTTGCTCTGGACCAGCCCTCTCCCTCTACACCAGTGCCACCATGTGCCAGCTAGAAAGAAAGATCTTAGAAAAAGCAGGCAAGACTCAGCTTGGGAAAAGAGGAGGGGCTTAAATGTGTAGTGGGTGTGGTCAGGAATGTGGACGGGGCGGTGTTAACTCCTGCAGATAATTGAAAATGGAATTGGGCAAAAAGGGGATTGTCGAGGAGGACATTTCGTTTTGTTTTCATATTTCTTTTGGGAAAAGAATACTATATTTTAAAAAGGTTGACACCAGTTTAGACTGTTCTAAACAGAAAGATCATCTTTTTGACACTGGAAAGTAGCTTAAGTATGATTTTGAAATGATGTATTTATCTCTGTATGTACCACATACCTGTGAACAGGTGAGCTGAGTACAGATATTGCAGATGTACCCTGGATGAAATCTGTACATATGTGAATATATCCATAATTCACCAGGTAGCTAATACATTGGGTACTTCACTAGTTTAATAAATTAAAGTGAATGTTCAGGAAAAAGAACTGGCAGGCCGGGTGAACTGAAGTGAATGGGATAGAGCATTATAAAAACAGACACATATGGCACCGTGTTTGCTTGCTGTAGTCTTTATTAGAGAATTTTGACTCTGTGCATTTTACTTTGTCTAAATGTATTTTTGTTGTGAAAATAATTACGACCTGAAAGTGCCAATTAATGAAGGGATGCTGTCATCTCAGAACATCTTCCTCATAGTGAACATCGTCCAACTCACCCTTGGAAAAGGAGAAACCCTGAATCTACTGTACTTAATAGTTTTATTATTATCATACATGTTTCGTTCTTATTAATATCCTGTCAAATCCCCTTTAAACAGTAATAAAATACACAGAACACAAAGGCTTCCCTGCCTGAAAGTCCTCTTTATCATATACAATCACATACAGGATTTTAAATCTTATCATTTTTCTGAATAGCTCTTTATAATTTAGAGGAAATCATTTTTGCTTGAATTTCCCAGGAACCTTAAAGGGGAATTCCACTGATTTTTCTAAGTAATTCACTCATTGAGATGTAAACAAAGTCATTCAGAGTGGTTTCATGTGAAACTTTGACTTCTTTACAGTGGTGTTGATTGGAACCAGGGGTCACAACGTCAACATCATAAATAAAGATATTTGTTATCCAAAACTACCAGTGAACCTACACGTCTTGTGAGTTTTTATATGTAATGCTGACGATGGTAACATAGTGGTATATCAGAAAAAATGTTTTGTTTGAGGACTATTGTTCCGTATAATAAGTGCAAGTACCTCTTCAATGAATAGTTTCTATGCTAAAATACGCTGTCTCTGGCAATGTATTTGTCACCATTTCATGTAGTAACTCAGTGAGGGAGCTTTTAGAGACATGCCAGGTTCCTATCACAATCACTGTGAACAGTTCTACCTTGGTAGGCTTCTCTAGAACTGAGCACCTCACACCAAACCACTCTGAATGACTGTGTTTACATCTTAACCATTTAATTATGCAGAAATTTTGGGATATCAGTGGAATTCCACTTTAACATAGCAGCCGTATACTTAAAAGGGTTACACCACATGGACAAAAATTTGAGGACAGGCCTTGTAATTAATTTAGCTCAGTGTTTTCCAACCCTGGCCAGCAGACCAGCATACCAATGGAACCTGTTATGCTAGTCATCAGCAAATCCAGCATATGTTGTGTTTTGGATGCTGGTATGCTGGTCAACCAGCATGACCATACTGGGTGACCAGCTAAACTAGCACCAGACCAGCACAAGTCCAGCTTAGACCAGCATGGAATGCATGTTAATGTTTCACTTTCCCCATATGTCAATCGGCCAAGATGGTGGATGTCCAAATGTTGCTTCATCAGCTCAGTGCTGGAGCCATCGTTGTTAACAAACACTAAAAGTCAATAGTCATCAGTATATTCCATAAATACATCCCCAAAATTTCTCTCAAACCACATCCAGGGCTTCATTAAGGTCACACAGACTTAATGTCCCCTTCATCCAGCGTCCAGCTACACAGAGAAGTTTTGTTCAGTTTTATAGGTCACAGTAAGTCATACTGTGTCCTACCACATCAACAAGTCTGCATGACCTTAATAAAGGCCTTGATGTGGTTTGAGTGGGGAGTTTTGGGGATGTATTCACACAAAAAAGATTCAGATGACTACTGACGTCTAAAGAATTCAGATTTTGGACACCAAACGTGCCTTGGAAGATCAACTACATCTGGAGTTTGTGTAGAACTGAGTTAAACCGCTCCTTTAAGTAAAGTCATTCTAAAGCTGAGTGTTTATAAAAAGATTAGCATTTTTGCTCTGTTCATGATTTTATGGGCAATTCTGATTCCTTTACTGCCCAATTTGACAGCTCAGCACCTCCCGAGTGTCCAGAACACATGGTCCCAAGTCAGACGAGGCGCACACAACAGTGAGAGTTTTCCTCTCCGCGATTTTAAATCGCATTGAGGCGACCCTCTCGTCCACCAGGACAAACTCCAGCTGCATGGCAGTCAGCCGGAGACTTGTGAGTATCCCCACACCCACCCGGCGCATCTCACCCTGTGCAACACCTGAGTAGGAGAGGGTCCAACCCCTATCAGGGAGTTTGGTACCAGAGCCGACACTGTGAGTGGAGGTGTGCCCAACTATATCTAGGTGGTACCTCTCAACCTCCCACACAAGCTCCGGCTCCTTCCCCCCAGTGAGGTTACATTCCACGTACCAAGAGCCAGTTTCTGCTGCCAGGGGCCTCCCTGCCATCTCCCACCACCTATATGGTTTATTATCCTGCTATGTGGGCTAAATGAACTAATGAAACACACTGGCAGATTTCCATCGCTTTCCTTTAGACAAAGTTGCAATACGATCAACACCATTAGCTCTTCAATGGGCCAAACCAGCATTTTACATTTTTCAACTTTAAATCAGTCGCCCATTAAATAACATGAATCAAATAAAGTGCTACATAGAAAATAAAAGGCAGCTGGCTATTTAGCACAAGGGATCATGTATAATTATGCAATGATATTTTGGTTCAGGTGTAGCAGCAGAATCCAAGTACAGCGTGACTGAACTCCTCCGACACATTATTCACATCATAAAACTGCAACACACATTGACCAACATAAAAATAATAAAGTTGCCGATTACTGATTTCAATTTTTAAGTAAAAATCTGCCAATTCTGATCTTGGCTGATTACAATGTCGGCTGATACTTAACTTCAATATCAGCATCATAAAAAAATATGGTATCATGCCAGCTCTACTTCTAAAGCGCTCATTTGTAACACAAGTTTACACTTATAATTCAATTCTCAGTCGAAAATGATATTATATGTCTATGTAAATATTAACTCAACAGCTTTTCTGCCATGATTAATCAGAGCCTCCTGTTATTTGAAAAAAAGGCTGTATAGTATGTAAAAATAACAAGAAAGTTTCTCATAATTATGACTTTATATCTCATAGTAAAGAGAAATATTTTGTCAAATAATAATGACTCTTATGAGATACTAAGTCATGATTATGAGATACTTTTGGGACAGGATCTCATTATTATGAAATAAGTCATAGTTATGAGATACTAAGTCATACTTATGAGGTAGAATCTCATTATTATGAGACAGCAAGCTATAATTATTAAATTATAAGTCATTATTTTGAGACACTAAGTCGTGATTATGTGGTAGAGTCTATGAGATAGCAAGCCATAATTATGAGATTATAAGTCATTATTGTAACATAGTGTCTCATTATTATGATATAGGATTATAGGAGTAATTATGAGATACTAAGTCAAAATTATGATATACTAAGTAGTAATTACAGGACAGTAAGTAGTAATTATGAGATATTAAATCATAATTGAGATACTATGTAGTAATTATGAGAAACTAAGTCAAAATTATGAAATATTATGTAGTAATGATTAGATATTAAGTCTTAAATGTTAGACACTAAGTCATAATTACGAGACAATCATAATGGTGAGATATTAAGTCTTAATTGAGATAGTAAATCATAATTATGAGATACTAAGTCACATATGGGGAAATATTAAAACATAATTATGAGATACTATGTCTTAATTTAGATACTAAGTCATAATTATGAGATACTAAGTCTTAATTTACATACTTAGTCATAATTGTGAGATATTAAATCTTAATTGAGAGTAAATCATAATTATGAAATATTAAGTCTTAATTGAGATACTAAGTCATAATTATGAAATATTAAGGCTTAATTGAGATACTAAGTCATAATTATGAGACATTAAGTCGTAATTAAGACATAGTCATAATTGTGAAATACTGTATGTATGTACTGTATTATGAATGTTTAACCTAACTAGTATTTCACTAGTATATACTTATTAGCATATTATTATGACTAAGTATGTCATGATTATTGGAAAACTATGTCTCTATACTATGAGATATAAAGTCATAATTATGAGATAGCAGTACTTATTAGATTTGGAAAGTCTTTCTCGTTATTATGATTTAATAAATGGTTTTATTTGAGTCTCTCAGTAAAAATGCAGAAGTAAAGTTACTCGGTCCACATTAGCGCTGCTCTCAGCTTCGAGGGGGAAGTAAATATCGGTCGCACTCTCTTCCTGTTTTGGTGTGTGTGTGGTGTGCTGGTGTGAGGATGGTGATGAGGATGAAGACGGTGGTGGTGATGATGGTGATGATGGTGATGAGGGTGATGAAGACGCCGCACACCTAGTCCCGCTGTCCTCCTCCTCTTCCTCCTCCCCCCGGGCTGAGCGGTGACGATGGCGGGCGGGCTGACGGTGCTGATGTCGGTCCGTGTGCGGGTGGCGCTGAGCTCCGGGGCCGCGGCGGGATCAGAGGCTCTGCGGCTCCAGCTCAGCATGAACCCCGAGCGGCCTGGAGAGTTCAGCCTCAGCCTCAGAGACACCTCCAGCGGCAGCGGCCGCGTCAGGGTAACTCGGCTCTTCAGAAAGGGGGAGAGAGGGAGAGAGAGACGGAGAGACGGAGCTGGATTCGCCAGCTTCTTGTTGAGATTTTTCCGTTCCACCTTAAATGGTGCAGCAGTTCGCTCCGTTCCACCTTAAATGGTGTAAAAAAAAGTATCGTTTCCGTTCCAGAATGTAACTGCTGGAGCACTTAAGGTGGAACGGGGAAATTCGAACAAGAAGCTGGCGAATAGGAGGCCAGGAGCTGAAGTTCTTATTCTCCAGCTTCTCTTCGGAGTTTTCCGTTCCACCTTAAATGATGTAAAGAGTTATCGTTCAGGAATCGGTATCGAAATCGCGGTGTCGGTATCTCAGCCTTAGATCTAAACTGTTCGAAAATAAAAGTGCCTAACGTTAGTTTTTGGCAGTGATTTCCACCAAAAGACTAAATGAGAGACGCCAGAATAACTGCTGCACCACTTAAGGTGGAACGGGGAAAATTCGAACAAGAATTGACAAAAGTTGGGTTTCTTACTCTCCGGCTTCTCATTCAAGTTTTCCGTTCCACCTTAAATGATATCAAGAAGTATCATTCAGGAATAGTCAGGCTGTCTGTATTAGTATCTTAATAAACGATACGAGTCTTAGGCAGACAGGTTTATTTATTTAACACCCGTCATACTCTGCGGTTATTCAGTTACATTCCACCTTAATTAAGTTCCGTTCCACCTTAAATGGTGTAATGAAGTATTATTTCTATTCCAGAATGTAACTGCTGCACCGTTTAAGGTGGAATGGGGAAATTGGAATAAGAAGCTGGTGAACAGGAAGCTGACAACAGTTGGGTTTCTTACTTTCCAGCATCTCATTCAAGTTTTCCGTTCCACCTTAAATAATATTAAGAACTCTCATTCAGGAATAGTCAGGGTGTCGACATTAGTGTCATTATGAACGATAAGAGTCTTGGGCAAGACAGGTTTATTTATTTATATATTTAACACTATTTTACACTGAGGTCATTCAAAGTGCTTTGCAAATGAGGAAATACAAAGATACAGGGTGATTCACTCGAAAGAGGCCCCGAATATTCTGTTGTAACTCCATTTGGATGAAGCAATCTACATATCTTGACGTATGTGTGATCGATTGCATTGCATGCAATGCTGGAAGTGATCTCCGTTTTCTGCCAGACACATGAAGGGGTACGGGGGTACGCACCCGGAAGTTGCAAACGGGGGTTGAACGTCGCGACAGCTGTCCAGCGCCTACCTCAGCGCTCCGATGCAGGGGCATCCTGGCTTGTTCGAAGCCCCATATACTGAGGAGCACATGGCACATTGTTTTATTCAGATTGCTTCATCCCAGCGAGAGTTATTACAGAATATTCGGGGCCTCCTTCGAGTGAATCTCCCTGTACTTCAAATGTAGGAGAATAAAAATGTGATTTAAACTTGATTATAAACAGCAGAAGAAATAAGCATTTAATTATAAATCAAATTAAAAATTACATTTGGATAATGGAGTGCCGTTACAGGAGAGGTGTAAACTTTTAGAAAATACAAATATCTGGTTCTTGGCAGTGATTTAAACCAAAAGACTAATTTAGAGACCCTTGGAGGAAACCGAGGGACGTGTTTTTTCCTCCATTTTTGAGGCTGTTCTTGAATTTTTTACACTCTTAATGTCTGTAATAATATAGAGCATTTTGTCGTGTCTGGACAAACATACTAGCTCCATTTTTGTAGTTTTTAATGTTTTTGGACGATTTCAAAATGCCCATTGTCTTTTACTGTTCTAATGTCACGAGGAACAGAATAATAGAAATGACTTAAAAATATATCTTGTTCCATTAATTTCCATTCCAAGTTAAGATTTTTCTCCTGTAAAGGTACCATTTTAAAGATACAAGGTTTTATCCTGACAGAAACGATTTTCTCATCATATATTATTCCTGTATTGTTATAGCATCTACAATACAGGTTTCTACAGTGCGAGCAAAACACCTGCACTGCTCCTTTTATATTTATAAAAAAAATGTGACCAGAATTTAAGAGCACCTGTGCAAAACAAGATTTTGACCCAAATAGCCGAACACTGTGAGTACAAACGTGCAGATTTTTTTCACTGATGTGAGTCGCTGGCCTTGAAAACCAGAGCATGATTAGCCTGATTAGCCTACTTAGTTAAAAACTGTTGGTTTACCGTAAGACTTATGTTAGCTTTTGCTGTGGCCTCACAGCAGTGAATGTGAATCTCAGGAATTAAAAACAGAAACAGCTGACATAGCTGGCTCAGCTATGTACAAACCCAGTTCCAAAAAGGTTGGGACAGTGTGTGAAATGCCAATGAAAACAGAAACAGTGATTAGTGAATTCTGCTTGACCTGTATTAAATCGAAAGCAGGACAAAAACAAAATATATCATGTTTTATCTTATGAACTCAATTTGTGTTTTTTGTAAATATACACTCATTCCTAATATGATGCCTGCAACATGAGCCAGAAAAGCTGGGACAGGAGCATGTTTACCACTGTGTTACATCACCTTTACTTTTAGTAGTGCTTAGTAATCATTTGGGGACTGAAGAGATCGAACAGTGGAATTTTTTGACATTCTTCTGTTTATACAAGTCTTCAGCTGAGCAGACGAACAGGCATTTTTTGTCATATTTTGCACTTCATAATGTGCTTTCAGTAGGAGACCGGCAAGCCAGTCCAGCACAAGCCCTCTCTGATTACAGCCATTCTGTTGTAACATGTGCAGAAAGTTTCTTGGTGTTGTCGTGTTGAAATAAGCATGGACGACCCTGAAAAAGAAGACAAAGGCACCAGACGTTGTATCTATCTTTTAGCGTTAATGATGCCTTTACAGTTGTGCAGGTTACCCACAAATTCACTCCCATACCATGACAAACACTGGCTTTTGAACTTTACTGACAAACACTGGCTTCTGGTAACTTTACACTGGTTATTTCCATTAACAGTCTGAAAGGTTGACATGTTAGACCACAATACATGTTTCCACTGAGCATCAGTACATTTCAGATGAGCTCAAGCCCAGAGAAGTTGGCGGTGTTTCTGAGCAGTGTTGGCATAGTACAGTCATAACTTGCATTTGTGGATGCAGCGTTGGGCGGTATTTATTGACAGCAGTCCATGTGTGATATCCTGAGGAGTTGAAGGTGTGATCTGTGTGATATCCTGAGGAGTTGAAGGTCACGTGCATTCAGTTGTGGTTTTTGGACTTGATTTTTATGCGTTTTTTTCTGGATTCCCTGAGTCTTTCTTTGCTGTAATGGATTGTCGAGGGTGAAATACCTAAAATCCTTGCAAGCGCTCGTCGAGGGATGTTGAGCCTCATTCACCAACGTTCTGAAGAAGAACTTTCTTAAAACCCATTTAGGCAGTTTTCACAAAGATTCTGACATTCACCAATGTTTTCTTACTTGGGATTTGTTTGTAAGTAAGAATAGAAACTGTGCAAATTCAAGAGCGCAAAGGTGTGAACAGTTGTGCGGTTTGAGAACACGTCATGAATCTGACGTGGACTTTTTCTCAAGAACAAATTTAAGAAAAAACTTAGCAAGATATTAGTGAATGAGGTCCGAATAAGTGGTGAGCCTCGATCACCCTTGGCATAAGGACTAGACCTTTCCTGGATGGTCTTTTATACTCAAGCACAATCATATCACCTCTTTTAAAGTGCTTTCTGAACATTTAACCACGTTCCTAGTCTTAAATTGCCCCGGCCTTAACTTTTTTGGAGCATGTTGCAGGCATTCATTTCAGAACAAGCATATATTTACAAAAAGCAGTATAGGTAGTCGATGTCCGAGACATGTTTGGTGGTATGCTTCTTTAATTTGAAACTGGAGTGATGAGGCTAACCTTGCTAACAAACACTAAAACTCAATGGTCACCAAAATTATTTCTGTAGAACTACGTCAGCAAAACTTCTTTCTAACCACTCAGACCACATCCAGGTGTTAATTTTAGGTTGCACAGACTTGTCAGTGTGGTTTACGATGCATGACTTACTGAGAACTATAAAAATGGGCAAAACTGCGGGCAGCTACTTCAGACAACAGGGTCTTTGTTCACAAACAACCTCAACAGTAGGAGTTCTGATCTAGAGTCAATAATTGCGACAATATCCATATTAAATACAAAGGAATCTAATCCGAGACCAGAATATCAGCCCTAGTTTTATTTTAATAGCTCACAGTAATATATCGCTGCTCTCGGAACAAAACCGCGTACCTCTATTTTTGTCATTTTTCAGTTTGTGATGTTATTTGAAAATGCATGTTGCCCTTTACATTATGGGTACATTTCATGATGAATGGACCAAAAGAAACAGCCCAAAATAACTTGGAAAAAAATCTGTTTCCATTGACTTACATTAAAAGCAAAGTAGGTTTTTTCCTTTTCCTGTAAAGTTATCATTTTGGAGATGCGAGGTTTTGTTCCGACAACAGCGATATAGTCATAGTGCGCTCTAAACCACATCGACTAGTCTACACAGCCTTAATAAAGACCAGGATGCAGTTTGAGAGAAGTTTCAATCATTTACCCAACTGTCCCTCATATATTTTTACAGTGGTTATTTGGGCTACTTATGACTTTGTTAGCAAAGCTGTAACTCCAGTCTTAAACTAAAGAAGCAAAAGGCCTCATTTTCTCAGACCATTCATGTACTTTGCTGTTGCATTTCCTCACATAACCAACCTCAACGTCAGGAAGAGTGACAAAACTTTGCGTAACACACCTTTGCTAGTACGACTGTGCTCTCGTAGTCCATCCATCCATCATCTAAACCGCTTATCCTTCTGGGTCGCGGTGGGGTGCTGGAGCCTATCCCAGCTGTCATTGGGCGGAAGGCAGGATACACCCTGGACAGGTCGCCAGTCCATCGCAGGGCAGACAGACAGACAGACATACACATTCACACACACACTCATACCTAGGGGCAATTTAGTGTGTCCAATCAGCCTGACTGCATGTTTTTGGACTGTGGGAGGAAACCGGAGTACCCGGAGGAAACCCACACAGACACGGGGAGAACAGGCAAACTCCACACAGAAAGGACCCTGGTCGCCTGGCCAGGAATCGAACCCAGGCCCTTCTTGCTGTGAGGCGACAGCGCTACCCACTGCGCCACCGTGCCGCTGCTCTCGTAGTCCACTTCTCATATTTCAAACTCATATTTGTTAAAAGCAGCGTGATGAGGCCGTCGTCATCAGAAGGCAGTAACATTGTTTAACTGTATACATACTTACCATATAGGAGCACTTTGTAGTTCTGCAACTACAGACTGTAGGTCATCTGTTTTTCTGCAGTAACACTGACGTGGTGGTGGTGTGTTAGTGTGTGTTGTGCTGGTCTGAGTGGATCAGACACAGCAGTGCTGCTGGAGCATTTTAAACACCTCAGTGTCACTGCTGGACTGAGAATCGTCCACCAACCAAAAATATCCAGCCAACAGTGACCTGTGGGCAGCGTCCTGTGACCACTGATGAAGGACTAGAGGATGACCAACACAAACTGTGCAGCAGCAGATGAGCTATCGTCTCTGACTTTACATCTACAAGGAGGACTGACGAAGTAGGAGTGTCTAATAGAGTGGACAGTGAGTGGACACAGTGTTTAAAAACTCCAGCAGCACTGCTGTGTCTGATCCACTCGTACCAGCGCATGACCCACCACCCAAATAATTCCTGCTCTGTGGTGGTCCTGTGGGGGTCCTGACCATTGAACTATAAAGTATACCTCTATGGTAAGTGGAGATGGTAAAATGGACAGTGAGTTTAGATACAAGGAGGTTGTTTTAATGAATGGCTGATCAGTTTCTATCAGTTTTTAATGAAGAATTAAGGTTCACAGTTGTTACTAGATCACCTGGTGCCATTGACTGACTGTAGAGTTGCACAATTTGGGAAGAATAAGTGCGATTTCTCTGAACAGTGTTATGACTGATTTACATTGCAGTTATTTTCCACAAAATGAGGCCTGTTTTTTTTGGATACGAAGACCAGCACATCCACTTTTTCTGCCTTGAGGCTTGAACACTGAACATAGTGTTCCAGACTCCACATTTAAAACTCAATACAACATTGTTGATAATATAGGTTATAATTAAATTTGTTGATATTGCGGTTTGGAAATTGCGTCTTTCAAATTGCAGTTTCAATATAAAAATGATTTATCTTTCAGCTCTGACTGAATTATTTATTCTCTGACTGCTTAAATGTTTCATTGTGAAAAGCCAATGAGTTTTTAACTGATACAACCAAGGAATTTTAAAACCGTCAAAGTAAGCAAAAAGCAATAGAATAGCTACTCAACTTAAGTTATTCATCAGCAGGAGTGACATACTTTCACTGGCTGAACAAAATGGTCCTGGCTTATAAATTAAAAGAATTATGGTATGGAAATGGTATAAAACTGTATGTACCAATGTGGCCAGTCAGTATTTTATATATTACGTACACTTTTGAAAAAAATCTGAGGTGAAGCTTTTCTCTCTCTTAGTCTCTAGCGGAGTTTGATCTGCGCACAGTGAAGTACGAGATCAAGTCGCCTCGCTGTCATGAGTTGGTTGTCACCAAGCCTCCGCACGACACCTTCAGCTTCACCTTCCGCAGCGAGCAGGAGGCTCAGGAGTGGGCCACCGTCATGCTGTCTTCGCTGAGAGAAGCCCAGAGAGGTCAGAGTTTACTTTCACTTTCATTCATGCCCACTACAGCAGGGTTTTTTCCCCACTTCCAGTCCTGGGCTGGATTCTCAAAACACTTAGGACAGTCATAGCCCACCAAGACCATCGCATCTTCTGAGCCTCTGTCAAAACTGGCTGTTCCTTTGTTTTTCAATCATGTTTTGATTGCGCCACATCATTGTGATTGTAGTAGAATTTAGGACCGCCTTAGAGCAGTGAGAACACACTCACTCCAGCACTGAAATCAGCTGAAAACCCACAGAGTGAAACTTTAGCCTGCAAAAACATTAAATTTGCCTAGTAGCAACAGGAAAAGAAGGAAGTTGTAATTATATACAGTTGTATGCAAATGTTTGAGTGCCCCTGGTAAAACTACGTGTTCTGATGATTTAAAAATAAGTTCACATCCTCTACAGACAACACGCTTCTACACATTTTAAAGGGAAATTCCACCGATTTCTCATAATTTCTACATAATTCAATCATTGAAACCAAGTCACTCAGATTGTTTAATTGTAGAGAAGCTTACCGACTGTTTTGTTGCAGTGGTGGTGATGGGAACCCAGGGTCACAATGCATAGCTTTTTTATTTACTATCCATACATAGGTTTTAAAAAATATGTTTTAGGCCAAAATCATGTCTTAAAACTATTGTACAACAATGTTTTGGACGTCAGGCACCGTATTTTTAGCATTTTCACATAATAGCTTTCTGTGAGGGGGTTTTTAGAGGAATTCGTCTCTTCTGACATCTGGTTTCTATCACCACTACCGTGTATTCTGACTCTACAACCACTCTGTATGGCTTTGTTTACATGTTAACCATTTAATTATGCAGAAACTTTGAAAAATCGGTGGAATTCCCCTAAAATGTTTAGTGCTTTGTGTTTGCGCCCCTTTCCTGTTTGTACAGTGGCATGCAAAAGTTTGAGCACCCCTAAAGGCACATGATGGCTTCTACAGGATAATGATCCTAAACACACTTTAAAATCCACAAGGGACTACCTCAAGAGGCACAAGCTGAGGGTTTTGTCTGTGAAAGTTATTTCACATTTAATTTTTTACTTTTTTTTCCCCCAATTTTCTTCCCAATTTAGACATATCCAGTTCCAACCAGTAGTTAGGGCTCCCCCAGTTATGCAATACCTCCAGTGCTAGGAGGGTGAAGGCTTGTACAGGCTTCCTCTGAGACCTGTGAAGCGCCACCACATGCTCGGAGGAAGGCAGAAGTTTTTCCTTTATTTATGCTTTTAAATGCAGCAACATAAGCAGTGAGACATCAGAGTTGAGACATATGCCTACATATAAACAAACAAAAAGTAACAGAAAATTAACAGAACTTTAACTCCAGTGTTCACATCCCCCTCACTTCCCGTTGGCTTTAGGCATATTTGGATGCCGTCTTTCACTGAGAGATACCAAAACAGCCACTTTAACGTTTAGCCCAGTCACAACTACCTTAGGAGTTTCTATTCTTCTTTTGAGAATGACACACTGAAAACGTTGCTGGCCGATCACTGAGCAGTCCATAGTTAAGAGTGTAATAAGACCATTAGGACGTTGTTAGTAACATCCATGAGGCTTTTAAGAATCCGACCGCTGGAAAGTTGCAGCACAGCACACAGTTCCTTATGTAAACACACCTGCTTCAGTTCATGAATTAATTATTAATCCTTTCGTTGTTGAATCAGGTGTTGGAGCAGGAGAGCCATCTAAAAGGGCAGTGATGTGGCTGCACAGTATTTTCCCAGTTATTGTTGAACTAGTCTCTCTGAGCCAGACCTGATCTGGTATAGAGTGTCTGGGGACAACCATGAGAAATTCTGGGTTAAATGTGAGTGGAAATGTGGACTTAATGAGGGAACAAAATGAGAAAAAAAATAGCTAAACTAGACCAGTGCCTCACGGAAGTGGAGCTGAAAGTAGTTGGTGAAGGTGCGCTCGTCAGCATTGTCCGACAGGCAACAAGCACGTTGTTAGCTCATGGGTGTAACGTAAGTTAGTTCGGCTGAAAAACCCCCTTCAAGAAACTCTGATTAAAAATGTGTTTTGCGTGTGCAGATAATACATTACATGCAGTCATAATAAACATAACCTTTTGCAAGGGAGAAACAGCTGAGTTAGCCAGATAGCTTTTTGCATGCTAGGTTTTTTGTGTTATTGATTGCACTCTGGATATTAAATAGAGGAATTTGGGTGGGTTTTAGAGGGGGGCATACTTTTGTTAGCAGCACATTTTGCCACTGTTTACCGCCAAAATGTTTACCAAAGATGTGTACCTTTCCCAGGAGACTACTGTTGGACTTTACAGAACACTCAAAAATCACATTCAACTATAACAACTCTAAATTTAAAGTGTGTCGTAAGTTTCCAGTGCTGTTTTTATATGTGCCAAAGCTCCGGATGTAAGGATAAATAGGATGTAGTTTTTGTTTGTCATATAGTCGAGGCTTTTGAGGAGAAACATCTGATTTTACAGTCTAAACAGCAGCAAGTTAACATGGTAGCCTTCACCACTAACCACCATAGCATGTCTGAAGTTACGCTGAGATTTGCTGACATTATTATCTCCATCGTAGTCGCCAAATATACCAAGGCTATGATGTTAACTGCTAGCTAACAACGATTAAATGGTGAAAGCAGTCACACAATACCAGACTCCTGTCTCTTTGAAATTGGGAGAGATGTCTAAACTGGAAAATAAAAGCCACATTAACATTTCAAAGTAATATTTGAAATCACTGGTGAAATCTGACATAAATCTCATAAATAGTTTGTGGCTCAAATAATATATTTTTCCTCCTGGTTCTGCCTAGCGCACATGAACATATCTCCAAAATGAGGTGGCAAGTAGAGGTGGGCAGTATGAAAATATTTTATTGTCATATTGTCATTTTGCTATTGTGATGAGCAGTATGTTTTTCTGAGTGTATCTTGGATGTCGTCCACGCTTCAAGAACACTTACCAACGGCATGTTTCATTGAAATAAGAGCATAAATAATCCTAAGTGGATTTAAAGTAGTGCAGTATTTAAATGTTGAATAAAACTATGGGCCTTGTGCATTCAGTGCATTTTGATGGCTATTTTTGAGCATGGCATTGTGTCCATGTGTCAAAATATAGTGATATGTATTGTGAAGTATCGTAATATGATATTTTTGTCATATCACCCTCCCCAGCGGGAAGCCGATTGGGTGTTTTTATTGAATGGCAGGACTTTCCCCATAAACAGACACCATGTTGAGCATTACAGGCTTTCCCATTCATTTTTCAACCACTGAACTGTCTACTCCTCCTTTATAATGTCTCTGAGCTGGTGAACTTTCTGCTTAGCCTGTCGATCAGATGTTTATCCCTAAAAACCCCGATGGCACAAAATGTAGGTGTCTTGACGGAAAGTTGTGTGCCAAGTTTATTCACCTTTGCAACAGTAACTACGAAACAACACATTTGTAGGTGGAGCACGAACAGGTCAATTATAGTATCTGCTGTACATTTTTGCAGACATGCTTCTCTTACACCACTCACTCTTTCTGTCTTTCAGTTGCCAGTATTGCCGCTCATCCCACTGACGATGAACTACACTATCTGAAGCCCATAGAACACAATGCAACCTTGTCATTATCAGCTAAAGGTCAGTGACATTTGATATTTCTTCCATAATTTTACGAGAGGGAAACATCACCTGCTTTTTCGAAGGGGAACTGCAAGCCTGCGTTATACCCAGGCAGTGTTGTTTTGTCAGTGATAAATCTGTTGTAAATCTCTGTCTGTCTTATCTGTAGCATTTATTGGATCTGTTGTGCATCAGATGAGAGGGTGCTTTGAACCGATTGTACAAAGAGCAGTATACAAATACGCCTGCACTTTTAGACTACTTAGTTTAAGCAATAGAACGCGAGAGCGAGTGTGTTAAATAACATCACGGCTGTGATTTGGTCGCCGTAGATCATCACAGCTGTAATGTTATTCGCCATAACATACGACCTTGAGTATTCTATGGCTTTTATACAACAGTTAAATTAATAAAGTAAGAAGTAATAAATTGGGTCGTGAACGTGGCATTTATTATGTTTTAATGTTAGAAATTCCTTCCGCCAAATTATAGTTCCTCAACAAGCAGCTCGTTGCTACATCAGAGTAACGAACTCCGCTCACTCGCTTTGCAGTCTGCTGTAAGCCTCTCCTTTTGAAGTACAGACTGAGCTATAAACCTGCCGCAATATCAAGTTTAGCTCAGTTTTGTCAGTTTTTGCCAGATCAGTATTAATGTTGTTTTGTTCCAGTCAGTCTGTAAAGCATCTTACAGCCCATTTTGTTTGGCGAATGGTGTTGGGTTCATTTCTGGCTGATTCCAGGTTGTTTAGCTGTTCTTCTGTCACAGCTGCCGACTGAAAAGCTGCTCAGTGGTGATGACAGTTTGGGAATTTAGTGTCGTCTCATCTTCAGAGTCTGACCAAATCAGCTGTCGGTCAAATGTGATCTTAAAAGTGTCCATTTTCTGTTTGTGGCAAAGTAAGAAGTAAAAGCGTTCAAATGGCTTGAGCGTCTCCTACAGCTGTCAAAGTCGTTGCTTAGCAACGGCGTCTCAGCAGAGTGATACAGTGTTTGTGAAAAACCTGTGATGTTATGGTGAAATAACTCTTCTCAACCAATCAGCTTGCATGGCCGTAACTAACTGTCGTATAAAAATACACTAATAAGGCTCTGCTGGTTCCACATTCTTTGACGATTCTGCATTTGTCGGCTCTCTAGAGGAGTTGTGTGCTGATCTGGCTAGAGCCATAGAAGCTGGAGACGCGCAGGCAGCAGTGCAGCACGCTACAACGCTGGCCCACCACCAGATGTCACTCACTATTCAGCCGGCTCCAAAGAACTTTGAAGACGGGGAGATCAGGTGAGGGAGTGAGGGAAAAAAAGACAGACAGCACCGGTAGAGAATAAACAATAGTGTTTATCAGCAGCATCAATAACATGTCTCTGTTCTCTACATGCAGCTTAGCCGTCGCAGTGGAAGATGCCACATCGTCTTGTTGTGTCACGGTAAAAGTCGTCCCCCATATGACTGTGGGCTCCCTCAAGCAGCAGGTGAGTCAGACTCAAGTCTGGACAAAACAAAATGCATTCAGAGGGTACATTCAAAATGTTTGATGATTCCAAAATGCATTCAAAGGTTTGAAACATCAAGGTTTTAAAAATAATTTTTAATAAATTAGCATTTTTTAACCAGGGTTTAAGGAAAGCAGATTTTTCTTTGTGAAAATACCTAAACATATGCACACTTTCTTCACATGGACAGCCAGGCACCCCTCAAAGATGCCTTTTGTATGATATTTAAATCATTACTTAGCTCTTTATACCAAGAAAGACACTTTGTTGAGCATGAAGCTAAATGTTGCAAAATAAAGCCAAAGTAGTTTAGTGATTAGGGATTCTCAGTGATATTGTATGAATGATATCAGAATCAGCAGATAATTATTTTAAAAATGATCAGCTTTGGATGGAATTAAACCAATATTTTAAACCAGTATTTAATTGTGTAATTTATTGTGCTCAAGAAGGAGAATCATTTATTTTTTTTCTACCCATCAGATTAAGTTCTAACAGCCAGCAATAATGTTTATTAACTGAAACTCAAAGTAATCCTGGTAATTCATTGAAAACGTAAGTAAGGCAAATAAAAGCACTCAAACATCAGTGGGACTTTCATTTATGTAGTTCAGGATTTAGTATTTTGTTCAGGTTAATTTTTTGTTGCTTAGCTCTTTGGATGACAAGTCTTTTAAGTATGGAGTGCACAACCAGTGCTCAGTCAGGCTTGTTGGATGCTCTGTTTTGTATGTCCAGGCAGGTTTTAAACGCTTCCTCTCTTTTTCCAAGATGTCAGTACATATTTTATGGTTGATTTTGGAACAAAGAAACAATGTTTTTTGTCCGATTTGCTTGTTTTCAGTGTTGAAGTGTTGCAAAACAGTTTCTTTAAGAATGTTAATGAAATTCATCAGGTGTGTTAGATGGCTTTCTGGAGTAGCAGTGGAGATCTCTGGGTTGGAATGTGTGCATTTGGATTAATGTCCCAAAATTTGTTTTGAAGTAAAATGGGGGATGTTTGGTGAATGTTTTCTAACTTGCTATTGTTCAGCCGGACTCAGAGTATTGATTATTAAGTTATAATGTAGCTGAAATTGTGTGCTTTTGAATATGGTAAAGCACAATTTCCATAATATATTAGTGACCAAACAAAAAGAACAAATGATAATAGAGGTGTCCCAAGGTAGTTTATGCCTTCAAAACAAATCTTCTGAAAGTAAAACAAATAATTAAATAAATAATGAAGGTGAGGCGTCCTTTGATCTTTGATCTTACGGATCATGAAGGATCTGTTTAGTAACCGTTAACTGTTGGGTCGTGCAGTGTTGCAGTTAGACTACGTTGATGACACATTAGACGTGCGGTTGACATGAAGAACACTTGCTCAAGTCTGTATTTCGGTTCATTTTGCTCACAGATGTTTGCAGAATACGGCTTCCACCCTCGGGTGCAGCGCTGGGTCATAGGTCAGTGTTTGTGCTCTGACCAGCGCTCGCTGGGTTCGTATGGCGTGTGCCGGGACGGTGACACAGCTTTCCTCTACCTCCTCTCCGCACGACACGCCCGCCTCAGCCGACAGCAGTGTCAGCAGGACCAGGAGAGCGCGCTCCTCTCACCCGCGCCAAAACCCGCACCAGCCCCAGCAGCGACTGCAGCAGGAGGCACCGGCCCAGCCAGCCACGACTGGAGGGGCTATAGCACGCTGCCCCCCAGACTCCATCACTCCAGCACAGGTCTCTGACTAGTAATGCTTTTCAATTATGTGCATGTTTTTCTCTAATTTTCTCCACAATTTAGTCATGTTCAAATCCTCCCCGCTAGTAGGGACGGGTGGTGTACCGGTTATGAGGTATAGCGTAGTATAGTAGAAATATAAGACATTACACTCAAATTTGTCAGTGTTTTGTTTGAAATGCTTCTGTATGTTGTGACTGTAGTTGTGTTTGTCCTTTGACTTTGTGAGATGCAGTGTCAGCTGAAAATACAGTTGATGTAATTTTATTTTGACTCACAGACATGATTTATTTTTTTTGATGAAGTACACAAATAATGAGTGTGAATATCCATATATTTGAAAACCCACACCTGTTGGATCATGTGAACGCCTTCATTTAACTCTCAGAGACTCTCGTTTAGTGAATGGTTTGAGGGCTAATTTGCCTAATTCTGTCTTTTTTTCTGAAAGTATCAGTTTTGCAAATGCCGATTTCGTGATAACAGTTAAGTGTTATATTGTGCAGCCCTAATAGAGCTGATCTTCAGTACATTGTTGGTTGTGTTTTGGCTGAACAGGCAGCAGTGGTGGCGGAGCAGAAAAACACAGCATCAGTGAGATCATGAACCTGGAGATGCTGCAGCTGGGTGGCCCCAACACGAGGCAGAATACGGTACAAGTACCTCTTGATTCGCACTGCCACCCATGCTTGTCAGCTTTAGTGTGTTCATTGAAACAGCAGTTTCTTTATACTCAATCCGGATACACTGTAGACACAAGGGCTGGGCATCCTCCACTGCGTTTGTTCGAGCCCTGTGCTCAGGAAGGCCAGCTGAATGCACTTTTTCTATACAAACTACAAGATAATCAACTGTTTGAAACTGTTTTGCCACTGTTCTCTAACCTCCTGGGTTCTAAGGGCATTTTCTTGATTTTGCAAATATTTTCATCTTTAAAAGGCACTTTTTTAACAGATCAACAGATAAAGAAATGAGCGCAAGGATGGTTGTGCACTCTTGGATTCTCAGCCACATCACTGGGAATTAAACTCTGGTCTCAGTGACAGAACAACTCAGACAACCTTCTTGGCCAGCAATGTCACATGGGAAATTTAGTACTTCATGCAACCTCCTTTCATCAACATAACAGCAATGAGTCTTTTCCTATGATGGTTGGTGAGACTGGAGACTGGAAAATAAAGGAATCTGAGACCGCTTCTCAGTACAGAATCTCTTCAGAAAGGTGCTAGGTCCCCTCTTTTGGCCTCAGCTCTCTCAACAAATTTGAATGGGGTTTAGATAAGATAAGATAATCCTTTATTAGTCCCACAGCGGGGAAATTCTCAGTGTCACAGCAGCAAAGGGACAGCAAGGCACTCAAGAAAAAGAAACGTAAAAGAAAAAAGAAAAGAAGGGGACTGGAACAGCAATTTTAAAACCTTGATTCTGTGGCTGTCGACCATCTTTGTATGTTTTTTGTCGGATGTTTTGAATAATTGTCCTGTTGGAAGATCCAGTCACGACTGTGAGCTTTTTTGCGGAGGCAGCTATTTTCGGATTTCCATTTCAAATCTTCTGATAATTCATGAAGCCATGTTCCATGGACCTTTGGAGAAAAAAAAAGCTCCAAAACATCACAAATCCTCCACCATACTTAACAGAGGGATGAGGTTCCCAAGTTGTGTCTTACAAGTGAATAAATATATATTTCGCTGCTGATGGAAGAAAACCTTGTATCTCCATTTTTGTTGTTATTCAGGTTTTGACATAATTTCAAGATGCATATTGCCCTTTACATTGTAAATTTCATGAAGAATGGACCAAAAGAAACGACCCAAAATGACTTGGGGGGAAAAAAGTCTGGTTCCATTGACTCACATTAAACATAAAGTATGTTTTTTCCTTCTCCTGTAAAGTTATCATTTTGAAGATATTAGGTTTTGCTCCAACAGCAGTGATGTGTGTGTGTGTGTGTGTGTGTGTGTGTGTGTGTGTATATATATATATATATATATATATATATATATATATATAATATAATATATATAATTATATATAACTTCAAGTGCTAATGACACATTACTGCTGTGTTCGTCCACTTTCTCTACAGCTTTGACTAAATGCTAACCTGTATTTTTCGTTCTCTAGACGGGTTGGTCGTGCCCTTCCTGCACCTTCATAAACAAGTCCACGAGGCCAGGCTGTGAAATCTGCAGTACCGAAAGACCCGACGCACCAGAGCTCAGCAGCTCTCAGCCGGTGACGCTTCATTTATAAGAGTTCACCAAATCGCACTGTGATCAAAGTATGTACTGTATGTATACTGAGCTGAAGTGTTTCAGGAAAAAGGAAGCAAATATGAACGAGGAAACTGAATACATGACAAACCACCGATGTGAGTGCAAAAAAAAGACGGACAGATATTTCATGCACACACAACCAGCTGATAAAGAACACACGGCACTAGATTTACTCGACGTGCCGAGTGAACAGAGGCAGGAACAGCCTACCTGGACTCTATTAAGGACAGCATCAAGGATGTTCTGTTGCATGCAGCGTGCCATGTTCTCTTCCTCAAACCACTATTCCTCAAAGACGTTTCTGGCCACTTTGTGATGAGCCTGCAGCAGATGGAGGGAATGAGCAAGAAACATGCAAACGTTGGGCAGCTCACGTGGTGGTTCAGGTCTGGGAGCCCATTCCTGTCATGTGGAGGTGGGGAAAAAATCGCACCTGTGTTTTTTCCCTTTTCTTCGCTTCTGGCACAAATTTTGACTTAGTATTTCAATATAGACTTACTTTTTTCGAAATAATGACTTATTTTCTCAAAATATTCACTATGTTGAAATAATGACCTCTCATATTATTGACTTACTATGTCAAAATAATGTCTTTCTTTCTCAAATGTTTGAAATGGCCTATGTTCACATTACAAGCCTCGTTGCTCAATTCAGATTTTTTGCTCAGATCTGATCTTTTTTTAACCTGATTGTTCACATTCGTGTAGGTAAGTGACTCACATCTGTCATTAATGTGAACAAATCTGTGTCCTGAAACGACCCATATGTCCACATCCTGAGCAATAATAAAAGCTCTCAGCTGTTCATTGTTAGAAGTGGATGAAGGCCAAAAAGGGTCAAATGCATTGCTTTTGCACTGTTTACTGGCACTAACTTCAGTTTAGGCTCTGTTTCTGCATTAGTACTGCATGATGCCGCATGCGCAGTGAAAAATAAACACATGAATTCTGATTTGACTATTCTCATTGAGGACGCATGGCTTTCAATCGGATATGCATCCGATCTAGGACCACATATTAAAATGGCTGAGTTCTGGTTTGGAAAGATCAGATTTGTGTGTCCACACAGTTCTGAAAACATCAGATCTGAGTCACATTAAAGCAGAAAACTGGATTTGAGCCATTTCAGCCTGGTGTGATCGTAGCCTTAATATCTCAGAATAATGACTGACTTACTCAGAATTGTGACTTAGTGTCTTATAATGCCTCATGTCCTTAATGTTGACTGTATCACAACAATGGCTTATTGTCTCAAAATTTGAGTTAGTATCTTGATATAATGACTTATTTTTTTATTAAAGAACTCCAGAATTTAATACAGTAAATCTGAATTTTGGCTTTGCTGAACCTGTTGTCAAAAAAAAATAAAAAAACAAGATATTACTTTGACATAATAAGTCAGAATTTAGAGAAAATAAGTCATTATTTCAAGATGCTCAGTCAAAATTGGGGTCAACACAGACTATACCCAGTGTCCCTGGCCACACCATCTTGTATTTTGGCCACTTAAAGTGCAGAGCCTGTGGCCCGAATGGCCAAAGCTCCAAATCACCAGATCAGTTGAATCTTCACACATTCACAAATACGAAACCATCAGTGACAAACCACTAATTTTCCCCCTCAGGATTCATTCTGATCGAGTCAGACATCAAATCAGATTTTGCTGGGATTCACCACTTGTAACCACGTGAGACCAGTGTTCTTACTCATATAAAGTTTTTGATGAATATTTATTGTCACAAAGCAACACTTGGTTTTGGTACTGAAGCATGTTTGTTAATTGTAAATGCAATATAAACGACAAACATGTTTCTATAATTTTGGCCACAAATTCTCCCAAAATTGTGGCATCAAGATCCACTGGCTTGGTGGTCTGAGTGACCAGTGCAGTTGTTTTATGTCCATCTACCTGTGAACGCTGCTGCTGCTAGAAACAGGAGGAAAAAATAACACAGGGGCTTTTATTATTTTCTCTCTCCTCTACATGGCAGGAATGGGCTTCTATACTTTGGAGTACAAAGTCTCCACAAGCAACTCAGCAATTTTGACCTCTCTTTAACAACAGCTACACAGTGTCCTCTCCTCAAGTGTAAATACTCGCTCTGACTCTGTGAAGATCTTCACACGCAGACTGAGGTCAAAGGCTTGTTCTGGTGATTTCTCTCATCTTATTAAGTGAATCACACTAAGGTTTTTGTAGGGTTTGTCGACGCTGGGAATTGCTGTTGATAATGCAAGCTAAAAAAAAAAAAAAAATTCCGATCAGTTTTTTCTGCTCGGCTCATTTATGCATGCAAGTCCTTTCCAAAATTATTTGTGCAGTGGGCATGCAAAAGTGTTGCCGCCCCTGGTCAAATGACATGGTTTGCTGTTTTTCTAAGTAAAGATAAGTTACACATCCCCTACAAAGAGGACACTTCTGCACATTTGGATACACAGTTATTGTTTATTTGCTGAATTTAAAACAGTGGGGGGGGGGCATAAAATGTGGCCTTTTGCAAAAGTTGTGGCACAATTTAAATTGAACTTTTTCCAATATGTTACTCAGAAAATAGGTTGTGCACTGGAATTTGCAGAAAATGTGATATTTAAAATGTGTTTACTTATTTTCTCTTAGAAAAATCAACATGTAATTTCACCGGGGCTGTTTACGGCTGTAAACATGTTCTATCGAAAAGCTACTTTTAGCCAAAGAGCAGCAGCTTTGCCGACATTTATGATTCTCTTCTGATGAGATCCTGCTAAAATCTTAGTATACCGAAAATTCTCACTTTACCTTGCTGTGCTGTTTCTGAAAATGTACTGTCTGGTGATCTTTTTTTTATTTTATTTTATTTTAATCACGAGGTAAAAGACAGTTTTAAAATATACTTAGATACTTGATATCGTTACTTGACCTCAGTCTGCCCTCATGCCAGTTTGTTGTTGTTCCTCTTGTTGTTAAGAATCATTGTAGTCGAGCAGGAGAGCCGTATGTAGCAGCTTGGTAAAATACTCTTCACCAAGACATTGTAAGCAGCCACAACCGGCACAACCTCGCTGAAAATACGACGCACTGAGAAATCGAGTCTAACCAGTCACTTTGGCTCTTATTTCAACGTTCGACTCGAGTTTCTGACTGCAAATAACACGTTTATGGTAATAAATGACATTCAGTGTTAATTTTACGGACAGTAGTTTTGATTCCACCCTGGAGACCCGTAGCTGTCGTTACCACATTTTGGAACAGTGTTGATTTTGCCAACATTTTTCATCGGTCAGCCAGATACAGGGTAATTTGTAAGTTGGTTTATTTTTATAACATTATTTAACAGAAGGTAAGGTAAGTGTGACTGGATTTGAATGGATGCCTTTATGCAGATGGATTTCTCGTTCATACCTATTGGAAACATATCTTTTAACAAATTCAATAAATGCAAACTATTAAAAAATGTATTTTTTCGGGTTTATATTGACAAAGAGGAATTCCACTGATTTTTCAACATTGCTCCATAATTCACTTACTGACCCTGATCCCTTTACATTGTTGGTGTTCAGGACCACAACGATGCAAATACAGCCATTTCATTTACTATCCAAAAAATCTAGTGAACCTATATGTTTTTAAATGTGATGTTATGATGGTAAAAAAGTTGTAAATCCAAACAATAAGTTTTCTATTTTGCATTACAACGTCCTTCATGTACCTCTCTGCTATAAATCTGTTAAAAAAATATATATTTGAGGCCCAAACCTTACCTTGAAAGTAAAAGCAGTGTCTCAGACAGGCAGCGTATTCATAACTATTTCATGTAATGACTTTCTGTCAGTGCTTTTAGAGGCATTGACTTCTTCAGACGTCTGGTTCCTATCACCACCACTGTGAACAATTCTGACTCTTAAGTTTCTCTTAAATGAGCATCAATTCACTCTGAATGACTTTGTTTACATTTTAACCATTAGATTTTGCAGACGTTTGGGGAAATCAGTGTGATTCCCTTTTAAAAGGCGTGTCTCAGTGAAAAATACTAATGCTGAGGATGAATGTGGGGGTCAGTGGCGGACAATTAGGACTATGCATACTGGCCTCTACTGGTATTTATCTATCATATATGTATTTTGGGGTCTAATACTCCTGATCTTGCATTTACATGAACTTGAGTAATCAGATAATGTGAAAACTCCAGGTCTACATGAGTCAGGCGGTAATCAGATTTCTGCGTTGCAACCAGCCAATAAACTCACAGAAGTGAGTGCTGTGTCTGATCCACTCAGACCAGCACAACACACACTAACACACCACCACCACCGTGTCAGCGTTACTGCAGTGCTGAGAATGATCCACCACCCAAATAATACCTGCTCTCTGAGGGTCCATGGGGGTCCTGACCACTGAAGAACAGGGTAAACAGGACTACAGTCTGTAACTGTAGAACTACAAAGTGCACCTATATAGTAAGTGGAGCTGATAAAATGGACAATGAGCGTAGAAACAAGGAGGTGGTCATAATGTTATGCCTGATCATCTAGAAGATGAAGAATATTTAAATCCTTCAATTAGCTGAGAATGTGTTTGATGTCAGCGTCACTCCGGAAGTGTCTTGCAGCAGCACTGCTCACTTATTCCCAGTACCGCTGTCTGTTTTGCACATGCGCAGACTGAGAAATCCGAAAGAAATCAGAGTAAGAGTTCAGATGCACTCAGAAGGATTACTGAGCTAAAATCCAGCTCTCTTTATCGGCTTTCTAGACATTACTCAGATCTAAGAAACCAGAGTGTGCTCTTTACATGACCATTTGGATAATCAGATAACTGCAGAAATCTGAGTATGATCGGATTATTGGGTGCATGTTAACACACTCACTGTTGGGATTTTCAGAGACTCAAACCTGATCGCAAAGCTGGTTTGGAAGAACATGAACAACATTCACCAAGTGCTCTGGTAGCTGTAAAATGAGACGACTGGATTCGGTCATCACGCTTCATAATGGGGAAGTAAAGCTCAGGCCACGACAGTTGGCCATTGCGTAAATGTTCTTACTAAAAATGAATGTTAAGAGGTTTCAGGCAGTGACTATTCAGGGATTTCACTATTTTCCTGCAGTAATAGCGCCACCTCACATTTGTGTGGTGTGATGGCTGAAATGCAGTACTGAGCAAAAGTCTTAGGCATCTGTGAATACGACATGTAAAGCTACTTATCAGGGGGTATTTCACAAAGCAGGATTTCTGAGTTAGCCAGATAACTTAAGCCCAATGTTGAGTCCAACAGAAATGTCCCTCAGCTCTTTTCCCATTGTACCAACTTGACTTGAGGCTTAAAGGGGAATTCCACTGCTTTTTCAAATTGTATAGTTCAGCCATTGAGATGCAAACAGAGTGGTGTGATGAGAAATGGTTAATTGTAGAGAAAACTTTTTGACTTGATTTCTTTACAGTGGTGATGATAGGAAACAGGGGTTACAATGTCTACAACACAAATAACCATTTTATTTTCTATCCAAAACCACCAGTGAACCTGCACGTCTTCTGAGTTTCTGTATGTAATGTTGATGATGGTAAAATAGTGATAAATCTGAAAAAAAAAGTTTTCTTTGGGGGCTGTTTTGTCTCACAACACCCTGTAAACAATGTTTCTCTAGAACAGAATGACTGTAGAAGACATCTTAAACATTTAATTATGAAGAAATTTTGCAAAATCAGTGGAATTCCCCTTCCAAGTCATCTGGCAAAACTGAGAAATCCTGCATTGTGAAATAATCTCCCCCTTCTCCTGGGCAGTGAGCACACGGACAAGAGAACAAACAATTCACTGTTATTTTATGCATACAACTGTGTTAGCTTAGGTAAAGTACTGGAACTCCAGTATTTACAGTTAAGCCTCCAATACCTAGTTTATGTAAAGAGCTCATATCCCACAACTTCGAGATGTAAACAAAGTCATTCAGAGTGATCTGATGTCAAATGGTTTTCTGTAGAGAAACTTACAGTGGTGATGATAGGAACCAGGGGTCACCATGCCTACAACTCAAGTACAGTCATTAAACTTGTACAGTATGTAAGCAATCTTTGTTCTGTCCTCATTCAAAAAGCAGCCTGGGCTGAAACACTCCTTACGACTATATGTATGTGTGTGTGTGTGTGTGTGTGTGTATATATGTATATATATATATATATATATATATATAGACACACTGTCTATAAAACAAATATGTTTATATATGCAGCTATAGTATATCCATATATGGACTGGGGAGAGCAAATGGTATGAAATGACGTATCAAACATTCATATTACATCAAAATTTTATTTATTATTATTTTAAAAAAAAAAAAGAGAATTGAGAAAATATTTTTCCACTTTAACTGCAAACTTCTGTTGACATACAGGTGAACCAGACACAGCTCTTCATTCTCTGGTCAGCACAGACACTTCCTGCAGATGCTGGCGCACCACGCTGTCCAGTACTTTACTGAGACCTTTACAGGCCGTCATTGCCGCCTCCATCAGCGTGTCCAAGTGGTCCTGGTGGAGCCGTGCGTCCATCTGCACGAGGGCGATGTTCTCGCTGCGGGGCAGCAGTGCCAGGGCCAGAGTGGTGCCGCCCCCACTCTCCTCCGCGTGGCACAGGTCCGCCAGCGGCGTGTCCTCCACGAAGCCCGCAGTGCAGGCGCACACGTAGTCCCGCATGGGGATTCCTGCGTCCACCAGGGCCAGAGTTGCAGCGTTCACACACGCACTGTAGTTCCCACCGTCCGACTGGAGGATCTGTGTGAGAGCGTGGTTGGAATTAGTCACGGTGGGGTATAAAATCTGAGGCCGCTAGTGAAACTTTTGTATTTCTTTATTGAATCTTTGATTTTGCACTCTTTTAAAATTTAATTAGATTTTTCATTATAAATTATATTATCAGCAAACAATGAATGAATCTTTGAAATTTTAACAAATTTCAGAACTTTTCTATTTGTTACGTCGCTTTTTTGCCTTATTGATAGTGTAAAAATAAGTCAGAAGCCTCTGATGAATAGATCAAGTGCACCTAAGAGTCGCCTGAACACGAGTTTCATGGACGAGATAAGTCTAAGAGATAAGTCTACATGAACAACCTAATCTTTTAGTACAAAAGCCTTAAATAAATTCTTAGCCAGAGATCAAATGGACATGATTTTCTATTTACCCCAAATGCAGTCGATCAGCCAAAACATGCTTGGTCTCCAAATTTTGCTTCTTTAGTTTGGAACTGGAGCTGCTAGGCTAATGAGCCACAACATCTAATGTCTCAGTATGTGATAATGTCACGATAACGCAGGTTTACTCCGCTCTGCTTTAAGCTTTAGTTTTGGCCGCTTTCCTCCCATCTCCGCCAGAAAACTTTTCCTCAAAACTAGATCAGTTTCTGGTAAAATGTCTCTCAACATTCGACTGTCTTAAGAGGCTGAAGTCGCTTCTTATTCTCCAGCTTCATGTTCGAATTTTCCCATTCCACCTTAAATTCTGCCTGAGGCGCCGAATGTAAATGCGACACCATTTAAGGTGGAACGGGAGAATTCAAAAAGAGAAGCGACTTCATCTTTGTAACTGTTTACTGTTTGACAGTCTCGTTGCAGATTTAACGTACCAGGAAACCAACTGTGCTGCTTATAAATGCGAATAACTTGCCACATCATTTCCACTTGATTTATTAATAAGAGATATTGGAAATAAATTCATTATGGATCATTACAAATACTTTGGTTTAAAAGTACCAAGGAAATAGAAATGATGTATAGAAAAAAAAATGCATCAAGATGCATCGATAATCATTTTATAATCGTATTGCAGCCCTCTGAATCATAATCGAATCGAACCGTGAGGTGCCTAAAGATTCCCACCCCTACTACCTACGATATTCTACAGTGCATCTGTGCTGTGAACTCTCAGCCCGTTTTTTTGGTCCTCTTGCATGGAACGATACCGACTTGTGCTCAGGAAAGAAGTGATTCCAGTTATTCTAAAGGCTGCTTCTACTTTTAGTTACACTGACAAGTTATTTTTGTTTTTATTTACACTATTTATCCTGTGTTCTAAACTACATCGACTTGTCTGTGTGACCTGAATTAAGACCTGGATGTGGGTTGAGAGAAGTTTTGAGCATGTATTTAAGGAAATGGTTTGGATGAATACTGACTTCCCATGTTTGTTAGCAACATTAGCCTTGTAGCTCCAGTTCTAAGCAAAATTTGGACACCAAACTTGTCTTGGCTGATTAACCGTATTTGGGTGTGCAAAAACATGCAAGTTTGACTGTTTGCCGAACCACTCCTTCAACATGGTCAATGTCACAAATTTGCTTAAATCTGAATACTGGCCCAGAAATCATGTAGAATCCTGAATCTTTGTTTTAATTTTTCATAATTCTGTGGTTTATTAAAAAAAAACTTTGTGGTTCATTTGCAGGTTGAACTGGTAAAAAAAAAAAATCCCAGATTTTCTATGAGGTCTCCGACTTCTGGACCCCACTGTATGTGTGTGGCTTGAAATTACATGCCTTACTTTAACCCAAAATAAAAAAAAATCCATAATTTCAGAGTAGTTATGATGTGGAATACGATCAATACATTATATTCCACATACTTACTGAGAAAGGCATCAACAACATGTGAGAAGTGGCAATAATCGACCCGTTAACCCAGAGTTATTATGGTTGTGTTACTATAAATCTGACTTACAAGGTAATTATATAATTGCATAACGAATTACATTTACAGTTGAAACATTTCTGTCGACAAGTTTGAGTGTACAAGACTTTTTCTGTTAGTTTCAGTGTAAAAAAAAGAAAAGGAAAAAGAAAAAAACAGTTAAATGTGAAGGATGGTTTGTCTTTCTAGGCCTGTAAAAGCAACAGTAACTATCAATTTACAATTTCTCCACTGTTCAATGAGCTACGAGTGAGAAATAATTACAGGATGCTTTTGTTATTGTTGGCGATAACTGAAGCATTTCTAACTAACGTGTGGTTCAAAACACTCAGTAAAGCATCTGTGCAAAGCAGAAATGATACCGTACTTTAACATAGATGTCGATCTGGGAACGCGGGTAGAGCTGAGTGAGCACGGCGGCTTCGAAGGTCTGTTTGAGGTGCAGACTCATCTCGCTGGACTTGCGGTCGCCGTGCGGGCGCCTCTTCCTCTCCGCAGTGCTGAACGTGGCCATGCTGTACTGACAGTTGATGACTGCACGGTCGTGTAAGGTTTTACTGCGGGACCCTCGAACCTTAAACAGCAGAAGACCATAGGGTTTGTACAATCCTTGCATTGTCCTGGATGTTTTCTGGTTGGCGAACTGCTCTGAGTGAATGACACTTCAAAGCAGTCACTGGCCTTAAATTTAATACCTACAGTAAAAAATGAGGCACTGTTTTTTATTTTAAGACGTTCAAAACATTTCAAGTATCTACAGGATCCCTGAAATCTTTAATGTTGCCACCACTTTTATTTAATAAAATATTTAAGAGAAAGAAAAGCTAATGGAGTGCAGAGGTTCTTGACCCACCACACACATAATGAGGAAATTTTGAAAAATTTGGTGGAATTCCCCTTTAACTTTTATTACAACCATGCAGAACTACACAGAGCTTCTGAGTAAGAACCTACAACAGAAATCTGGTAACATTTTATCTTGAGCATCTACTTGGCTTTGCTCACTGACATTCAAGTGAATATTCACTGCACGTGAACTGATGTATGTCCCAAACTTAAGCCTAAACCAAATCCTAATGTTAAATGGGTGCACCACTGATTCCTAAACACTTCTGCATGATTAAATGGGTAAGTTGTAAACAAAGTCATTCAGGGTGGTTTGGTGTGAAATGCTTCGTTCTAGAGAAACTTAGCGAGTCAGAATAGTCCAAAGTGGTGGTGATAGGAACCAGACGTCTGAGAGTTTAATGACTCTGAAAATCATCTCATATAAAGTTACTGCATGAAATGATTATTATTGCTTTATGACGTTTTTAGAAGATTTTGGCCTAAAATTTTTAAAGGATTAATGACAGCAAAGCGTTTGGAGACAAACACTCTTTCTCTCTCTCACTCTCTCTCTCTCCCTTTCTCACTCTCTCTCACGTTCTCTCACACTCACTCTCTCTCTTACTCACTCTTTCTCACTCTCTCTTTCTCTCCCTCACATTCTCTCACACTCTCTCACACTCACTCTCTCACACTCTCTCTCTTTCTCATGCTCTCTCTCTCTCACACTCTCTCTCTCTTTCTCTCTCTCTCTCACTCTTTCTCCCGCTCTCTCTCTCTTTCTCACTCTCTCTCTATCTCACGTTCTCTCACACTCTCACACTCACTCTCTCTCTCTCTTTCTCACTCTCTCTCACACTCACTCTTTCTCACTCTCTCTTTCTCTTTCTCTCCCTCACATTCTCTCACTCTCTCACACTCACTCTCTCTCTTTCTCATGCTCTCTCTCTCTCTTTCTCTCACTCTCTCTCACTCTTTCTCACGCTCTCTCTCTCTTTCTCACTCTCTCTCTCTCTCTTTCTCACTCTCTCTCTCCCTTTCTCACATTCTCTCACACTCTCTCTTTCTCAGACTCTCTTTCTCTTTCTCACTCTCTCTCACACTCTCTCTCTCTTTCTCACTCTCTCTCACACTCTCTCTCACTCTATCACTCTTTCTCACACTCTCTCACACTCTCTCACACTCACTCTTTCTCTCTCTCTCTCTCCCTCCCTCTCCCTCAGTTCAGGTCAGTAAGCTTTATAGGCATGACCATATTCAGTTACAGTATTGCCAAAGCATCCTCAAAAAGGAACAAGAAGAAAGAACATTTAGAACAGAGTATTAGAACTCTTCATTTATTCGATATAAAAAAATAATAATTATTTAAGAACCACATTTAAGGAACAGTAAGAATAGGGGTTTGGAACTAAGTTGTAAAGAAAATTATGAGGAAAAAATAAATAATAGAAATTTAAATAAATACATTAAGATTACAAACAGGGCAGTTTTTGATATCTATCTCTCTCACTCTCCCCCTTTCTCTCTTTCCCCCTTTCTCCTGTCTTTCCTGACCTACAGACCGTCCGTGCTCACCTCGTGCGGTCCGTACACCACAGCCAGAGCTCTGGTGTTGCCCTGCTCGATGTAGGCCGAGCCGTCCGCCTGAGCGAAGACCCCCATCCGGGCCTGGACCTTACGGAGCTCCGCCGCTCTCCGCCCGTCCAGCCGGTAGCCCTGATCGGACAGCAGCTCCAGTCCCGCCATTCAGCGCCTACAGAGCCGCTCCAGCCCACAAACAGACCGACAAACAACGTGTTCCGGCAGCGACACGACCGGCTACGGGTCCCCGTCTGGGACACACCACACACCTGCTCCGCGGGCTGCTGCGGCGTCTTCTTCCGCTCCTTTTTTGGCAGTTGGCAACGTTTAGCGCATTAGCGCCACCTTCTGACCCCAAACAGGGTTGGTCCAGCTGACTAACCGTCTTATCTTCATTTAAACTCTCTAAACTAAGACTGTAATATAAAACACAATAAACTGTTAAAACACATTCCGCCTAAATTTATTTGTAATATATCCTTTAAATCCAGTCTAATTTTGTTCTCCTTATGCTTTTATACTGACCTTTGTCTATCTTGGTGGTAATTAGGACAATGTGTGATTACATGCTCTATGGTTTCTAGACTACTACAGCGATACATCCACCGTCTGCATGTTTTATCTACAAAAACAGCGTCCGGATACAAACAAACCTGCTCCGCGGGCTGTAAAGCGCCCCCTGGAGGAACGATGAGTCATTCGAGAGCGAGTCGGCTCTTTTTAGGTGAACGCTGGGAGCCGACTCTCACTGAAGAGCCGATTTTTTCGTAAATGAAGACAAAACACACAGCTACATGTTACGACGCTGTAGCCGGAAATTCATCATAATTCTCTTGATTTGTCACAACATTCCCCCTTCTGGATCTCCAGCTTGGTACATACCGACTCTGTCCCCTCATTGTCCCCAGGACCGGCTGACTGTTGTATTCATTTGGTTAATTTGACTCTGTGTTCATTCCTGGCATTTTTAGGACTCGGTTTTGACTCGTTGTTTGACCCGCCTGGTCACTTTATGACTGGTCACTCTGTGAACCCTGACTCTCAGAGTTGATTCCTCTTTGTGAGCTGAGCCGATTCGTCTGATTCGCTAAACAGAGCCGGACGGTTTAAGGGGAGCCTGAGCACCTTCCGTCATATCAGAAACAGGGCTGCAAACCGCCAGGGGGCGCTCGCTCCCGAGTCGTCAGTGAGTGGGTGGATGGAGCTAAATGTTAAAATCGAAAAGTTGAAACAGTTTCTGATCTGAAAGTTTCTGGTCACTCATCCAGGACCTCCTCATAATGTTAGACAGGAGGAGGATGTGTTCCACTAAAGCAGCACAGAAAACAGGAGGGCGCCAGTTACTCCTACTGAGTGCTGACTGGTTAGCGTTACTCCTACTGAGTGCTGACTGGTTAGCGTTACTCCTACTGAGCGCTGATTGGTTAGCGTTACTCCTACTGAGCGCTGATTGGTTAGCGTTACTCCTACTGAGCGCTGACTGGTTAGCGTTACTCCTACTGAGCGCTGACTGGTTAGCGTTACTCCTACTGAGCTGATGGAGCGCTGATTGGTTAGCGTTACTCCTACTGAGCGCTGATTGGTTAGCGTTACTCCTACTGAGCGCTGATTGGTTAGCGTTACTCCTACTGAGCGCTGATTGGTTAGCATTACTGTTACTGAGCGCTGATTGGTTAGCGTTACTGCTACTGAGTGCTGATTGGTTAACATTACTGTTACTGAGTGCTGATTGGTTAGCGTTACTCCTACTGAGTCCTGATTGGTTAGCGTTACTCCTACTGAGTCCTGATTGGTTAGTGTTACTCCTACGGAGTGCTGATTGAAAAAGTATGTTTTTTCTTTCACCCTTAAAGTCATTTTGGAGATAGAAAATAAAAATTGTGCATTAAAATTTGCAAAAAAGCCAAATATACTTCCACATAAACGTGTTCTCAGTTATTTTCTCTTAGGAAATCAACAAAACACATTCTCAAAAATCTGGACAAAGAATTCAGCAGGACTTTCCACTTAGTTGTGCCAGTTATTGTGTTGACAGAGTATTTAACTGCATAAAATCCCATTTGAACGTATCAGTCAAACTGACAACACTACTAACGGTCTGGGCAAAACCAAGGAAAGTAGATAACAAAGGAACTATTCAGTCTCAGCCTTGATCCCTCAGGTCTCTAATGGGTATCTAATCAACTTCACCTGAGCTGATATAGTAATGAAACAGCTCTTAAATTGGTGCCAGCGATCCCCCCAAGGGGAAGTGACTGGGCCAAGTTGCCAAGGGCATGTTAAGAGAAATCAAAGGGCCCTGGGACTCTGATAAACTGTTCACTTCTTACTCAAGTCTCCAAAAACTGGAAAACTTCATCATAGCCAATGACTTCAAGAACATGAGCCACGTTAATGAAGCTGCTTTAGCATTCAAAACACCTGCTGCTGCCCTCCCTGGATAAACGCAGAGCAGGGGCAGTCTACTGAGCTCTGCGAGAGCATTGGTTCAGGTTTGAGCACAATGACAGTCAGAGGGTGAAGGCTGTTCATAGTTGTCCTACAGTGATGAATAAAGGTCGTTCTCCATTTGGAGTGGGAATTCAGGTGGATACATTTAAAAAAAAAAAATTCTCTCATCCCAAAACTAATTAATCTTAATATGTCCATTAACATCTCCTGTTATCATAGATGCTAAAAGGAGAGCTTAATTTCAAACACATTTTACACTCACTGGTGTTGTATGAATATGGTGTAACACCAGTGACTGTGACTCCAGTGACATTCTGGTTAAAACTGAGGATTTTGTAAACTGGCTGATCAAGTGACCTTGTGCAATTATTTAATAAGTAATAATGATAAATGGCTTTATTTTGACAATTTTTATTACCCAGCCTTTAAAGCACATAATACTGGTGAAACACATAAGTTATGTGCTGCCTGATAAACAAAATTATTAATAAATTCATGAAATATAGTGAGAAGTGTGACTCGCCTTCTCATGGCTTGAGATTCTTCCTCTCTGCTGAGCCTTGACCCAGAGAAGCAGTTTAATAGAGCTGAAAATACTGTTCAAATGCAAAATAAGAGTCCTGATAACACCAGTGACCAAAAACTGTGACAAATGAATTTTTTAAAATAAAATCCATATTTTTAAATGTAGTATAATGTTAATGATATAAAATTCCTCAGTTAAACCTCTTAAAAATAGTTTTATATTAAAAATTAGTTTTAGAGTGACTATAAAACAGGATAAAAAAATGGAAAATCAGAAATCATAAGGGAAAAGTCTTATTTATGGTGGTTTCGCCACTCCAAATGGAGAACGATCCATATGTTAGATAGTGCTTTTGAGTGAATAAGGACTTCAGAACTTCAGAGGTAAAACGTACGATGCAATTTTAAAAATAAAATTTATTAGCATCTCTAATGTGTATAAATAAAAACAGATATAAGAAACAATGCATATATGCATTATGAGCAGAACAACAACTGAATTGTGATAAAAAGGAGCCGAGGCTAGCAAACCCCAGTCTGTTCTGTTTTTCTTGAATCCTTTTTCAAATCCTTTTCAGTATGTGGGTCTGTGAGAAACGTACCTTAGAAATCAAGCTTTGCAAACGATACGCAAACCTACAAGTTGCAACTAGTCCTGTCATGAGAACGAAAGAAAGAAGGACAGAAGTTCAACAGCAAAAACGGGTGCAAGATCGGGGACAGTAGGGAGCAATGAATTCTGACAGTTTAGGAATTTCTGAATTTTGTAAGAACTCTGTAGCTTAAATATTCGACAGCTTTAAAACAGGCAAAATCGACAGGCTTCGCGCATTTAAGTTTCATGATCAGGAATTAGTTTCAGCAAAGAACAAGAACACAAGAAAAGATCACGGATAATAGAACAAACTACAATGCTGTCAGGAGACCATTGTGGCAGTTCTTAATACTACATTTTAGTCAAATATATAGTACTTTGAATTTTGAAGAGTTCTGAGCCAAATCTTAAATATTTTAAGCATCTTAAGCGGAAAATATTTGTTTAGACAACAGAAAAACATCTGGAGTTCACCACAACACTAACACTCTGCTGAGCGGCAGTATCCATAAGCCTTTCATGACAACTGACACGACCCTACCCCTTAAAAAAGCTGGTTCTTCAAGGGTTCTTTAGTAAAGAAAACCATTCTTTATAGAACCATGTACACTCACTGAATCCTTTGCATGATTAAAAGGTTCTCTGCATCATGAAATGGTTCTTCAGACCGACGGAGAACGTGTTACATATGGTTCTACACAGAACCCTTTTGAAAAGGGTTCTCCTATTGTTACGATGTCAAGCTTGTAACAACAGCAGAGCCCTTTTTTGGAACGCTTTTCAAAAAGGTTCTATATAGAATCATCTACAGCACATTCTCCATCAACCCTAGGAACCATTTCATGATGCAAAGAACACTTTAATCATTCAGTACGTGTTCAGGGTTCTATGTGGAACCATTTTGTTTACTAAAACAAACCGTGAAGAACCGTCTTTAAGAGTGTACATAACATTTTAAAGGCCGATTCCAACATGCACCAAATATCACTATTGTCCGTTTTAATGTAGTTTCATCTCAGCATGTGTTGACATGACATGGTGTAATAAGCCTTTATAAATGTAGGTTATATAGGTTTATGTCAGTGTTATGAAAGGTTTATATAGATGTCGTAGTGTATGAACGCTACCCTTCAGTAAAGTGTTACCGACAAAAAATATGTTTGTAAAAGAAGCTAAAAAAGCCAAGACATCAGTGTGAATTGAGTGTTTTAGTGTGGGCAGGCTGGGCTATCTCTGTAACATAAGGCTGCGTAAGGATCACTGTAACATAACGACATATATTAAGTGTAGGGATGCACCAATATGGGAATTCTGGGCTGATATCCGATATTTCTAATGTGATTATCTGCAAATGCCGATGTGCGCAGATTTAAAGAGGTTTCAAAACTGGGACTCCATCCACTAAACTAGCATTCTGGAGAAAATGTAACATTTGTAAAGTGTTATAAATGCAGTAAAATGAATAAAATGCCGACAGTTCAGTGCAGTAAACCAGTGGTTCTCAAACTGATTCTCAGAGATTCCCAGACAGTCCACAGCTTTGCTCCAACCCGTAGGGATAGAGCAAAAATATGGACCACCCAGGGGTCCCTGAGGACCAGTCTGAGAACCACTGCCCTCAATGCTCTGCTCTGTTCTTCTGGAGTCCAATAAATGCGTCATAAAACATCAGTTTAAAATATCAGTCAAATCCAATCACCAGTCTGATGCAGATAATTTGTTTAAAACGTTGATCTCTTACTACCGATCCATCCCTAAGTGGGATCAGTAGTGTTGGGCTTCCTAAGGCAAATATGGAGGATCTCCATCTCAGCTCAGTAGTTTTGGTCAGGCTTTCCACTCTCTCGTTGGCTGAAGTCAAACCTTTTCAAATCTAACAGCCAGATATGAACAAGAAACAAGCAGTACCTCAAATTAAAAAAAGCTGGCCAAAAAATGGTCAGAGGTCTAGTGTGAGGTAAGAGAACAAGTCAAAAGTAGAGAAAAACAACAAACAAAAGCAAAGAAACAAATGTAACAGACAAAACTTGAGTGCTAGAGGCAACATCTATCTTTCAAATCACAACCATGTGACACTGCCAGCATCACAACTGACACGAAGCCATACTGTGTTGACACATCGCGAGGTCTGTTGGCCTTTCCCACAAGTCCCACTCTCATTGTACAAAACCCTTTTCCACTGACCTTCAAAGTGATACAGCAAAAAAACAAATGTACATATTTTCCCCCTTTAGCCCAAAACAATCAATGAGTAGAGACACGTTTGTTGTCTGAAGGTTTGGTTCTTCAGTTTTGCTAATGCAGCTAACAAGTAACAGAAGTCCTTTTGGTCGTGTCCCAATTCAGGGGCTGCATTTGAAGGCGCGACTAGGCTGTACCATTATGAAGACTCCTTCATATGCGGCGGGGGATCTCCAGCTCTAATAAATGAAAAAATAAAGTAAAATAAACGAAAGGTTTCTGGCTACATCTCTGAAGAACTTCAAAAGAACCTGACAGGAGCGGCGTTTCGTGATGTAAGAACAAGAACAGGAAAATCGCCATAGAGCAGACATTTTGGGGTCTATACATCCTTCATAGGGCGCGTCCTTCAAAGGACGCAGCCCCAGAATTGGGACACAGCTACAGGCTTCCATTACATTAGCCTCGTGGCTCTAGTGCAAAACTAAAGAAGTGAACTTCAGATGACAAACATGTCTTGTCTGGCTGATTTCTTTTGGAGTAAAGGTTAAAACTGGACATTTGACTTTTCATTGAACTATCCCTTTAAAAAAACTGGGGAAACAGCATCCAAGACAACAATGCATGTTGTCAAAAGACTAAAACAAAGTGATGACAGTGTAACGTGTAAAGTAACGTGTAATGATAAGTGCTGTAGAAGCACAAGGGCCGTGTTGACCACTGAGTGTACCAGGTGGAATGAAGGAACTATGCAGGAACTGGGATTGGTGATGTGGTCTCTGCTCCATCTCCACGCCGTTAGAGTGCAAAGATCCCCTTATTTTGTCTGTCGTGTGATAGACACACCCGCACGCGCATTCACACGCACACAGTCACACACTCATATATATACATATATATATATGTAGATAGATAAATACATATACGTATATATGTATACGTATAGCTCTGATATGTCCACACTAAAACTCTGCAAACTCTTTTGCGCATTTTTCTGTAACAGATACGCGGATGTCCTCCTCTTCGTAGTCGTCGAAGTTGCTCGTGTCTCCGGGGCCTCTGCACTTTGGTATGAATGGAGCCTCCACCTGTGAGGGGAGGGACACAGTGGGGGTTATTTAAAGTCAACCTAAAATCAAACCTGACTTTTTTTAACTTCTTATTCTCCAGGGTATATTTTGGTTGTTATATCTGAATGTACATGACCAAATCGTAAGGCAAATTATTCAGTAACTGCATGAAGTAAATGTAAATTTTTATTTTGTTTATTTATTTACTTGTTTTAAAAGCTCCCCTCAAATTAACAGAACATTTGTTTTATGATCACACATATTGCTATATGCTTACAATTTACTGCTGAAAGCCAAAAATCTTAGACGCTCTTTGTATTATTTTATAAAAATAATTGTCACAGAGCAGATCACTGAAGAGACGCCACCTGTTTATAGTTTATAGCCCAGATTTGTGGAAAAATGGGTCGACTTTCGGTAGAAAAAAAAATTGTTCAGCTTCTTCTATTACAAGGGTTTAAAATTACATCACCCATCTATTTGACTGGAAAGAAGACAGTTACAGCTCTCATATGACCCCCACCTTTAGAATGTAGCTTATGAAATATTAAAGTTATGAAGAATATGAAGTGCGTTTTGGAACCACTGGTGGTTCCAAGGAGTTGAAGAGGTTGTCCCTGGTTATATAAAACAAGATTAATCATATCTATGATTTATGAACTCTTACTATTCCCGTGTGATTGGTAGCTAAAGCCTTTTTGGTTTTCAAGTTAAAGTGTTTACATTCTGAATGAGCGAAATCATGAACATGTGGTGCTGTTTTTTGTTGTTGTTTTTTTTTTAATAAACCTAAAACTGCCAAAAATAGTATGTAGTAATGATATTTTAAAAAGCTTTGGTGCATATACTGCGTTTTGATTGTGCACCATCCCTCCACGCTTACAGAGCGGGTAGACAATGTAAAATCTTGGCAGGAAGATAGTTATACTGATAGTCAACCATTGTTTTTTCTGAAGCTGAGGAAGACAAAGAGCTACAGAAATATAAGAGCACAGAGGCGTACAATTACCTACAGCAACACAATAATAACGTCGTCCAGCAAACGCAGTGACTTCATTTTTTTAAAGCTGGGGTAAAGCCAAGTCAGAGCGTCAGCCAAGGTAAACATCAGGCGTGGGAAAATGGAGTGGTGGAGACCATGGGTTGCTTGTGCAATGCAGTGTCTTGAGCTATATGTCCTATTTTTATGAGCGAACACATATCCTCTTTGGAGGATTTTTCTGTTTTAAAGCTGCAAGCCATTCCAGTTTCCTTTCCTTCTTCTTTGGCATGAAATGGAACATACAGGGCGCAGAGCACAGCCAGTGTTTACCAATGTGCTGGTGTTTGACACATGGACTTTGCAAGAAGTCTAAATTTTTTTAAGGCTGTTGTGGCACCTGACAACAGCACACGTCGAGTCCGAGCTCATGTTTGAATCGTAGTCTGAACCAAAGCCAACTTAATTTTTCTTGGCAGAAATTCTCTGGTTAGCACTACTGGAATTCTAGGGCGACCAGAAACAGGAAAGTGTCAAACGGAAATAATGAGGCATCATGGCAACCCCCCACTGAGTTTTAGGAAAAACAGTGGGAAAAATTAATGTTTTTCCACGATGTTTCTCAGTTTTGATGATGTCACTGTGCACCAGTGGGCAGAGAAATCTAATATGAACCAATAACATAACTTTTCTCCTCCCGCCCTCACCTACCCAACACTGGTTCACTCAGAAAAGTCACGTTAGAAATATAACGCAGGTCCTACCTTCCTCTCGTAGATGGCGATCCAATCTGTCGTAGCAAACCATTTGTGGTTTTTAATATCGTTGACGCCGTTCTTGAGGTTGCCGTACCGTTTCGTCAGGTCGACCTGAAGCAAATTCCTCAGCAGGTCTTTCAAATCTGAACTAAAGTGGGACGGAAATCGTACCTATGGGAGAGACGCCAGACACATAAATCGATTATGATATATGAACCTGATTAACTGAACTGATTTTTAATTCGGAATTTAAATTAAACCTTTCCTAGCGCTGCCATTTCTTTATCTTCATCTTACAACACATATTTTTTATATTCCAAAGGCTGCCATCTTTCTACTAAGATGGCAAAAAAAATCTTATGCTAAATAATACAAACTTTACATACCTTGAAAATTTCATATTTCATGTTATTCTAAAGATTAAGACTACATTCACACTGTAGGTAACAGTGGTTCAAATTCAATAACCTTCTGTGGCACAGATTTATTTGTTGTGTGACACACTGAATTTGACAGTTTCAATTCAGATTTTGACCTCTTTCACATATGAATTCCAATCTGCCTGCTTAGACAAAGGTCATAAGATTTTTACGTCAATGTAACTTAGTCTTCATCATTATTTTGTGTGTGGGAATAGCAACGTCATCGTTGCAAAGTCAAGTGCCTGTTACTATGGTTACACTTCACATATTTAGTTGTGGAGGACGGGTGAGTGTAAACAAACAAGCACGGTCCTTCCTAATGAGAGAAATCAAACTAACAGCTATTCAAAATCAGGTTTACTTCAAGGATATTTTGGGGAAAAAAAAGCAAATGAGTCACAGGAGCTTCATGCAGATCAAGTCTCTTTATCCAGTATATATCATCAGTTTTGGCACTGAGCTTATGTTCTTTGGCTGTCATGCTTTTCACAGCAGGTGAGCAAAAAAAAGAGCTTTCTTTCTCTTTTTGATCAGCTTCTATAATTACAACGAGCTCAGAAATTCACGATTTTTGTCAACTATTTTCTGTAAACCGTGTCCAAGTTTCAGTCCAGGTAGCAGATACAGGTTACCTTAAAAAGCTAATGTGAACACCAAACCTTTAAAAAAATCGGATTTGGGCAACTTTCACTTGCAGTCTGAACTTAGCTATAGAGTATCCTAATGAAGCCTTTTATTTGTAGCCAGTCATGCTAAGAAAAACCTACAGCCATAGACTCCCAACCCGAATGACTAACATCAGAGACAGTGCTGGCTTTTAATTCCATCAACTAAGGACCAATTTAAGTATTATATTCAGTTCTGCCTGAAACTGACATCAGTGGATGTCAAGCATCAGCTGATTTCTACTACATTTGCTGAAAATGGAACTGATGGTTGCTCTACTAAGCGGCGCCACTGGGTGGCAGTGTTTACATCAACGTCAAGTATTCAGCAACAACAAGAATTGTGGTCTGTACGATGCCATTTTGCCAGATCTAGATGTCGTTAAATGGTATTACTCAAGCGTAAAACAGCCATGAAAAACTGATTGTTGCTCTTTAAAGGGGGATTCCACCACCTTTTAAAAATTTCTCCATAATTCAGTCGTTGAGATGCACACAGTCATTCAGAGTGGTTCACTGTTCAGAACCCTAATCAGATTTCTTTACAGTGGTGTAATAAAGAATCAGATGTTGTGATATCTACAACACAAATAAAGCCATTTTATTTATTACCCAAAATGACCAACAAACCTAAACATATCCTCTATGTTTTTATATGCATGTTATGTGTTAATGATATGAAAATGGTTCCATTTGAAGAAGGAAGAAAAAAAAAAAAACTTTTTTGTCGACTTTTTTGCCTTTACAATGTGCTGCATGTGCCCCGGCAAAAAATTATTTTAAAAAATATATATTTTAGTCCAAAACCTCTCAGATGTCGCAGACAACAGGTAATGTATTCACAACCATTTAATGTAATACTTGGTGAGCTTTTAGAGGCATTAAACTCTTTAGATGCCTTGTTCCTATGACCATCAGTGTGAACAATTCTGACTCTAAATTCTGAATCATTTCATGCTAAACCCACTCGGAATGACTTTGTTTACATCTTAACCATTTAATTAGAGATTAATCAGAGATTGTAAAGAATGTGTAGAATTCCCCTTTAAACTGTAGACGACCAGACAGATCAAATATGAAACCACATCTCGGGGACACCTGTCCATACCTTTCCAGACACAATCTTCTCATAGATCTGAATGGGTTGGTCTGCGAAGAACGGGGGGTAGCCTGCAGCCATTTCATATATGAGCACCCCCAGTGCCCACCAGTCCACAGCTTTGTTGTATCCCTACAGAGAAAACGAACATTCCAATGAACATCTGACTAGTTCAGCCACACAAGCAATTAGCTGACTAGTGTTGAATTCTGCCTGGAGGTCTGACCTTGCTAAGAATGATCTCTGGTGCCAGGTACTCTGGGGTTCCGCACAACGTCCAAGTTCTGCCCTTCACCCTTTTTGCAAACCCAAAGTCAGTGACCTGCAACGTAAAATGTGTTTCAGTTAGATAATTTCATCATCTAAATGAATGAAGACATGAATGAATCAAGAAATTAAAGCCGCACTTTAAGATTTTCTGTTAAAATCGGAAGTAGTGACACTGTATCTGGTGAAACAAACACGCTAAAATATGGTGTGTGTGCTGCTACGAGTCGCCCTGTGAAGCCTGATATGATCATTTAAAAGTCAGAGGTGTTGGATTTTGCAGGAGTTTCCTGGACGACGTCATATGTCTTTACGTATTAACGTCACATGCGCAGGCACAAAAAGAAGGTCCAGCTCGATGTTTATGTCTCAAACGCAAAATCAGCACCATTCTGATGAAAATATGACAACAGAAAATAATTCACTCAAATCCTCAGAAGACACTTTCATCACCGAGTTCCCTTTGAATTCTCTTATAACCTGCTCTCAATCTTTAGATTCATCTGCCCAGGGAAGGGGTCTGAAGCACAACCCAAGTTACAAAAAGTTGTATGCAATTCCACAACTCCACCAGAGAGGTCTCCAAATCCCTACAACGTACATTGTATAGCTTTAATTAGTACATAGTAAATGCCTGTGTGATTAGTATGCCCAAAATCTATTTTGCCTGCAAATGTGCACAGCTGGGATTAGCAGACTGCTTTATGTTAAGGTCTGTAATAACTAGGGATGTTAGACAACCTGTCTGTGATCCCACACTGAGTCCTTAAAGACTGAGAATGTCTTGAGCCCAAACCGGTATGCATTTCCATAGATGATAGTCACACAGTGCACTCCAAGTACTTAAATGTTAGTAAAACCAGCCAAATTAACACTAAATATGTTAGGCTGCCAATTATTTTATGTTCAAAGTACATGGTCAAGTAATATAAATTCATTTTTAGAGCGTTTATTCTAACTTTTATCGTTTTTTTTATTTTTCACATAGTCAACATTTACACCACTTTATTAACTTCTGAAAATGTGCTTAAATGCCATAAGTGAATAATTTCAGATGATGGCATGTCTGCAACAGCTAGGTATTTTATTTATTTGTATTTATTCTAATGCTAGTGTTTTTTTTTACTAATAAATATTGGCCCAGATAAACAGCTTCCCAAATCATTGGCATAGCACTGTAAGTAGTCCATTAGTTTTATTTGGATTTAGAAAACAGAACCTTAACATATAAACCGCAAAGCTGCAGTTCTGACGGGTTACTAATGTATTGAATGTGAGCCCCAGAATGCCTGCAGTGATGGCAGAATGAATCTCAGTGGGTCTAGAATATGATGCCTTGCTTTGACCTGTGCTATCAAATCAGATGAAAGCAAACTGTGAGCTACTTAACACATGAAGGAACCTCTAAGTGCATTATGATGACATCTATCATCGCATCAGCCATAAGCCATTAATCCCTGAGAATGAACAGACAGTAAACAGACTCTGTTTTATGTGCATGGGTGCTACAGCTCAGGACTTGATCATCATATTTCTTTTACATTTTTAAAAATGTCTCCAAGAGCAATTAGGAAAGCGTGAACTCGGGGAAAGTAAATGGAAATAAAAACATCTACTAGAACAGCAAAAACACCAGATCTGAAATCATGGATGCTGTCTGGACTTTCTTTGACATCAAATATCCTTAATGCTAATCCAAGTGCTTTACTGGTATAATCAAGTAATGAAACAAAGGTAAAAATGAGATTTCTAGCAAAGAGTAAAAAAAGGGTTCTTTGACAACTGCGGATTCCTTTTAGAGCTAAAGAATACCATTTTAAAAAGGTTCTTTAAACATACAAAAAGGTTCCCATCTATATACAATAGGTTTCCATCAAAGAAAAGAACTTTTAAACCAGACAAAGGACCATTTAAGCATCCAAACAGTTATCTTGTCATCTTACCTTGAGTTGTCATGGTTTTATATATAGTAGGGGTGGGGCTACCTAGAATTATCTCTTAGATGTCACTTCTGTTAATTAACTCATATTTCTATTTTTGTTATCTTCATAAACAATAATTACATTATTACAAGCTGTATGCCATGTTATTCTCAGGAGACTGAGAGTTTGCTGTTGTGCTGCCATCAAAAAAGTAGCCAATTATGGCTTCGATTTCATCAATATTTCAACAAAGTTTACACTTTATTTGTAGCCATCACTAAGCAGTGCCACTGGTTACCTGTATGTATCCGTGCTGGTCAATAAGCAGGTTTTCAGGCTTCAAGTCTCTATAGATGAGGTCTAGCGAGTGGAGGTACTCAAAGGTCAGGACTATCTGTGCTGCGTAAAACCGTGCGTGGGGTTCACTGTGGAGGAGACAGCACAGCCTCAGAGGGAGCCAAAGCACAAAGCAAAAGGTTCAAACACTCCACAGAGAAAAGAGAAAACAAAAGCCACATCCGTCTGTAAATAAGCACACTAGGTGCACTCGCTGCGCAGCTGACCTGGGATCCTTCGGAGTAGAATCACTGCTCAAATATTAAAAGCGTAACAATTTCAATACAGTACAGAAAAAAAATTAAATGTTCAAAATCTTCTTTGTTGCATAGATACTTTGTCCCCCGGTCTCTTCCGAGTGCCTTCTTGGATGCCACCGTCAAAGACAAATTCAGTGATAAACTAACAGCTAACAAAATTCTGACCCATCTCTCTTACCGTTACCATTACGATGCCTGTCTGACATTTCAAACTTTCAGTTACTGCAGGCAGCAGGTTTTATTATGTCTAATAAACAGGAGGTGACTGAAACTGACCCTTTCAGATAACCTAAAACTAAAGCTAACAGTGCAGCTAATAAAACTCATTTTAACACTGTTCTGTGCTGGCGATTACAGTAACCTAGATAAAGTTTACCTTACCTTAGAGCCTGTTAATAGTTTTGCGACTTTTACACAGTGCCACCCAGTAGATGAGCAGGATAGCATGTGCCTGAGTTACACATTCCACACTTTATTATCCTAATTTAATTTAAAATTTTATTTCTAATTTCATTTTCAATTTAATTTTCTCTGTTTAATCTATTGTTTTAATCATGTTTTTTTTTATTTCTATTCTCCTTTATTTTTTATATGACTATTTTCTCAATTGTAAAGCGCTTTGAATGACAGCAGTGTATGTGACGTGCTATATAAATAAACTTGCCTTGCGCATTTAACTATTTTTTAGCCTAGTAATTTAGACTAATTTACTTTTTAATTTTAATTTAATGCCGTTCTCACTGCAGATTTAGAAGGTTTCATTACATTCCAAGTTGCTAATTTGGTGCTGCAGATGCTAAGAAAAGCTTATAAATGTTACAGAGAGACTTCGCTCTTTGAGGGGAGAGAAAAAAAAAAATTAAGACATGGCCAACAGATGGACGATATGACAGCAGTTTTACACTGTGTGATCTCCAGCACACTCACCTGAACCTTCCAATTCTTCTTAGATGTGAAAACATCTCACCGCCCGGTACATACTCCATCACCATATACAAATTGGAATTATCCTGAGGACAACAGAAACATAATGATAATGATAGCACTACTACTACTACTGCTGCTAATAATAATAATGATAATAATAATAATAATAATGATAATGATAATAATGCCTTTTATACTGTGCATAATAACAGTAGAGAACTGTTAGGGCAGACTAAATGTACCTTGAAGGCATATTCCAGTCTGACGAGGAAGGGAAACGATACTGCTTGTAATATTCTCTTCTCGTTTAGTGTGTGTTCTATTTGCTTCAATTTCACCACCTGCAAAAGCAGAACAGGTTCAAAAAGCAGTAGTACAACATAAACATCTACAGTAATTAAAAAAAATAAAATCTCTATAATCATATAAACAAATCTGCTTCAGCACTTTTCAATTCTCTTCATTTTAAATGCATCTATGGAAGGCGCCTGTGTACATCAGCCAACCAATTCAAAGGTAAAATAATAATTTTATACACTTTGCACCCCTGAACCAACCTTCTGTTTATCCAGGATTTTCATGGCGTAAAACTGCTCTGTTCCCTTGTGTTTTACCAACATGACTCTTCCAAAGGAGCCTGTGCCGAGGGTCTTCAGTCTGTCGAAGTCGTCGAGGGTAGTTGTGCTCTGGAATAAAGAAACGGCCATTACATAGAGATTTTCTCCATACAAATGCTTCTGTCGTACCAAAAAAAACTACCACAACTAGGCAAACTTTAAAGTATCAAAACTCAAATGGAAGTGGAGTCTGACGATTAGTTTAAAAACAGATTGAAAGCACCTTCAGTCTTTAAAAATGTGCAATAAACATGGACATGTGTAGAGTGTACACTGAACACAATATTAAGGGTTCAGTTTCAAGGGCTTTAGCCACTGACATAATGAACAATGGTAAATGATGCAAAATCTTAACTACACTTAAGTGATCAAATGCACATTTTCTGCTGTAGCTAAAAAGGGGAAAAAATGAAAACAATACTATACAAAGCATAACAGAAACATTTCCTAAAAGTAACTGTTTCTAACAAACTCGTAGGCTTAGAATTACGAGTTTCTGTGTTCAGTGTTGTTTAGAGATATCGAGGAACAAAGATTTTACTTTGTTAAAAGAAAAAGCTATGCAGTGCAGTTAACTTCCACATTAAGGTTATTCAATTAACTTAAAGTCTGTTGACTGCTGATCATTAAAATTCCAGGATATGTGGGAATAACCTTCTCCAGGATGGACCAAACACAGATGGCACCTTTTCATTTTAAGGCTAATTCTGTATGGTGGAATTTTCATGCAACTTGCTGCTTCAAACTAACACAAAACTAAATTTCAACAGAGTTGCACAATGTAATGCGTCCCACACAACTCATCTGAAACCGCAACAGTTGCAAATGCCTCAACTTTGTAGAACCAGTTTCATGAAACAGATTTAAAAAAACACACAAATAACTCATCACATGATGACGCTGATTGACATGCTTTCTAACTATTGATTTTACCGGATCGGGGAACACAAAAGTAATACAAAGGATGGCTTACTGAATTGTTGAAAATGAGACACCAAAGGTTGGTAGTGTTAGTTAGCCATCTAAAGGCCAATTAATAGTCCAGTTGACGTGTCGCTAGAACATCTGTAGTTTCTGACTTGTATGATGGCCCCGCCAATGAAACAGCAGTAAAACCGCAAAGGACAGAAAACAGCTGCTACAGTCAAACTGTCACACGCGTTTCACTCATGATCTCTTTCCGTTACGCAGTGTTGCCAGATTCGCAAAAGGTTCCCCAAAATTCCGGTTAGTCCGAAAGTGCAGTGTGGGGAGACATCACACTGTTGCGGGGGGCATTTTCTGCTTGGACTTTTTAAAGTAATTGCAGTCGTGGAAAAAGGTCTGAACATGAAAACAAATCATCTTATAAATGTATATTTATCCTAGTCCTGAATAGCTGTCAACCTGCTCTGTTTCTAAAAGCAGTGAAGCAGCAAGAAAGTAAACACAGCCACACACAGTGACCACGGCAACAATCTAGAACGTAGAACTTTGAGTTTCTCTCCAATCAGGGCGCGCCACCACGTCTGCGACACCATAGCAGACACACATTTTTGTCTCTTTTATGTTTTTTTTTGTCGAGCGATGCTTGTCACCTAAATTATAAATTGGCTTTAAAGCTGACAGCTGTTTAAATTGCTGCCTACTGTTATTATGATCGACACAGCAAGATTCGATTCTCCTCTCTAGACCCCCCTCTGACGGCGGAAGTGGAGACAGGTATTAAGTGGGTTACTTAAACATTGACTTTCAAAGGATTAATGTACACACAACAGATAAAAACTTGCAAATTTATTTTTTAACTGCTTTGTGTAACTGTCAGGTTGCATGGAAATTATGTAGCAGGCAACTAGTTGCATGAAAGTTTCACTGTGTAAAGCCAGCCTAAGAGCTCTCGTTCTGTTAATGCTGGCAATTTGTGAGATTCTGTTTCTCTTGTATATGAATGAAGTGATTTTTGGCACTCACCTGTGGTGGACATTCCCATTTTCGTAGGAAATCTTCTTTGGCTTTGGCTAAAAACTCTTTCACTGTGAAAAGAAAAGAGAGGAGATCAGTATTAGCATCCAAAAATCCACTGCTAACACTAACAATAACAAACAAATGCTAGCAGAGGATGGTCAGCATAATGCTAGCTGATCGCCAGTATTACGTACAAAGGACTATATGAAGTTTATATTTATACATAAACCATAGATCTTCTATAGATCTACAAGTGTGAGTGTATCATAGTACAACTGTACCACTGTACACTGGACACTTCATCTGTAAACTAACTTACAGACAGGATTAACAGGGGACCAAAATCCATTTGTCAGGCTACACAGCAAACTCAGGGAGTCAGTTTCAATAACAGGAGGTATCAGAGGGAAAAGGTGCTCTGTTGACGCATGCAACTCTCAAAATGAATAATAGGGGTTCTATCAAAATCACAGTAATATTGGTATAATCAAAGACAAACCCACAGCACACAGAATAAAACAGCAGACTTTAGATGACCCAATGATGTGAAACTTGTGATAACGAATGGCAGGCAATCTTGTGGCTAGTTCGTAACGAGGATATCTTGCTTTGAATTGGTGTACAGAAACTGACTGAGCCAATCTGGATGCTTTTCGGTCATTGTGGTCATCTAATGAAATAGTGGTCATACCAAAAGTCTCTATAAATCACCAAGGATTTGCAGGAGCATTCACCCACATGGATGGGATGATCGAGAGACAGGAAAGAGAGACAGAGACACAGAGATAGAGAGAAGAAAAAGCAGAATAGTTTCATATGAAACAGTAACATCATATATACAGGACATGGATCAGATGCGACAAGAAGTACAACTGTTACAATTTCAGTCCATCAAAGACACAGAAGACAGAAAAAGAGAATGATAAGAAAGGATAAAGACTAGGCCTGGGCAATATCTAAAATAATTAGCACAATATTTTCTTTTTAATACAGGAATTATCAATAGCATCATCGCCTACACCCCCCACCCTTCGTCTATCTTTAGCTGTTTTTCTAAACAATAGATTTAATGAAAATCTCTAATGAAAACACATTACATCATATAAAAGTACCATTTTTGTTAACTATTTCACCTTGATTCAAAAGCTGTACTGCAAATGCATGCATGTGATCTCCCCCTTGTGGAGATACTGCAGACTGCAACACGTGAGCGAGTGAGTGGGCAAATTCCAAAGCTACGGCCACGTGCTTTACATGTTAAAAGAAATAGGTGTTTACTGTTGTTCTAGGAGAGGTGCTCTGAGATTCAGCCTGTGGGAAATCATGAAACATTATGTTTATATTTATTTTACAACTCATCTGAACCATCAGGACACTTGAGCTGTACAGAAATTGCTGACATTTCTCCTCAGACGAAATCTCACTCTGGAAAAAGCAGAGAAAGTGGAAAACTTACTCTACTGCAGCCCAACTGTTTTTATTTTTCTGTATAATGATAGCAGTAAAAGTGACAAACATTACATGCCTACATATTATTTAACATTATTTAGAAAGCTGTTTAAAAGTTTAATTTCTCAACGCATCAATTATCACCTTTGAAACACTGTCATATGATTACTTGTCAGTCATTGCTGATAGCAGATTCCAACAGTTTATTCACATGAACATTGTATTTTGAAAATAATTCTGCGTGTCTATACCAGACCTTGCGCATTTTATGACATGACACCACATACGCACAACAACACTGTTGACCCTGAAGGGTCAACCACTTGGCCTGGAAAAAAAGATCTAGAGGAAACACTGAATATTGGCACAAAAAATAAAAGTTGGAGGTTTCTCAGCTGCAAAAGCTGCCCTGCGTTTAACTCATTAGCCTTGAGCTAATCTGTTAGTCCCAACATTATGTACTTTTATAATGTCACCCAGCTCATTCTGGTCTATGCCACATCTGCTGCCAAACTTACTATGAGATTCTGAAGTCTTTCATAGAAACCTCTGTCCAGTCAAAACTATGCATCTGGGTGCATCCTATCAGAGTAAAATGGGCAGGAAGGGGGCAGGGCTTATGCACCCCCCCCACTCAGATGACTGGGCTCCCACCCCCCACACTCAGATGACTGGGCTCCAACCCCCACCCCCCAGCCAAAAGCTGCTTACAAATTCCAGGTGTTGTGATCTTTTGGGGTTATTTAGTTAGTGGACTGGTGAGGCAAACACTGAAAAAAGTTCAGTTGGAGAACTTAAGCATTTGAGCCAACTATGCAGGATTTAATTAGAGCTCTGCAGGATTGAGACATTTTAACAATTCAAACTGAATCTTCACCTACTGATTGAAAATCGTATCAAGTCTGAAAATGTGCATTAATACACCCCTACGTTTAAGCCCTCCAACTGGTCTATTATCATTATATTATCACAACCACTAAGTGAAGTTTCAAAGTAGATGTGGCTCCTTTAAAGATGTGCTAAAGTAGTCTACATCTGCAAGAGGACTCCTTTCAGAGTGACCTCCTTTTATGGTGTGCTGTCTCTGGAAGCGTGTGCGGACATGGAGGGATCTTTTCTCCTCCGGACCACTCCCTACAAAACGCTGCATTCTTCAGGAGCTTCAGGAGAAAATGTTTCTGAAAGAAATTTCAAACGCTTACATTCAGTATCGCTGTGTTTAATCTAGGCCCAGAGTAGCCCCGGCCTCGGACTCAGTCTGCACTGCCGGAGAAAAAAAAGAAAATTCCTAACAAACTGACAGTTGAAAAACAGTTGAAAGGCATAACTAAACATTTTTGTCATTTAACCAAAAACCACAGTCAAGAGTAGGAGCCAAGGCACTTCTACTAGAGGTGCATGAATCATGAATTTGTATGGCCAACTTCACTTCAATTTTGTAGATTTGTTTGGTCAGTTTTTAAACCCTAAAACTGAAACCTGTGTTACAGAAACTTCCTATCTTTCATCTGAAATTAAGATCTGACAAGGTCAAGATAAGACTTTCACAAATTCATATTACAGAAGCCAATCTTATCTTAATACAGCAATTGCATTTCTTATCTTACAGAATCCTAGTTAGGAAACTCTGGACTATTTAATCAAGGTCGATAATCATCATGTTATAACTGTTACCAAGCAACCGAAAAAATATGTACACAGCTGAAACAGAACATGCAATCAAAATAATGTAAACCATGTAAGTTAGCCAGTCAGCGACCATGACCAATTTAAAAATGTCAAAACGAAACTTAAACGTGACAAACTGAAAGTTAGGAATATTGTGATGGTTCCCTTTGCAAAGCCAGCCTGAAGTTTAAGTTTCTATTTCCATCCAAATTTTTCTCAGACGGTAAATCAGACTCTGGGAAACCTGCAGCAAAGGCAGGAGGGGATTTACTCTCTTGTAAATCCCCTGACTCTCCTGTACTCTCCCATAATAACCCAGTGTTTAAACAGTGTTCAAAAGTTAATGAAACATTATATACATGTCATTAAATATCATTTAGTAAGCTGCTTAAAAGTAAATTCATTCTCTCTAGTTCCCTTTCAGTTCTTTTTCTAAACACAGCGATTATCACCACATGAGCATCATCATCAGGTTACTTTGTCGATCATCTACAATATGCCATCACAACACCCAGGCCTAATGTTTATGTACCAGCATCGGCATATACGTACACTCATATGTACATAAGGCCAATCCCCAAATATGATGGTTTTACTGGCCGTTCTGGGCTGGTTAGAGTTCAGATTTAAACCCTATAGAGAATATCTGTCTCACATCAAAAACTAAACTAACTTGGCACTGTTTTTCAACTGTTTAAAGCCAACATGCTGAGAGGAACAATATTATCTCCTTTTCTGTAAAGACTGTCTGCAAGTTTACCTGTAAGACCTCAACATTTCAAGAAATCGAAAGGAACAGCCAGTTACCATATTTATTTGTTTCAGGTTTTGTTGTTAAGTCCATTCAAAGCTTAATTTTCAGATATTTTGGGCTTGAACCATTTTTTTTTGCATGGGAGTGTACATGAAAAATATCAGAAATTGGCATCAACCTACAATTCCCATCACTTTGGCCTGAGACCGTTGTTAGCTGGATATTTTGCTGTGTCTAGACTGCCATGCAGTTTGGCTCCACACTTTGACTTTAATCACTTTGACATAATGTCGAGTTTTATTCTCTGAGCTCATACAAATCCACCACCTGAAACCAACGCAGCTCAAAACCGGCAAACATTTGCAGCTAAAAGGTCAGAAATGGGTCAGTGGATTTCTGCCTCACTCACACACCTACACACAGGACGCACTCTGCACATGTTTATTTTAGCTAATCACAAATCTTTAAACTGGAAACCAGAAGTCATCTAGTTGGTCATTCAGACTTAAACTCGCACTTGCACGAATGCTGCACACCACACACTCTAGTGCGAGATGCCTCAAGCTAAAGCTGCCTAAAAGTTCTTCCAAAGAGGTCTGGCATGCTTCAGATATGCAGGGCCTCTTTGGAACCATTAAACTATCAATCAAATGAAAGACCCTCCAATAAAACAAAACCCACAGTTCCAGGGTAATCATGAACATGCGCTGGTCAGCGGTGATGTTTTGGTCCACTGTAGAGCTGCACAAGATGGATAAAAACCAGTACTGTGATTATGTAGGTATAGCAAATAGTTAAGAAATGATTACATTATTGTAATAAATTAAGTTGGGCTGTGTTCAAAATATCACTAAGGCAATATATTGCGGCTAAGCTTGTAGAGATACACGCTACAACACAGCGATAACTGTACTGACAATGTACACGCCACTTAAAGACACAAGTGAAACAGATACTGCACTCAAGGGCGTCTGAGAGCGCTACATTTCGTAGCTTCCAATACATGGAAAACCTGTAACTGTTAGTCTTTATTAATTATTTATTAGTATTTGTATAAAAAAGCTGTTCAAAAAAGAGACCTAAGCGGAGTGAATGGCATCTACTTGTTGGATTATATATTTGGGTGTGTAAAACCATTTTAAATGCACAGTTTCTATGCATAACTCATATCTACTACTATATAATTAGCAGTAAGAACCACACTTACCAACCGAAGTAACTGTAAAATATTTTAAAAACAGAACTGAACCATATATAGATAAGCGTGGGGTGTGGGCACACAACAGCTCCTCTGACTCTGAAAAAAAAAGGAATTGTTGTTTAACATTTGAATCCAAATGTGTGCCCTGTACACTCACACTCAAATCTTTGAGTTAGTCACTGCTGGACTTCAGTCGTTCACCCTGTCAGCGGCAGGCTTGACTGAAGCATCAGGCACAGACCCCACAACTGACCGACGTGGGTGCACCGCAGACGGGGCCAGTGAACACACAGGACCGGCCTGTGGGCTGCTATGCTAAAGGCCAAACCAAGGACAAAAACTGTCAGTACCCCAAGCAGCAGGCGGTTCCTTATCCATTAGCATTTTGGTTAGAGCTGCTTTGTGTTTCAGCGCTGTTAAACACTAAAACAGATGCCGCTACTGTGCTGTATTTGATCTGTGGTCCAAGTCACTGAACATTTTGGTTGTTTACTGACAGTTTTACAGCTGCAGACTCTCTCACACACGCATATGTGTGTGCCCAAATATTGTCTACTGCCTCACAGGCTGCTGCTGGCTAGTGTGGAAGGTTCAGTCTTCTGCCTCTCCAAGCTCGGAGCGGCACATC